GCAAACTGGGTTAGTCGATGTATGCGTATATGCAGAACATTATATTTGCATATTGCTGTTGTCTCTATCTCTAACAAGGAAGAAAAACAATTATTCTGTATAATTGTCATCAGTGCCTTTTGCATGTGCGCCTCTCACTTTGCTGTTTTGGGTTATGAAATGCATGTCCCGGGGCAAGTATACCATTCATTTTGGACCAACTCGAGCACATTTATCAATCAACTAAATATTACTTGCCCATGTTGATGGGCCTATTATGAGTAATTATACCCCGGTTTAAGATAATAGTAGTAGTAGCGGTAATTTCTTTTCTATCTGTTCGTTTGGTTGAACGAAAAGCTACAAAATCATAAGTACTGTACAAATACTAGAAAGCATAGAATTACATATTGTATACAAATTTCATAAAACACATTTCACAGTTCATAAAGGGATAAGCAGTTGGTACCTGATGCATGTAAATATTTAGTTGTTAATTTCATACCCTTTCTCCCATGTCGCCGTGGCAGAAGACTACATTTATTAGCCTTCAGTGCGGACTTCACAGGTTCGAATCCCGCTGGCGACAAACCTTTTTCATAAAATTGTTCTATCATCAAGACAAATGATAGGGGAAAAAAGAAGTTCTGTCATTGCCACATCTTGTTTAACTCACAATTCATTTAGACCACGGTCAAAGACAAAGGAGCCATGATTTAAGTTTGGGTTTCAAAGCCTAATAGGTTTTTTTCCATTCGTAAATGTTTGTCATTATGTATATAAATGAATATCTAAATTTTCTTCTTTCCCAATTTATGTACTGTTGTAAACACCTTTCACTCAAATTAACAAGATCTTTCTCAGTAATTAATCCTTGATTAATCAGTGTCAACTCAGTTTATTGCCTATTACAGTGATTGACCGCTTGGACTATCATGTAGGTACGATGTATTTACAGGAATCAAAACAAACAAAGCTTTTCAGTGTAGATAATCTTCATTGTGTTACAACTGCAGACAGAAACTGCTCAGTCCTAGCTGTTGATCATGTCCGGTCAAAATTAAAGTATGTCCGGACAATACTTTTTAAAATGTCCGGACAGAAAAATTTAAATGTCCGGTAAGCAATATTTTAAACCGGACATTTGAGATTCCCGATCGGACATGTCCGGCGCATATGACGGTTTCCGGACCCCTGCCCAACACCCAAAGGATACCTTCAATACAGGCTAAGTTAAGCCACCGGTGCAGAATAAGCCACTAGTTCAGTGCCAGAATGCTCACAACATCAATGACAGATTTGATGAAGTACAGGCTGCCGTGAGAATATTGTGAGACAGCACACAAACTAATCATGATTTATAAATGCTGATGCCCATTTATTTCGAATATCTGAAGGTCACAAATTGCAAGCACACAAACCTCATCAGTTGGTTCAAATTACAGAGATGTATAGTACTTGGGCCTGTTCTGACCAGGACTGTCAGGTAGTTGGTAACAAGAGATGGTCCACTGTGACGAACCACATTTCTGCTCCATTGTTTGTCGAAGCGTGTCTCCAGATCATGATGGAGGGGTCATATTGCGGTCCAGATTGACCGACATTTTCCTGCTGATACACCTGAGATCCCAGTTTCTCATCACTCAGGGATTCAAGGACAGAATAGGAATGTGTGATCCTAATTTAACTGATTCTGATTGGCTGAAATGGACTCGATATTGTGCATTATACTTCTAACTGACTGGAAGGAATTGTGACTGAAGTGGCTTCACTGTGACATTTTGTCATTTCAACATTTGTAGCTATGCCTCAGCATGGAACCAGGGGCCGATGTGTAGGCTGCTGCAGCAGCATGATGTGGTCTCTTGTGATGAATAAAAATATCAGCATACCGACCTGGCTGTAAAAAGAGTTCATCTTATGTACACTGTAGTCTTAACTATCTTACCACTATTCCTACAGCCATGTCTATCTTACCACTATTCCCACACTACAGTCATGTCTACCTTACCACTATTCCTACACCACAGCCATGTCTATCTTACCACTATTCCTACAGCCATGTCTATCTTACCACTATTCCTACAGCCATGTCTATCTTACCACTATTCCTACAGCCATGTCTATCTTACCACTATTCCTGCAGCCATGTCTATCTTACCACTATTCCTACAGCCATGTCTATCTTACCACTATTCCTACACTACAGCCATGTCTACCTTACAACTATCACTGGAGCCATTTCTACCTTACCACTATTCCTACAGTCATGTCTATCTTACCACTATTCCTACACTACAGCCATGTCTACCTTACCACTATCACTACAGTCATGTCTACCTTACGACTATTCCTACAGTCATGTCTATCTTACCACTTTTCCTATACTACAGCCATGTCTATCTTACCACTATTCCTACACTACAGCCATGTCTATCTTACCACTATTCCTACACTACAGCCATGTTTACCTTACCACTATCACTACAGTCATGTCTACCTTACCACTATTCCTACAGTCATGTCTATCTTACCACTTTTCCTATACTACAGCCATGTCTATCTTACCACTATTCCTACAGCCATCTCTATCTTACCACTATTCCTACACTACAGCCATGTCTATCTTACCACTATCACTGCAGCCATGTCTCTTACCACTATTCCTACAGCCATCTCTATCTTACAACTATTCCTACACTACAGCCATGTCTATCTTACCACTATCACTGCAGCCATGTCTATCTTACCACTATTCCTACACTACAGCCATGTCTATATTACCACTATCACTACAGCTATGTCTATCTTACCACTATTCCTACAGCCATGTCTATATTACCACTATTCCTACACTACAGCCATGTCTATCTTACCACTATTCCTACACTACAGCCATGTCTACCTTACCACTATCACTACAGCCATGTCTATCTTACCCTTATTCCTACAGCCATGTCTATCTTACCACTATTCCTACACTACAGCCATGTCTACCTTACCACTATCACTAGAGCTATGTCTATCTTACCACTATTCCTACAGACATGACTCATGTCTATATTACCAATATCACTAGAGCTATGTCTATCTTACCACTATTCCTACAGTCATGTCTATATTACCACTATCACTACAGCCATGTCTATCTTACCACTAATCCTACAGTCATGTCTATATTACCACTATCACTACAGCTATGTCTATCTTACCACTATTCCTACAGTCATGTCTATATCACCACTATCACTACAGCCATGTCTATCTTACCACTATTCCTACACTACAGCCATGTCTATCTTACCACTATTCCTACACTACAGCCATGTCTATCTTACCACTATTCCTACACTACAGCAGTGTCTATCTTTCCACTATTCCTACACTACAGCCATGTCTATCTTTCCACTATTCCTTCCTACACTGCATGACCAGTGCACACAAACATTCACTGGTATAAACTTTTCTTCATATGTTGCTATAGTCCATCCATGCACAACTGCTTTGTGACTAGCTACTGAGCATGACAATTACCCGTGGAACATGTTCAGAACTTTCTGGTAGGTTAATTTGTCATGCACTGCTAACAATTGCTGTATTTCCTCTAATAAGACCCTTATTAACTTCAGCTTACTATTAATTTCTGTTTGGATTCCTGGTTTTAATTGGTCCTCAGTAATCTGTGCTGGTTGTAGGAAGCGATTCATTTAATGGGTGGGTAGTCATGGCAACATGTTTGAGCACATATCATCACACCCCATATTGTTTGTTGCTCAATATATCAATCACTTGATTGTCTGGCCCTGACACAATTATTTAAGTCATGTAGCTGAATATTTTTAACCCAGCCCTATCCTTTATTCAGTAAACTTTATGATGATAAAATGTTATAGGAAGAAATCATTAGCTGTAGGTGCCCTGGTCTTTATAAGAGGCCTCTTTCTTACTTGTAAACCGAGACCGCCTCTGTGGTCTTGTGGTAGAGCGTCCGCCCAGAGAGCGGAAGGTCCAGGGTTCGATCCCGGGCCGCGTCATACAAAAAGACGTTAAAAGATTGTACTTGTTGTTACCCTGTCTGGCGCTCGGCATTAAGGGGCTAAAACAAGGACTGGTCGGCTCGGAGTCAGTATACTGTGTCTGAGTGGGGTATTCATGTTAAACTGCGGCATGGTATCTCAGTGAGCTAGCACTATAAATCGGCATCAGTCCGGACTAGTACAAGCAGCCACACACACACATGCACGTCGCTATATAAGTGCAATAATCTTGGACGCGACGTTAAACCCAATTTCACCTCACCTCACTTGTAAACCTATATGCCTAGATCCAGTCATAAAGGGATTCTGGACTTTGGGCCATTGTATGATGTTAATACCTGATAATTCAATTCTTTCTACTGCCACCTGTACTATGTGTACCATGTCTCATATTAGAGGAAATATGCTACTTTACACTGGCCTTCTATGAGGCAGCATAACTTTATCAACTGCTACCTGTGCTATGTGTACCATGTCTCATATTAGAGGAAATATGCTTCTTTACACTGGCCTTCTATGAGGCAGCATAACTTCATCAACTGCTTCCTGTGCTATGTGTACCATGTCTCATATTAGAGGAAATATGGTACTTTACACTGGCCTTCTACGAGGCAGCATAACTTTATCAACTGCTACCTGTGCTATGTGTACCATGTCTCATATTAGAGGAAATATGGTACTTTACACTGCCACCTGTAGCATGTACAATGACATTACATTAATAGAGACAAGCTGTACTACGAGGCAGCACAGCTTCACCAAGTGCTACCTGTAGACCTGTTCTATGAGACAGCATAGCATATATATTCCACCTTTATGGAATGACAAGGTATTTCATCATGCACCAGCCCACATTATATCAGGTATACACAGCATGAAGTATCCGTTACCTGTCCCCTTGTCATGGATCAACAGATCAGCTGATGCAATAAACTATAAATAGCGCCAGGAGCTCCCCGACAGCCTTGCACTCCCTCAGCCGTGACACTTGACCTCACTGAGGTAAAGTATTGACAGGTTTTCAGTCTCGGGTCCCATGCGATACCGGCATGGACGGAAAAACAGCTGATTCCTGCTGATGCAACACTAGAGAAATGTACAGTGATATAGCTGTAGGAAGCGGCATGTTAGTTTAATACCAGCACAGCACAGTAACCGGCCATAGGAAACAGCACTGTAGGACTTTGTGGGAGAGCTGTGACAATCCTGTTCGCATTGGACAAAGTTGTTATTCAAGAGCATTTGACGGGGAAGAAGAAAACGAAGTATTGCGGTTCTGGAGGAGAGTTGATGAGGATGTACTGACAGTTATAAGCATATATGGATTTCTGTGTGGCATATATACAGATGTAAATCGGTTGGAGGATAGCTGTGATATATACAAATTTGTCATATGATATATGGATGAAACAGAAGCTATTCAAAAGATACATGATATATAAACTTGGATTATATAAAATACTTACCAGGAAGTATGACAATTGTGTTTGGAGGAATATAAACAAGGAACAAGCACTCTCGTCTGCTGTGATTTTCAATGATTTTGGATTGATGTGATTTTTTATTTTCTACAAAACAAGTTGCAACGGTTTTGATTTTGGAAAAAAACTAATTCCTTTGTGAGTTATGATGTATGGGATTACAGCAGTTGTAGGTGTTGTTCAGGGTGTGACGGTGCGGTCAAGGTGTCGGTCATCTCAAATACCCACGCCACGACAACTGTGTTGTACAAGTATTCTAGTATGTACTCAGAGTAATTTTGCTGCATTAATATTACAGTCAAGTCAGGCATTGTGACTTGTTCATGCAAGGAATCCGAGCAGATAGCTCTTATGCTGTTCAACTTGAGTAGGTGCTTGTTAAGAACATGAAGAAAGGATAGATTTCATTTTCAGATCTCTAAAAATTATTTCTTGTGAATATTTCTCATAATTATTTGTGATATTCGTATGAAACAGTATCCTGTGAAAATATGTGAACATTTTTGTGGTAAGAAAAAGATATTGTAGAAGATACGAAATTTGCTAAGATTTCATTCAAGATAAAGCTAGAAAGATCTCATCGTACAATGGGAAGATAAGAGAGTTGAAAAGATCTCATCTGCTCATAGAAGATTAGAAAGAACAAATCTCTAAGAAGATAAGATCTCATAGAAGATAAGAAAGTTGAAAAGATTTCATCTGCTCATAGAAGATTAGAAAGAACAAATCTCTTAGAAGATAAGATCTCATAGAAGATAAGAAAGTTGATAAGATCTCATCTGTTCATAGATGATTAGAAAGAACAAATCTCTTAGAAGATAAGATCTCATTGAAGATAAGAAAGTTGATAAGATCTCATCTGCTCATAGACGATTAGAAAGAACAAATCTCTTAGAAGATAAGATCTCATAGAAGGTAGGAAAGTTGACAAGACCTCACAGAAGATAAGAAAGTTGCAGAGATCTCACAGAAGGCTGCAACAGCTCCTAAGAGTCTAGAAGTATCACGGTGGGATAATAAGGTCCTGTGGTTGAGATAATCCAAGCAGAAAGATGTCATCGGATCAGCCCAACATGTTTCTGGATGGGAGTAAGGGTGTGGTGCTTGTTGGACGTACTCGGGAACAGTTTGAAATCTACAAGCAGATCCAGGAAATAGGTGAAGGAATTGCTGACCTGAAAGCCCAGAAACCACCAGGTTATAAGAAACAGGTGCAGTTTATTATTTCCACATCAGATTTGCTGACTCTGCAATTATTGAAAGGTTTGCAAAAAGTGTACCAAAACTCCTTATATTTAATACTGTCAGCAGAATCTTATATCATCTATAATAGACTTGAAATTACTCTTTCTCATGCAGCATGACAAAAACATTCTATACGCAGAGTTTCAGATGGTAGTCGGTCACCGGTCATAGACTGATAAAATAATAATTTGACTTATGATTTGTTTCAGTAGTTGGACTTTGGACCGATAGAAATGCTGGGCAAGGTGTCAGGTTTCATAATTCCATAAATGTAAAGTAAATTGTAAGGATTAGTCCTACAAGTTTACAGTGTCGATTTAATAAAACAATGCACAGCCATCAAAAATCATAATTGAACTTTTGAGTAGCATGTGTCTTTGCATCATGCAATCTGTATCAGAGCTTTAGTGACTTAGTCAAGCGCTTTTCTTATCGCGACATTCATTGGCCAGATCATATATATTCATCCAATCACAAATGGTGTTGCATTAATTTGTTATGGTTTTTCCACCATTTTGGTTGACTTGACTTACTGACTTTTGCTTTTGACTTATTACATTTCTTGGGTACAAGTCATTGATATATGTACAGCTTTTTGTGACAAAATCAGTGAAGATAGTTCTCACAATAACGCAACAATAAGTTGTGTATCCCTTAATTGTTACATTTTCATCCTGATCTTTCAAAATGTGAGCATGGTGAGGTCGGAGGCATTATCTTTGTATTTGTGCCTTGGTTCAATTCCCTACACGTACAAGCCTACTTGTGGTGTCTCAAAACATATTTTAAGTGTTAGAAACTAATCCTTTTAGTTCACTAGTCCATATTATGATAACATACAGCAAAACCCTTAAAAATGGTACATTTGTACCGGTCATTATGATACCTTAACTATTGGTCAGTTTGGCAAGGACTATAGAACAAGTGCCAGTTTTTAATGCTTATTTTTCATCTAGTTTTATAAGTGAAATTATGACCTTTCTCAGTACCACAGATGTCTGTGATAGTTTATCAACATCTGTTTAAACAATAGTACATACATCACACATTGCTATAGTTCAAATAACTAAGTTATACAAAATACTGGAATTTAATGTATAATTTCCCACAGGTTTTAACAAGATAATTGTCCTGGATTTGCTTGAAAAGATCTGTTGTGGAAAATAGATTAAATATCCTGCCTCTATCAAAAATCCTAGCCTTGTTAGTCAAGGGAGGTAATCCCCATCTCCTATTGTTCCCCCCTGGAAGGTGTGAGTGTGTCGTATAGTTTGATATTATTTGGCCATGAGTACTTTACGAATTGAGTCATGTCTCTCAGATCTTCCACAAAGCTATCGTAGCTAAAGAGATCGTAACTCCCATACTTTAACATAGACGTACAGCTGTCGTTTCGCTACAATTGCTTTTTGGAACGCGGCCCAGAAACATAAAATCATTTTGTCACCTTGTACAACAAACATAGGTTGCTGGGGACAGAGTTCGACCTGGAATCACCAAGGAATAGTGGGGCATCTCGCCAATGGCCGAGTTAGATTCCTAGTGTTGGTACATATCATGAAGCCCAATCCTGGTGTACATAGCTGCAATATTGCCGATGGCTGGGAATTTTATATACATATATGTGCCTATTCCCATCTTCCCAAGGCAAGAGAGTTAACTGACTATGTACGTCCAGTTTCCACCCTTGCCGAACTAGGCTGGAATTCCTGGGCTGGATCGTAGCGCCACCAGTGTCTATTATAAGTAATGTCCCTTCTATGTCCTTCCTATTGGCAAATCAGATTCCACCTCTCACATCACTTGCATTTGCTTCAAATAAAATGGCGGAGCCCAGTCAAGGCGAGGTGATAGATAATCAAAATCTATTTTGTGCAGTTTTCGAACCAGATGTCGATTTGGATTGGTCTATGCATAGACTTGTTAGTTCAGCCAAAATATAACTCCATAATTCCAGCCTAGATCGGCAAGGGTGGAAATTGGACTTTAGTAGTCAGTGAACTCCCTTGCATTGGGAAGATGACTTTTCCAGGCCTGCATGCCTGTCTGGAGTGAGGCTGTGTTGATGTGATGTAGCATGGTGAAGGGGGGTGTTTCTGCTAGCCTTGTCTACTGTTTATATTCACCAGAGTTGCTGAAAGAGTTCTTCTCTCCATTCCATATCCTCTGACCTTGTGATTGTGCTCACCATGTTGCCTCTCTGCCGATTTCATCGTCTGCTGTACCAAAAAAACAAACTACACCATTCTGCTCTGCGTTTCTTGTCATCTAACCAGGTAAGATATAGATTTGAGTGGATAGCATAGGTTCTAGCCCTCTATTATATGTAATGGGCAAATAAAATGGATCCGGTGGTCAAGCTCTGGTTGATTGGGTGTCATCGTGCCTATTGATAGTGTCAGAGGTTGCTCATGATGTGGACCACTGGTTTATCTGACCCAGATTAAAATAATGCTGTGTTATAGCTGGAATTTTGTTGATTTCTGCATAAAACAACAAACGGAATCGATAGAATGACAGTAGACCATCCTCGATTATCCAGTGTATTATGACCTTTCTGTTATGATTAATTACCATGACCATTTCAGCACTAGCTCTTCACATTAAAGCCAGTTCATGAGGTTCAAATGGCAGGATGCTAAAAATACTGTTCCAATCAAAAATACTTCCTTCAAAGTAATGTTTCAAGATATCTTTTATTCTTAATTTCTGAGGAAATTCAATGAACAGAGTAGTGTCACTTAGCTGTAAGGGCAGGGTTTGAAACTAACAGTTTTTGTCCACTAGTCCTAATAATGATAACATATAGCAAAACTCTTAAAATGGGCCAATTTCTACTAGTCCTTAGGATACCTTTGCTATTGGGCAGTTTGGTAAGGACTATAGGACTAGTGCCAATTTCTAACGCTGAAGGGTCAACTTGTCATGGGCTATGTGAAACATGACTTCCAATATATAAGGGAATAAGGAGCCATGTTTTTTATTTAGTTTTTTCTAAATGTTTATCTCACAGTAGGGTTAAAATATTTGTTACTTATCTCACGATAATCTCTGATCCCAATACCATTGCACTACATGTACTTCCTTTTAGCATTATTATCCTCTGTGTACCCTTATAGTAATACTCCCTGACCATTCATCTACATATACAGAAAATATGTGTGCATTCAATTAATTACCCAAGAACTAACCCCCCAAAACGTAAGAGATAAAAAGAGCTATCCATTGCCATTGGCATGGTAAGTAATTTTCTGACTTATCAATGGGGCTGTCATGGTGGATTAACTGGTTCAAGGCCAGAACCTTTGGTTATTATGTCGGATACAGTTACCAAGTTCCTTATCAGAGGATGGAAACTGCTTACAGATGTGCGGGAATCAGAACTCTTCCATTTGCTAACATGTTAAGTTTAAAATGAATTTTAAAGGTATTAAATCTAACTGAAGCTACTATATAGACCACATGGGGCGAATCTATATATCAATAAAGATGGAATTGATCAGATATATTACACAGTTCTCTTTTTTCAAATAACACATTTATACATTTGAACATTACGTAGAGACTTGTCAATAATTGGGGAGGGTGGGCATGAATGAAAACAAATGTTGCATAATGTGTTGGGGTGGGAGGGGAAATATAAGTCTCAGTGAATGAAAGGGGGACATTTTTATACGTATGTGACTCGGTTGATTGCATGTCATCGCAGTTGCATTGATCAATGCTCATGATATCACTCACTGGATTGTCTGGTCCAGACTCAATAAATTGCAGATCACTGTTATATGGCTGAAATGTTACATAACAAACAAACAAATGTGACATTATTTCTTAGTTCAGAAATACACCAGTCATTGCCAAGAGGAGAATTTTACTATGGTATAATCCCAATAACAGGGATTATCCTGAATCAGACTCCTGCTCGTACCACATCCAACCAATGGATTGTTCATCAGGTTAATAAGCTCTCGTTACACAAATGTCCCATACACTGAACGATTATGTAAATATTGTATAGAAAATGGTATATCTTTTATTGAAGATGAATTTCATGTTTTACTTGTATGTGAGCGTTATTCAGCCCTAAGAAATATGTATCTTAAACAGTATATCAAGTTTCAAACTGTAACTTCTTTTACTGAAATCATTTCATCAGAAAACTTTGATGTTGTATATAACACATGTTTATATCTATATAAAGTCCAACGGCTAAGAGAAACTTAAATCGACTACTTCCTTGGCATGCGTAGTTCATGCAATCAACCATTGTCTGTATTATGGGCCTATGGCCTTCTTACTGAATAAACTGTCTGTCTGTCTGTCTGTCTGTCTGTCTGTCGTTGCCTTGCCATACCTAACTGTGTCTATTTTGTAACAACTGATGCTTTGATAAAGATCAGTGAGATGGGAAACATAGAGTACAGAGCACAAACACTCACCATCTTCAGCTGTGGCTGTTTCCTCTCTGTGCCTGATGGCGAAATTCAAGTCTTGGCGTCAATGTTGCAACTTTCTTCTTATCATTCTTCTTAGGTTACATGAATTCTTTCAGATAAGCATAACCATTCATTGAAAGAAACAAGACCTACATGACCATCCCATAGATCTGATGAAATAAGGACACTTTGTATGCCCAGTTATCTGATTTCCCTTGTTGCCATAATGGATTCTTCCAGGACAGCCTATTGACTATTCCACTTGATTTATTCAGGGGGGTTAGGTAGTGATAAAGGAACATGTGGGTGACTCTCAGAGTTAATATTTAGGTCAGATAAGAGTCTGCAGTACTGCGTCACACATCCGTAATCTGAATGACCAAATTGGACAAATGATAAGATAGACTTCTATATGCGGCCATGTTGTGTCAGGACCGTGCACACATTCCGTGATATTCCCATACGTCGTAGAGTAGTACCCTGCCCAACCCCTGCACCCGCAATGGAGTGTTATGATGATGGTGGTGTTCATAAGAGCATCCGACTCAAAGACTCGGAAAGGTCCAAAAAGAAAGGCAAGAAAAATAAGGTAGGAAAAGAGTTGAGATCTGGCGATGTTTGCATTTTATCGACTGCTGGGACGACTTGTTTCAGCAGACTGTGACTTAAACCACTAGTCCAAAGCCTAGTCTAGTAAGATATTTTCTGCTCTAGGAAGAGCAGCTTGTGCTAGTCCATACTAATCACAGAAAAATATTTACTGAAAATAATGCCATGCAATGTGACTGAACAGTTTTGGGCACAGGCTGTTACAGTACATCTCTGATAGCCAAAACAGCATGCCATTCTTGGAGACTACAGATGTAGATTGGGAAGATTTGTCTTTGTTTGGATCATGTAAAGCAGGCATTTTTCAGGGTAGCTATCAGTAATACAATGTGTTATTCTCATTATGGAATCTTCATGCACGTGGTGATGATTGTGTTCATACTGCTTCCAAACCTTCATCATGCCCCAACCAGGCTTTGTCTAGTGTATTCTTTGGAGTCACCACTCACTGTGCAGAGTTCCCTCCCTTGGCCATGCCAGGATCCATGGCTCCTGTGTTTGAATCCCCACTTTGCCCCAGTTATCATTCTTGGTTCATGGTGAATGTGTACAATTTAACTATATATCAGCTTGTTTGTCCATCTGTATGTCTGTCTCCCCATCTGTCTGTAATCACATTTTGTCCAGATCATATCTAAAAAAATAATAGGTATTCTTTCATGAAACTTTGCACACAGTACCACGTTGTCAACTGGTGCCTCATGCTATTTAGGGATTTTTAGAATTTTTATTTTTTCCATATCCATGGCAACAAGTTAGACTTTGACTCTGTCATAGTGGTGTGTTTGTCTGGACGATATCTCTAAACATGCTAAAACTTGGCATCTCCTGATGACTCTTCTTACCTTTGTTGCCATTTTAAAAAAATTACATGCAAAGTTCAAACAATGTTAGGAACTTTGAAATGGCTATTTTTCTCTATAAACAAATGACAATAATATCAAGAATTGGATAACTTTCAGAAAGTGTCCAAAATACTCCGAGCCAGCTAGGATGGCAGTTTCAGTAGCCCATACAGAATTCCACTAGGCTTGGCTTGACAGGGTAGCAGGATTGGTAAACTGCGACAATGTATCAATGTTTTCGTGTTAGGCGTCAGCAGTGACAGATAAGCCTGTAGTGCTAGGGTGTGTCGTGTTATGGTCGTGATCCATTCCACCTGATTAGATAGGTGTGAGATGATGCAACAGTACCTGTAGATTTACTTCAGCCTGTTATCCACAACATGTCCTGTTCCAGCCATCGTGTTATACTGAAGGTACTTTAAACAACACATTTGTGTTGGAAAATGTCATTTTTTTAGAGAACTTTTTTTGACATTTACCTGTTTTCTGATAACACAGTTTTACGACTTGTCATGCTTATCTCAAGTCATCATGTTTGTTTACAAGACACTTTTGCCCTGTTACATATGAACACATTTTTTTCATCTTTTTTATTCTATATAAGTTTTTATAACCCTGTGAATCTTGATGGCACAGTTCCCAGTGATGGCATCTGGATAAGTAATGAAACAGTAAATCATCCTTAAAGTGTTGTAACCAGGGTAACAGATTTTGTGATGGTCCCTGGTGAACTACAAGTGTTCTGTTCTTCTGTTGGTCCCTGGTGAACTACAAGTGTTCTGTTCTTCTGTTGGTCTCTGGTGAACTACAAGTGTTCTGTTCTTCTGTTGGTCCCTGGTGAACTACAAGTGTTCTGTTCTTCTGTTGGTATCTGGTGAACTACAAGTGTTCTGTTCTTGTGATGGTCTCTGGTGAACTACAAGTGTTCTGTTCTTCTGTTGGTCTCTGGTGAACTACAAGTGTTCTGTTCTTCTGTTGGTCCCTGGTGAACTACAAGTGTTCTATTCTTGTGTTGGTCTCTGGTGAACTACAAGTGTTCTGTTCTTGTGATGGTCCCTGGTGAACTACAAGTGTTCTGTTCTTCTGTTGGTCCCTGGTGAACTACAAGTGTTCTGTTCTTCTGTTGGTCTCTGGTGAACTACAAGTGTTCTGTTCTTCTGTTGGTCCCTGGTGAACTACAAGTGTTCTGTTCTTCTGTTGGTATCTGGTGAACTACAAGTGTTCTGTTCTTGTGATGGTCTCTGGTGAACTACAAGTGTTCTGTTCTTCTGTTGGTCTCTGGTGAACTACAAGTGTTCTGTTCTTCTGTTGGTCCCTGGTGAACTACAAGTGTTCTGTTCTTCTGTTGGTCCCTGGTGAACTACAAGTGTTCTGTTCTTGTGTTGGTCTCTGGTGAACTACAAGTGTTCTGTTCTTGTGATGGTCCCTGGTGAACTACAAGTGTTCTGTTCTTCTGTTGGTCCCTGGTGAACTACAAGTGTTCTGTTCTTCTGTTGGTCTCTCGTGAACTACAAGTGTTCTGTTCTTGTGATGGTCCCTGGTGAACTACAAGTGTTCTGTTCTTGTGATGGTCCCTGGTGAACTACAAGTGTTCTGTTCTTGTGTTGGTCCCTGGTGAACTACAAGTGTTCTGTTCTTCTGTTGGTCCCTGGTGAACTACAAGTGTTCTGTTCTTCTGTTGGTCCCTGGTGAACTACAAGTGTTCTGTTCTTCTGTTGGTCCCTGGTGAACTACAAGTGTTCTGTTCTTCTTGTGATGGTCCCTGGTGAACTACAAGTGTTCTGTTCTTCTGTTGGTCCCTGGTGAACTACAAGTGTTCTGTTCTTCTGTTGGTCTCTGGTGAACTACAAGTGTTCTGTTCTTCTGTTGGTCCCTGGTGAACTACAAGTGTTCTGTTCTTCTGTTGGTCTCTGGTGAACTACAAGTGTTCTGTTCTTGTGATGGTCCCTGGTGAACTACAAGTGTTCTGTTCTTGTGATGGTCCCTGGTGAACTACAAGTGTTCTGTTCTTCTGTTGGTCTCTGGTGAACTACAAGTGTTCTGTTCTTCTTGTGATGGTCCCTGGTGAACTACAAGTGTTCTGTTCTTCTGTTGGTCCCTGGTGAACTACAAGTGTTCTGTTCTTCTGTTGGTCTCTGGTGAACTACAAGTGTTCTGTTCTTGTGATGGTCCCTGGTGAACTACAAGTGTTCTGTTCTTGTGATGGTCCCTGGTGAACTACAAGTGTTCTGTTCTTCTGTTGGTCTCTGGTGAACTACAAGTGTTCTGTTCTTGTGATGGTCCCTGGTGAACTACAAGTGTTCTGTTCTTCTGTTGGTCCCTGGTGAACTACAAGTTTTCTGTTCTTCTGTTGGTCTCTGGTGAACTACAAGTGTTCTGTTCTTGTGATGGTCCCTGGTGAACTACAAGTGTTCTGTTCTTCTGTTGGTCCCTGGTGAACTACAAGTGTTCTGTTCTTCTGTTGGTCTCTGGTGAACTACAAGTGTTCTGTTCTTGTGATGGTCCCTGGTGAACTACAAGTGTTCTGTTCTTCTGTTGGTCTCTGGTGAACTACAAGTGTTCTGTTCTTGTGATGGTCCCTGGTGAACTACAAGTGTTCTGTTCTTCTGTTGGTCCCTGGTGAACTACAAGTGTTCTGTTCTTCTGTTGGTCTCTGGTGAACTACAAGTGTTCTGTTCTTGTGATGGTCCCTGGTGAACTACAAGTGTTCTGTTCTTCTGTTGGTCTCTGGTGAACTACAAGTGTCATGTTCTTGTGTTGGTCCCTGGTCAACTCCAAGTGTCGTGTTCTTGTGATGGTCCATTGTGAACTACAGGTCACATGTTCTTGAGTTGGTCTCTGGTGAACTACAGGTCACATGTTTTTGTGTTTGTCTGTGATGAACTACAGGTCACATGTTCTTGTGTTTGTCTGTGATGAACTACAGGTCACATGTTCTTGTGTTTGTCTGTGATGAACTACAGGTCACATGTTCTTGTGTTTGTCTGTGATGAACTACAGGTCACATGTTCTTGAGTTGGTCTGTGATGAACTACAGGTCACATGTTCTTGAGTTGGTCTGTGATGAACTACAGGTCACATGTTCTTGAGTTGGTCTGTGATGAACTACAGGTCACATGTTCTTGAGTTGGTCTGTGATGAACTACAGGTCACATGTTCTTGAGTTGGTCTGTGATGAACTACAGGTCACATGTTCTTGAGTTGGTCTGTGATGAACTACAGGTCACATGTTCTTGAGTTGATCTCTGAAGAGTACTACTCACAAATACAGTTCTCAGTTTCATTTATGTTTCAGATAGGAGAAGAAGTTGCCAAATTATTAGAATTAAAAGCACAGCTTGGTGATGATGGCCCCAAAAAGTTTGTTCTCAAAACCGCCAAGGTAAGTGAATGGAATTAACTGCAATTAATCATAATGTTAATTAGGAAATAAACATTCTGTGTTTTGGGTGTAAAGACTGACAGACTGTCATGGAACAGCTGACAGAGTGACATGGAACAGTTGACAGACTGACATGGAACAGCTGACAGAGTGACATGGAACAGCTGACAGACTGACATGGAACAGTTGACAGACTGACATGAAATAGTTGACAGTGACATGGAATAGTTGACAGACTGACATGGAACAGTTGACAGACTGACATGGAACAGCTGACAGAGTGACATGGAATAGTTGACAGACTGACATGGAACAGCTGACAGAGTGACATGGAATAGTTGACAGACTGACATGGAACAGCTGACAGAGTGACATGGAATAGTTGACAGACTGACATGGAACAGCTGACAGAGTGACATGGAATAGTTGACAGACTGACATGGAATAGTTGACAGACTGACATGGAACAGCTGACAGAGTGACATGGAACAGCTGACAGAGTGACATGGAATAGTTGACAGACTGACATGGAACAGCTGACAGAGTGACATGGAATAGTTGACAGACTGACATGGAATAGTTGACAGAGTGACATGGAATAGTTGACAGACTGACATGGAACAGCTGACAGAGTGACATGGAATAGTTGACAGTGACATGGAATAGTTGACAGACTGACATGGAATAGTTGACAGACTGACATGGAACAGCTGACAGAGTGACATGAAATAGTTGACAGTGACATGGAATAGTTGACAGACTGACATGGAACAGTTGACAGACTGACATGGAATAGTTGACAGACTGACATGGAATAGTTGACAGAGTGACATGAAATAGTTGACAGTGACATGGAATAGTTGACAGACTGACATGGAACAGTTGACAGACTGACATGGAACAGCTGACAGACTGACATGGAATAGTTGACAGACTGACATGGAATAGTTGACAGACTGACATGAAATAGTTGACAGACTGACATGGAATAGTTGACAGACTGACATGGAACAGTTGACAGACTGACATGGAACAGCTGACAGAGTGACATGGAATAGTTGACAGACTGACATGGAACAGCTGACAGAGTGACATGGAATAGTTGACAGACTGACATGGAACAGCTGACAGAGTGACATGGAATAGTTGACAGACTGACATGGAATAGTTGACAGACTGACATGGAACAGCTGACAGAGTGACATGGAATAGTTGACAGACTGACATGGAATAGTTGACAGACTGACATGGAACAGCTGACAGAGTGACATGGAACAGCTGACAGAGTGACATGGAATAGTTGACAGACTGACATGGAACAGCTGACAGAGTGACATGGAATAGTTGACAGACTGACATGGAATAGTTGACAGACTGACATGGAATAGTTGACAGAGTGACATGGAATAGTTGACAGACTGACATGGAATAGTTGACAGACTGACATGGAACAGCTGACAGAGTGACATGGAACAGTTGACAGACTGACATGGAACAGCTAACAGAGTGACATGGAATAGTTGACAGACTGACATGGAATAGTTGACAGACTGACATGAAATAGTTGACAGTGACATGGAATAGTTGACAGACTGACATGGAACAGTTGACAGACTGACATGGAACAGCTGACAGAGTGACATGGAATAGTTGACAGACTGACATGGAACAGCTGACAGAGTGACATGGAATAGTTGACAGACTGACATGGAACAGCTGACAGAGTGACATGGAATAGTTGACAGACTGACATGGAATAGTTGACAGAGTGACATGGAATAGTTGACAGACTGACATGGAACAGCTGACAGAGTGACATGGAATAGTTGACAGTGACATGGAATAGTTGACAGACTGACATGGAATAGTTGACAGACTGACATGGAACAGCTGACAGAGTGACATGGAATAGTTGACAGACTGACATGGAACAGCTGACAGAGTGACATGGAATAGTTGACAGAGTGACATGGAATAGTTGACAGACTGACATGAAATAGTTGACAGATTGACATGGAATAGTTGACAGACTGACATGGAACAGCTGACAGACTGACATGGAATAGTTGACAGACTGACATGGAATAATTGACAGACTGACATGGAACAGCTGACAGAGTGACATGGAATAGTTGACAGACTGACATGGAACAGCTGACAGAGTGACATGGAATAGTTGACAGACTGACATGGAACAGTTGACAGACTGACATGGAACAGCTGACAGACTGACATGGAATAGTTGACAGACTGACATGGAATAGTTGACAGACTGACATGGAACAGCTGACAGAGTGACATGGAATAGTTGACAGACTGACATGGAATAATTGACAGACTGACATGGAACAGCTGACAGACTGACATGGAATAGTTGACAGACTGACATGGAACAGCTGACAGAGTGACATGGAATAGTTGACAGACTGACATGGAACAGTTGACAGACTGACATGGAACAGCTGACAGACTGACATGGAATAGTTGACAGACTGACATGGAATAGTTGACAGAGTGACATGGAACAGCTGACAGAGTGACATGGAATAGTTGACAGACTGACATGGAACAGCTGACAGAGTGACATGGAATAGTTGACAGTGACATGGAATAGTTGACAGACTGACATGGAACAGTTGACAGACTGACATGGAACAGGTGACAGAGTGACATGGAATAGTTGACAGACTGACATGGAACAGCTGACAGAGTGACATGGAATAGTTGACAGACTGACATGGAACAGCTGACAGAGTGACATGGAATAGTTGACAGACTGACATGGAATAGTTGACAGACTGACATGGAATAGTTGACAGACTGACATGGAACAGTTGACAGACTGACATGGAACAGTTGACAGAGTGACATGGAATAGTTGACAGACTGACATGGAATAGTTGACAGACTGACATGGAACAGCTGACAGAGTGACATGGAACAGCTGACAGAGTGACAAGGAATAGTTGACAGACTGACATGGAACAGCTGACAGAGTGACATGGAATAGTTGACAGACTGACATGGAATAGTTGACAGACTGACATGGAATAGTTGACAGAGTGACATGGAATAGTTGACAGACTGACATGGAATAGTTGACAGACTGACATGGAACAGCTGACAGAGTGACATGGAACAGTTGACAGACTGACATGGAACAGCTGACAGAGTGACATGGAATAGTTGACAGACTGACATGGAACAGCTGACAGAGTGACATGGAATAGTTGACAGTGACATGGAATAGTTGACAGACTGACATGGAACAGTTGACAGACTGACATGGAACAGGTGACAGAGTGACATGGAATAGTTGACAGACTGACATGGAACAGCTGACAGAGTGACATGGAATAGTTGACAGACTGACATGGAACAGCTGACAGAGTGACATGGAATAGTTGACAGACTGACATGGAATAGTTGACAGACTGACATGGAATAGTTGACAGACTGACATGGAACAGTTGACAGACTGACATGGAACAGTTGACAGACTGACATGGAACAGCTGACAGACTGACATGGAATAGTTGACAGACTGACATGGAATAGTTGACAGACTGACATGGAACAGCTGACAGAGTGACATGGAATAGTTGACAGACTGACATGGAACAGCTGACAGAGTGACATGGAATAGTTGACAGACTGACATGGAACAGCTGACAGAGTGACATGGAATAGTTGACAGAGTGACATGGAATAGTTGACAGACTGACATGGAACAGCTGACAGACTGACATGGAATAGTTGACAGACTGACATGGAATAGTTGACAGACTGACATGGAACAGCTGACAGAGTGACATGGAATAGTTGACAGACTGACATGGAATAATTGACAGACTGACATGGAATAGTTGACAGACTGTGACTAGAATAGGATGACAAAATTACTTCGCACTTTGCATCATGATTTTGAAAGATTTAAGTTTAGTGTAAACTAAATGTTTTCATTACATAAGCCATGTTTTAAGTGGAAATTCACCAAACAGGATGACAAGCTGCCAACACCTTAAAGTGTTGGATATTGCTCTGAATATTTATGCACAGCCTGGATACTGGGTCGTACATGATGCATCAGTGTATCTGACTCGTCCCGCCCACCCTCACCATGATGCTGTATGACGCTTTTATGACGCTTGTATGATGCTGTATGACGCTGTATGACGCTGTATGATGCTGTATGACGCTGTACTATGCTGTATGATGCTGTACTATGCTGTATGATGCTGTATGATGCTGTATGACTCTGTATGATGCTGTATTATCCCCTGCTGTCTATACACGCCTGTGTTATCAGGGCACCCGGGACTACAGCCCCCAGCAGATGGCCATCAGGGAAGGAGTCTTCAACAAAATCATCAAAACTTTCAAGCGCCACGGAGCCGAGACCATAGACACACCAGTATTTGAACTAAAGGTAGCAACAGCCTGCATCATGGGGCATTTTGGCTGCGTTTTCTCTGATTTAATATTCAATATACACAATTATTTACATTACTGCACTATTTGATAGATATAGAGTTGTGTAAGTGACGTCCATCAGGACAAATGCTGGTGGTCCTAGCACTATTCTTTCAATTCACTCTGTTACTTTGAACAGAATCAATGACCAGAAACTATGTTCATTTGTTTGTTTGTTGGTTTGTTGGTTTGTTGTTTTACGCCGCACTCAGCAATATTCCAGCCATATGATGGCGGTCTGTACATTATCAAGTCTTGACCAGACAATTTAGTAATTGATATCATGAGCATCGATCCACGCAATTGGGTTACGATGACATGCATCAACCAAGTCAACGAGCCTGACCACCCGATACTGTTAGTCGCCTCTGACGACAAACATAGTCGCCTTACATGGCAAGCATGTGTTGCTGAAGACCTATTCTACCCCCGATCTTCACGGGTTACATAGAAACTGCTGAGTATTACTTAGTTGTCGGCATCATTGACCAGAAAAGTCTGTAACACAAGCAAATAACGGTGCCCATCATGAAAGATGATAGCGTCAGCTGATATGTTGTAAGTTTTATAGTGTATCATACTCTGTATGTATACCGTATTCGACGTAGTAAGCGCCCCGCTCTAATAAGCGCCCACAGCGATATTTGCTAATATATTGGCAAGTGAACAATCCCAATTAGCACCCCTTCCGATTGATCAATGTACACAAGACTTATTTATTCATGTAAAATACGCACTCGTGTGTTATATGCACCTTTAATTATGGGCAATTAAATTCTGGAAAAATATATCTGTCGTATATAAACAGTTCAGGCCGTCCGCATAAACCTCAAAATTTATCTTTCATCATTTATCTTTTTTCCATCAAAATAATATTCTAATAAGAGCCCCTTATTTCTAATTTTGAGAGCGCCCTGGGCGCTTATTACGTCGAATACGGTATTATTGATGGTTATCTTGCCATACGCCAGATATTTATACTTTGTTATGTTATGTCTTGTTTCAGGAAACACTGACAGGGAAATATGGTGAAGACTCCAAACTTATATATGACCTGGCAGACCAAGGGGGAGAACTCTTGTCTCTCCGCTATGACCTCACTGTATCCTTGCCCTCGTACTGTTCATGGCTTCATCTTTATGGCTGTAGGAAACAGAACTGTAACATTTGTTTTGTCTGTGATTTCAGGGGGCACAGAATTAGCTGTGCAGAGTTACATCCCTTAGACGTGCCAGAAACCTATGGTATGGGAGTTGAGGGTTGTAGTGCTTCGATCACATTGTGGACCAACATCCTAGTGTAACTGTCTGAATGTGTGTCGTCATTGACTATTGTCAGACCACTAGCTATTGTATTGTATTGTTTGTTGTTTAACGCCGCACTCAGCAATATTCCAGCTATATGAAGGCGGTCTGTAAATAATCGAGTTTGGACCAGTCAATCCAGTGATTTATATCCTGGCAATGGTTCAAGACACTGGGGATAAAATGACCTGCATCAACCAGGTCAGCGAGCCTGACCACCCGATCCCGTTAGTCGCTTTTTATGGCAAGCATGGGTTGCAGAAGACCAGTTCTACCCCGGATCTTCACGGGTCTGACCACTGGCTAGGCCTGTCCTGTTTTGAAGTACTGTAAATTTTTAAATAAATGCATCTCCAAATTAATGTGAAGCGAGGCCATCTTATTGCTGAGTCATTTTGGAGAAATAAATGTGAAGTTTGAATTAATGCAAGCGAAAACCACCCGCAATTTTTTCGCATTTATTCCACTTTCACATTAATGTCAAGATTTACAGTTTGAACAATTACAAGTGGCCCATAATCTTTTTTAACATGATTAATCATAGATAATAGTTGTCCACTCTGAAACATGACCCTTAACGTATGTCAGGTGCCTTTTGCACGCTATTTAGCCATGAACAAAATTTCCAACATCAAACGCTACCACATTGCCAAAGTGTACCGCCGCGACAACCCGGCCATGACAAGAGGGAGGTACCGGGAGTTCTACCAGTGTGTAAGTAGTCAAGTCACAGTCCACTTGCTGCCTCGCACAGCTGGTCACAGGGTCACCTGATAGATGCATTTCTAGTTACTGTTAAAAATATCATCTGAAGACATTGACGAAATCTTACCAGTAAAGCAGATACATGCATATTGAAGAAATCATTGTACATTGTATCTGAAATTGTAACTGGAAAACAGATTTTTACAAATTAGGAAAATAAAACTTTTGTTTTACTCCTGTCAAGTCTGACAAGCTTCAGTAACAAAACAAAACTATACCATGGTCTTATGGGTCAGTATGGGTCAGTAAGTGACCCTTTTTTAACTTGCATGACACAAACAACATGATTTCTTTATTTCACCAAACTGACAATAATTTTGAATGTTTAGATTTATGTTTTCAAAAATGTGTTTATTTTTCGTTAGACCACTGATACTTTTTCTTTCTTTCTGTTGGCGACCGCCTCCGTGGTCTAGTGGTAGAGCGTCCGCCCGGAGAGCGGAAGGTCCTGGGTTCAAACCCCGACCGCATCATACCAAAAGATGTTAAAAGAAGGTACTTGTTGTTACCCTGTCTGGCGCTCTGCATTAAGGGGCTAAAACAAGGACTGTTCGGCTCGGAGTCAGTATACTGTGTCTGAGTGGGGTATTCATGTTAAACTGCGGCATGGTATCTCAGTGAGCTAGCACTATAAATCGGCATCAGTCCGGACTAGTACAAGCACACACACACACACACACACACACACACACACACACACACACACACACACACACACTATATGCACGTCGCTATATAAGTGCAATAATCTTTGACGCGACGTTAAACCCCATTTCACCTCACCTCACCTCACCTCACCTTTCTTTCTGTTAAAGTAAGCCATGTAATTAGCAAAAGGGTTATGTTGGTGCCTCTGTGTTGCAGGATTTTGATATTGCGGGCCAATACGACGGTATGATACCAGATGCTGAGTGTATAAAAATTGTAGTGGAAATCCTGGAATCACTAGAATTGGGAGACTTTGTAGTCAAGGTGAGTTAACACTGGACACTATGTGATGAAGGTGAATCTCCTCATCATTTGTCAACTGTATAAGTTCTTGCTGAACGGGGGGCACGGGTGGCCCAGTCGTCTAAGGCTCCCGATACGCTGTGCAGAGTTGCGTCCCCTGGGCAGAAACCTATGATTGTGGGTTCGAATCCCAGTTCGCCCCGATTATGTTTCTAGGTTTGTCAGCACCATACCTGTGCTCGTGGGTTTCACCAAAGCGGTAAACGTCTAAGACCTGCATCACTTCGGGCTTTCCTCCCACATTAAGCTGACACGCCGTGATATGACTGGAATACTGTTAAAAGCGGCGTAAAACACAACTCACTCACTCACTCTTGCTGAACGATCACACAGCTATATATTCCTATATTTAACAGTTGGCTATTTCATAGTCATGAAGATCAATGAATATTTATAGGACTGTTCTGTAAGAATTTGCAATACACAAAACGATTGATATGATTATTGAATGAATGAAGGTTTTGGGAACCGTTCCACAAAGTGATGTTAGTGCTACAACTATTGTAAGCCTGTGTTAACCAGTTAAAGTATGTGAGTTACAATCGTCGTGGCGCTAAGACCACTACGTGGAAGGATGCCCAGGACGATAATGTGATGACTGACCACTGACATCATCTCTCTGCTCAGGTAAATCATCGGAAGCTGCTAGACGGAATGTTTGCGGCGTGCGGTGTCCCAGATGACAAGTTCCGAACAATCTGCTCAGCTGTAGATAAACTAGATAAGGTAACATTGTTTACAGTATTTGTATTTAACATTCAGATAAAAAGAATGGCAGAAAAAAACTTTATGAATTTAAACCATGAACTTTCTTAGCTTTGATTTGAAACTTCATTTATTATCATGAGATAATCAGTCACTGGATTGTCTGGCCCAGACTGGATTATATACAGGTCAATGTGATATACCTGGAATATACAAACATTACTAAACAAACAAACAAAATGTAGCCTTATCTGCCATGGACATGTGTTGAAAATTTACAGTAGATTGTATATACTATTTGTAGACCTTCTGGGATGACGTGAGAGCGGAGATGATTGATGAGAAGGGTCTGGATGCAGCAGCAGCGGACAAGATAGGAGGCTACGTCAGATGCTCAGGTACACCTTGATACACCTTGATACACCTTGATAATCAGGTAACACTGTCTGGCCACCTTGATACTCAGGTAACACTGTCTGGCCACCTTGATACTCAGGTAACACTGACTGGCCATCTTGATAATCAGGTAACACTGTCTGGCCATCTTGATAATCAGGTAACACTGTCTGGCCATCTTGATACTCAGGTAACACTGTCTGGCCATCTTGATACTCAGGTAATGCTGTCTGGCCACCTTGATAATCAGGTAACGCTGTCTGGCCACCTTGATAATCAGGTAACACTGTCTGGCCACCTTGATACTCAGGTAACACTGACTGGCCACCTTGATAATCAGGTAACACTGTCTGGCCATCTTGATAATCAGGTAACACTGACTGGCCACCTTGATACTCAGGTAACACTGTCTGGCCATCTTGATAATCAGGTAACACTGCCTGGCCACCTTGATAATCAGGTAACACTGACTGGCCACCTTGATAATCAGGTAACGCTGTCTGGCCACCTTGATACTCAGGTAACGCTGTCTGGCCATCTTGATACTCAGGTAACACTGTCTGGCCACCTTGATAATCAGGTAACACTCTCTGGCCACCTTGATACTCAGGTAACACTGTCTGACCACCTTGATAATCGGGTAACACTGTCTGGCCACCTTGATAATCCGGTAACACTGTCTGGCCACCTTGATACTCAGGTAACACTGACTGGCCACCTTGACACTCAGGTAACGCTGTCTGGCCACCTTGATAATCAGGTAACACTGTCTGGCCACCTTGATACTCAGGTAACACTGACTGGCCACCTTGATACTCAGGTAACACTGACTGGCCACCTTGATACTCAGGTAACACTGTCTGACCACCTTGATACTCAGGTAACACTGTCTGGCCACCTTGATAATCGGGTAACACTGTCTGGCCACCTTGATACTCAGGTAACACTGACTGGCCACCTTGATACTCAGGTAACGCTGTCTGGCCACCTTGATAATCAGGTAACACTGACTGGCCACCTTGATACTCAGGTAACGCTGTCTGGCCACCTTGATACTCAGGTAACGCTGTCTGGCCACCTTGATACTCAGGTAACACTGTCTGGCCACCTTGATACTCAGGTAACACTGTCTGGCCACCTTGATACTCAGGTAACACTGTCTGGCCATCTTGATAATCAGGTAATGCTGTCTGGCCATCTTGATACTCAGGTAGCACTGTCTGGCCACCTTGATAATCAGGTAACACTCTCTGGCCACCTTGATAATCAGGTAACGCTGTCTGGCCACCTTGATAATCAGGTAACACTGACTGGCCACCTTGATACTCAGGTAACGCTGTCTGGCCACCTTGATACTTAGGTAACGCTGTCTGGCCACCTTGATACTCAGGTAACGCTGTCTGGCCACCTTGATACTCAGGTAACACTGACTGGCCACCTTGATACTCAGGTAACGCTGTCTGGCCACCTTGATACTCAGGTAACGCTGTCTGGCCACCTTGATACTCAGGTAACGCTGTCTGGCCACCTTGATACTCAGGTAACACTGTCTTGCCACCTTGATACTCAGGTAACACTGACTGGCCACCTTGATACTCAGGTAATGCTGTCTGGCCACCTTGATACTCAGGTAACGCTGCCTGGCCACCTTGATAATCAGGTAACGCTGTCTGGCCACCTTGATAATCAGGTAACACTGTCTGGCCACCTTGATACTCAGGTAACACTGACTGGCCACCTTGATAATCAGGTAACACTGTCTGGCCACCTTGATAATCAGGTAACGGTGTCTGGCCACCTTGATACTCAGGTAACACTGTCTGGCCACCTTGATAATCAGGTAACACGGTCTGGCCACCTTGATACTCAGGTAACACTGTCTGGCCACCTTGATAATCAGGTAATGCTGTCTGGCCACCTTGATAATCAGGTAACGGTGTCTGGCCACCTTGATACTCAGGTAACACTGTCTGGCCGACGTTGATAATCAGGTAACACGGTCTGGCCACCTTGATACTCAGGTAACGCTGTCTGGCCACCTTGATAATCAGGTAACGCTGCCTGGTCACCTTGATACTCAGGTAACGCTGTCTGGTCACCTTGATACTCAGGTAACGCTGTCTGGCCATCTTGATACTCAGGTAACACTGTCTGGCCACCTTGATAATCAGGTAACACTGTCTGGCCACCTTGATAATCAGGTAACACTGTCTGGCCATCTTGATACTCAGGTAACACTGTCTGGCCATCTTGATAATCAGGTAACACTGTTTGGCCACCTTGATAATCAGGTAACACTGACTGGCCACCTTGATACTCAGGTAACACTGTCTGGCCACCTTGATAATCAGGTAACACTGACTGGCCACCTTGATAATCAGGTAACACTGTCTGGCCACCTTGATACTCAGGTAACGCTGCCTGGCCACCTTGATACTCAGGTAACGCTGTCTGGCCACCTTGATAATCAGGTAACACTGTCTGGCCACCTTGATAATCAGGTAACACTGACTGGCCACCTTGATAATCAGGTAACGCTGCCTGGCCACCTTGATAATCAGGTAACGGTGTCTGGCCACCTTGATACTCAGGTAACGGTGCCTGGCCACCTTGATACTCAGGTAACGCTGCCTGGCCACCTTGATAATCAGGTAACGGTGTCTGGCCACCTTGATACTCAGGTAACGGTGTCTGGCCACCTTGATACTCAGGTAACGCTGCCTGGCCACCTTGATACTCAGGTAACGGTGTCTGGCCACCTTGATAATCAGGTAACGCTGCCTGGCCACCTTGATAATCAGGTAACGGTGTCTGGCCACCTTGATACTCAGGTAACGGTGCCTGGCCACCTTGATACTCAGGTAACGCTGTCTGGCCACCTTGATACTCAGGTAACGCTGCCTGGCCACCTTGATAATCAGGTAACACTGTCTGGCCATCTTGATAATCAGGTAACACTGTCTGGCCACCTTGATACTCAGGTAACGGTGTCTGGCCACCTTGATAATCAGGTAACGCTGCCTGGCCACCTTGATAATCAGGTAACGGTGTCTGGCCACCTTGATACTCAGGTAACGGTGCCTGGCCACCTTGATACTCAGGTAACGCTGTCTGGCCACCTTGATACTCAGGTAACGCTGCCTGGCCACCTTGATAATCAGGTAACACTGTCTGGCCATCTTGATAATCAGGTAACACTGTCTGGCCACCTTGATACTCAGGTAACGCTGTCTGGCCACCTTGATACTCAGGTAACGCTGTCCAATTTTAAGGGTTTTGCGATATGTTATCAGTATAAGGACTAGTGGACTAAAACTGTAAGCTTCTATTGCTGAATAGGTGAGCAGTACTGATTGAGTTGTCTTCCCTTGTAGGTGGCATTGACAAGATCAATGAGCTGCTGAAGGACGAGGCCCTGAAGAGTCAGAAGCTGGCAGTGCAGGGCCTGGAGGACCTGAAGCTCCTCTTGCAGTACTGTGACCTGTTCGGGATCTCTCACAGGGTCAGTCCTTAACTTGCTAGTGCTACCTCCCCGTTACATGCAGTACTGTGACATGTTCGGGATCCCTCACAGGGTCAGTCCTTAACTTGCTAGTGCTACCTCCCCGTTACATGCAGTACTGTGACCTGTTCGGGATCTCACACAGGGTCAGTCCTTTACTTGCTAGTGCTACCTCCCCGTTACATGCAGTACTGTGACCTGTTCGGGATCTCTCACAGGGTCAGTCCTTTACTTGAAAGTGCTACCTCCCCGTTACATGCAGTACTGTGACCTGTTCGGGATCTCTCACAGGGTCAGTCCTTAACTTGCTAGTGCTACCTCCCCGTTACATGCAGTACTGTGACATGTTCGGGATCCCTCACAGGGTCAGTCCTTAACTTGCTAGTGCTACCTCCCCGTTACATGCAGTACTGTGACCTGTTCGGGATCTCACACAGGGTCAGTCCTTTACTTGCTAGTGCTATCTCCCCGTTACATGCAGTACTGTGACCTGTTCGGGATCTCTCACAGGGTCAGTCCTTAACTTGCTAGTGCTATCTCCCCGTTACATGCAGTACTGTGACCTGTTCGGGATCTCTCACAGGGTCAGTCCTTAACTTGCTAGTGCTATCTCCCCGTTACATGCAGTACTGTGACCTGTTCGGGATCTCTCACAGGGTCAGTCCTTTACTTGCTAGTACTACCTCCCCATTACATGCAGTACTGTGACCTGTTCGGGATCTCTCACAGGGTCAGTCCTTTACTTGATAGAGCTACCTCCCCGTTACATGCAGTACTGTGACCTGTTCGGGATCTCTCACAGGGTCAGTCCTTTACTTGCTAGTGCTACCTCCCCGTTACATGCAGTACTGTCACCTGTTCGGGATCTCTCACAGGGTCAGTCCTTTACTTGCTAGTACTACCTCCCCATTACATGCAGTACTGTCACCTGTTCGGGATCTCACACAGGGTCAGTCCTTTACTTGCTAGTGCTATCTCCCCGTTACATGCAGTACTGTGACCTGTTCGGGATCTCTCACAGGGTCAGTCCTTAACTTGCTAGTGCTATCTCCCCGTTACATGCAGTACTGTGACCTGTTCGGGATCTCTCACAGGGTCAGTCCTTAACTTGCTAGTGCTATCTCCCCGTTACATGCAGTACTGTGACCTGTTCGGGATCTCTCACAGGGTCAGTCCTTTACTTGCTAGTACTACCTCCCCATTACATGCAGTACTGTCACCTGTTCGGGATCTCTCACAGGGTCAGTCCTTTACTTGCTAGTACTACCTCCCCATTACATGCAGTACTGTGACCTGTTCGGGATCTCTCACAGGGTCAGTCCTTTACTTGATAGTGCTACCTCTCTGTTACATGCAGGATCCGAGTTCCAACTCTTCTTCAGAGTTCTATGTGTAAGAGGCGTGTTTAATATATGTTGACAGTAGGTATTACCGGTAGTATTTGGAGACAATTATAAAGTCTTTACTGTTTGACAACATGGGCAACAGGTGGTTTTGTGATGTTCATGGTATGGATGAATGATCTATCATGTTCCAACTCGTGAATGTTTGCCAGATCAGGGCTCAGTTTAAGGAACTTGATGAAACTTGCACCAGGCTCATGCTGACATGAAAACCTGCTTGCACCAGATAAAACCAGTTTGCATCCTGGTCCCATTAAATCTATCAGCATTGAAACACAGATGCATATACTCATCTAAATTAATAAAATCTCAACTCTCTGATGACTGTCATGATTTAACATGAATTAATGATGTATTGCTGTAAAAGTTAATAGGAACATATTCACATAATCTTAAAGTTTTAATGACATCAAGTCCAAGAGAGCATGACAAATGACACATAACACAGGGATTAGTGATGTATGCTTCATATTACGTGCAATTGGTGCATGTAGACATAAATGTTTTAATAATAGGTTGCACTGGTGCATGTTTTATATGGCTAAATCAAGCGTCGCAGATCCAGTCTTGATCATGTACAGACAGCCATGGTGTAGCTCTATTACATCTTACCTTACAGTTACAAATAAATGTTGGATTCTGATTGGCCGAGACCCGTTCTATGATTTTTAGTGTACCCCTCAAACACGTAAGGTACATTTCTAATGTTCCCTGCTCGATTTGCTGAACTGTTAGCATTACATTTGCAACATACCAACCACAAGTTTGTAGCTCAAAGTTAATTATTTGACACACAATTTTCCAGATATTTACAATATATTTTCCAAATGAAATTGATCTAGGTTGGTTGGTTGGTTGGTTTGTTGTTTAACGCCGCACTCAGCTATATGACGGCGGTCTGTAAATAATTGAGTCTGGACCAGACAATCCAGTGATTTACATCATGAACATTGATCCACGCAATTGGGATCGATGACATGCATCAACCAACTCAGCGAGCCTGACCACCCGATCCCGTTAGTTGCCTTTTACAACAAGCATAGTCGCCTTTTACGGCAAGCATGGGTTGCTGAAGACCTATTCTACCCCGGATCTTCACGGGTCGAAATTGATCTAGGAGAAATAACTTTGTTAGTTTTCTGTCTTCTACATTTTTTCTATGAATGTGAAAAATGAATTGTGGTGTAACTGTGGTATTCTTACTGATTCAGACCAAAACATGCATGCATCACATATCTGCAATATTATTAGGTGTGCGGTAAGATTAATTCGTTGTCTACCGGTCCCTCGGCATGACATGGGTTGTGTACCCTCTATGTTAGTGGGGGCGGTCGGGTAGCCTAGTGGTTGAAGCGTTCGCTCGTCACGCCGAAGACCCGGGTTCGATTCCCGACATGGGTACAATGTGTGAAGCCCATTTCTGGTGTTCCCCGCCGTGATATTGCTGGAATATTGCTAAAAGCGGCGTAAAATCATACTCACTCACTCACTCACTCACTCACTCACTCACTCTATTAGTGTGTGTTGCCAAGCCTGAAACTAGCAGAGGGTACATCAGCTCCCCCCCGGGACCGGTGAACACTCACTCACTCACTCACTCACTCACTCACTCACTCACTCACTCACTCACTCACTCACTCACTCACTCACTCACTCACTCACTCACTCACTCACTCACTCACTCACTCACTCACTCACTCACTCACTCACTCACTCACTCACTCACTCACTCACTCACTCACTCACTCACTCACTCACTCACTCACTCACTCACTCACTCACTCACTCACTCACTCACTCACTCACTCACTCACTCACTCACTCACTCACTCACTCACTCACTCACTCACTCACTCACTCACTCACTCACTCACTCACTCACTCACTCACTCACTCACTCACTCACTCACTCACTCACTCACTCACTCACTCACTCACTCACTCACTCACTCACTCACTCACTCACTCACTCACTCACTCACTCACTCACTCACTCACTCACTCACTCACTCACTCACTCACTCACTCACTCTATGTGTTGCCAAGCCTGATACTAGTAGAGGGTACATCAGCTCCCCCCGGGACCGGTGAACAACTTAGATTGTTGACTGCAGCATAAAACAATACTCAATCAGGATATTTAAATTCGCTGTGAAATGACTGATGGACAGATGCATTCCCTGCATTTTGCTTGTTTCGAATAATGGACGTGATTGATATGTGGTCATTCTTGGGATTGTAGGTTCAGTTTGACCTGTCGTTGGCCCGAGGCTTGGACTACTACACAGGGGTCATCTACGAGGGAGTCCTCAAAGGTCAGTGGCTGTGGATGCGGAGGAGGGACTGGTCATTTATTAAAGAGATTGGGGAGGTCGGGTAGCCTCGTGGTTTAAGCATTTGCTCGTCAGCCGAAGACCCGGGTTCGATTTCCAACATGGGTAAAATGTGTAAAGCCCATTTCTGGGGTCCCCTGTCGTGATATTGCTGGAATATTGCTAAAAGCGGCGTAAAACCGTACTCACTCACTCACTATTAAAGAGATTATTCCTCCATGAAACTGAAAACACAAAAAATGTATGTCCTTTCTGTCAAATACTTTTTCTGAATTTTCTTTTTCTTTTTAATGACTCTCCCCAATGATCATTCATTATTTTAACCATTTAAGTGTATCTGTCAATTCATTTCATGACCATTGAAAAATTTTGCATTTTTGTCATAGACCCTGTTTTGGGAGCCCTCCCCATTTTCTTGTTGCTGCAACGGCAACATGTAGAGATGTTACATATGTTAAATCTCTCCTCACACACCATAATGATCATTTATAGGCAGCTGTCACATAGCTGGAATATTGCTGAGAGCCATGTTAAGTAAGAAACAATCAAAGCCTTGATGGAAGACCCGATTAGAGTCCTTGAAAATGACATACCATGACGGTTTGAGGCAGAAGAGTTTGCTTGTTGATAGGAGCTGACATCTTCCTGAGGCAAGGGAGTTAACTGACTATGAAAGTCCAGTTTCCACCCTGTCTTAGTATAGATGTAGCTTGTGCAGTGGATCTCCATGTTGTTGTGTGACTTGCAGGTCACACCCACAAGCCCGGAGCACAAGGGGAGGAGAACCCGGGGGTGGGGAGCGTGGCTGGAGGGGGGCGCTATGACGGCCTCGTGGGCATGTTTGACCCCAAGGGCAAGATGGTGCCGTGTGTTGGTGTGAGCATCGGCATTGAGAGACTCTTCTCTATAATGGAGGCCAAGGCACTGGTGAGTACAGCTGTCTGTAGCTTGGTCTTACAGATACCGTATTCGACGTAATAAGCTCTAATAAGCGCCCACGGCGATATTTGCTAAGATATTGGCTAGTGAACAATCCCAATTAGCACTCCTACCGATTCATCAATGTACACAAGACTTATTTATTCACGCATAATACGCACTCGTGTGTTGTATGCATTCTTAATTATGGGCAGTTAAATTCTGGAAAAATGTATCTGTCGCATATAAACATTTCAGTGTGCCAGCATAAACCACGAAATTGATCTTTCAACTCTCTTTTTTCCACCAAAATAATATTCTAATAAGAGCCCCCTATTTCTAATTTTGAGAGCATCTTGGGCGCTTATTACGTCGAATAAGGTAGTTCAATTATTTCTAAGACTATAACATTCCTTGGTTCTCAGGGCCCCCTTCCACTAATCGGTCTAATCACTCCAACTGTCGTGAGCCTTTGTTAAAGTATTGGAGTTACGGTCGTCTTAGCGCTAAGATTACTTTGTGGAACTGGTCCCTGATCCCTTCTCTCATGAAAGAAAACTGTTTCATTGTAACATTGAGACATGCTGAGTAGCAGACTTTGTCAGACATACAATAAGTAGTTTGTGTCATCATTTCAAGCATTCTGGTTAAGAGCATAGTTTCATGTTTTTTAGTCAAAGGGAACTATGATAATTTTGTGTCTGAATTTTTACAATTGAAAAAGATTTAACGTTTAGTCCAAAGCTGGGCAAATACCGTATTCGACGTAAAAAGCGCCCAGGGCGCTCTCAAAATTAGAAATAGGGGGCTCTTATTAGAATGTTATTTTGGTGGAAAAAACAGAGTTGAAAGATAAATTTCGTGGTGTATGTTGACAGCCTGAAATGTTTAGACACAACAGATATATTTTTAGTGCGTATTATACGCGAATAAATAAGTCTTGTGTACATTGATCAATGGGAAGGGGTGCTAATTGGGATTGTTCACTAGCCAATATCTTTGCAAATGTCCCCGTGGGCGCTTATTAGAGCGGGGCGCTTATTACGTCGAATACGGTACTAGGTGATTAATATTGGCTGTGTTTAGTCCAAGTTGCTCTCTGGTAATCATCTTGCACAGTTCATTGACAGGTGAGAGTGAGAATTGAAGTAGCTGTGCTGTATCATATGTAGTGTGTTGATGATGTTGAGGGTGATGTTTGTGTAGGCCTCGGAGCAGAAGATCCGGACGACTGAGACCGAGGTGTTTGTGATATCAGCACAGAAGAACCTGCTGGAGGAGAGGCTGAAGCTGTGCCAGGAACTGTGGTCTGCCGACATCAAGGTAACTCGACACAACACCTGGAGGTCAAGCGTTAGACTGAGGGTGCATATATTGGGGCAGAGGTCGGTTGTATCTGTAGGCTTTCCTTGTTGGCAATCAGGGGCATGTAGGCCCCCAGTTCCACTGCATGGCCATAGATGATTAAGATGCGGATCATGTGGTCACAAGGCTGCTGAGTGTGGATGGATAGCATTAGAGGACAAACTCTTTCTGTGTGTTTGACTTTTCTCCCACATCTGAGAAAATATGAGCAGTTAAAGGGCAAGTTCACACGGAAATGAACCTAATTTTCTTGTACTTTTTCCACAATAAAAGTGTTAACCTAGAAGTGTCATAGACAAAAATATAAAAATATCACAATTAATTAACATATGTTTTGCATTAAAACGATTTATATTTTTCACATTTACCAAGTGTTCTATTTCCATAACAAAAACACCATGGCTTATGCCCCTTGCAATATGACGTCATTGGTGCCAATTGATAAACATTATGACGTCATCATGCTTTGTTAGAGCCGCTTCACGTGGTGTAGGTATAGGTGTGTGATTCTAGCGTCTCAGATGCCAGCCAGCATAGTGTAATGCTGAGTCACCACTGCGCCGGAGTGTGTCGTAGGCCATGTTGTTTTACCGCAAACTGGTACTTGATATCTTTTGCGTTCAGAATAGACAGGGACCCAGTTGAACTGGCACCAAATACGTCATAATCTAAGGGGGATAACTCAGGCCTGTTTAGCTCGAAAAACGAAGGCCTCATAACGGCATATCATTTTCACACAATTGTGAGCTTCCTACTTTCACTGTGAAAAAAATGAGTGTATATTTTCAAACACAGATACTAACTAATTCTAAAATTGCGTTTTGTTTAGAAAAAGTAAGAAAGTGATTTTTGCGTGTACACTTCCCCTTTAACACAAACTCTCTCTCTCACTCACTCACTCACTCACTCACTCACTCACTCACAAGCTGTTGTGTGTCACGGTGGTCTATGGGTTGTTGTCAGACTTTCGACCACTGGTTTAGGTATTCTATGGATAGTTAATATGGGGACCATGATAGCTCTACAGTAACATGGCTGACATAGTCGTACAGTGCTCATACACCAAGCTGCTGTGCCTCACAGTGCTTCAGTGATGGTTGTCAGACTATTGACCACTGGTTTATGGCGACCATGATAGCTGTACAGTAACATGGCTGACATAGTCGTACAATATGCTCTTGTGTGTCGTGGCGCTTCAGTCGTGATCGTCACGTTATCGACCACCGATTTATTGTTCCAGGGATGGTTATTATGACTACTGTGACCAAAATACACATACCCATATAACTTGCATAGACAGATCCAGAGAGGGGTCCAGGGGGTCCGGAACCCCCCTCCCTTGGGAAAACCAAATGTAGCATGTTGTAGGTAAGAAGTTTGACTAAGATGGGATTTTGATATTTTGGACCCCTCTCTTTTAAAAATACTTGATCCACCCTTGACATGATCCTTGAAATGCTCAACCAAAAAGTACACCAATCACTGTTTGCGAAGCCTATCATTTTGTCTGTACTGAAATGTAATGTTTGTGTGTTAGACGGAGAGCTCGTACAAGAAGAACCCGAAGGCCTTAGACCAGTTCCAGTACTGTGAGACCAACAACATCCCTCTAGCCATCATCATCGGGCAGTCAGAGATCGAGGCTGGCATCATCAAACTCAGGGTCGTGGCAACCAGGAAAGAGGTCAGTATGCTGCTATTTAACTTTAAACTATATACATTTCCAAATCTCGTTTGCCTGTGGGGGCATGGTGGCTCAGTTGTCTGAGGTTGCATCCCTTGGTCATACCAGAAACCTATGATCGTGAGTTCGAATCCCAGTTCACTCCGATTATGTTTCTAGGTTTGTCAGCTCTATACCATTGCTTGTGGGTTGCTCAAAGCTGTGTTAACTTACTCACTCACACACTGGAATGAATGTCCCTTTGTTCTTAGGCCATCTTTACTTTTCTATTTATTTCTCATCTCCAACCTCAGCCTGCAAGAGAGCGGGCAGATGTAAAAAAAAGAAACAAATAAATAACTATTTGATACACTTATTCTGTAAATTGTTTTATGAAATTTTGAAGGTTAAAACACTTGATAATAGTCTTTAACTTAATTTATGACAGTGATCTAGTCGCTTTGCTTCAGAAACAAATCTTTCATAAATATGGCAGATGAATTTTAAAGATGAAGCTGACCTGGGTTTTTAACTAGTGTGCAATGGTAGGAGTACTTTGTTTTTATCACATTGGGGCATAAATTTCCACAGCGCCGGGAAAATTTGAGATCAGAAAACTTTGTATTATTTCACATCGGAATGAAAATTAAGGGCGTGCAGGAGATGGGAAACACAGTAAAATATATGGAAAGCCTTACTGGGGAGAGTTGGTCATGGGTTCTGTTTCCGGAGATCTCATGGTTGTGTGACCAGTACGAGTCTTGGAATATCAAGCAGCATTACACCTAGCTCATTCAATGTGTGACCTGGTGGAGGTTGTCAACATATTTGTGAAATGTTGCTCATGCCATCACCCACTGGTTTGTCTGTTTGGGACTGTAATCTTGTTACGTGTGATAAACAACAGTCACTCACAACCTGTATGTTGTTTTCAGAGGGATGTACCACGAGGAAGCATGGCCGAGGAAATCCAGAAAGAACTGAAGGAAATCAACTCCAGTTGAAGGCTAGGCTCACTCTATCAATATAAGATGTAAAATTGTTTAGGATGTAAAGTCTACCACATCTCGTGATAAGCTTGTCATGAAAGCTTTGATTATGCATATTCTTACAATCTCTTTGTTAAGGACTGTGAAAGGCATCGATATTGATTAATTGATATACGAGACATTTGTTTCTATGTTTCGTGATGACGATGTTCATCTATCACATATGAAGAGAACCATGTGATCGGCTTCACGTTGTGTATAAATATCACGTTCAATGTGAAATTTGTGAAAATGTTGGACTACTATTTATTTCATCTTTGTGTATGTACCTTAAAAGTCTGACCCGACAACAAAATTTAACTTGTCTACCGTATTCACCGTATTAAGCACCCTGCTCCAATAGGTGTCCCCAGCCAACTTATAGACCATTCTGAAAGTTACCTTCATAAGCCCTCTATTTAAAGTCCGAAAATGTACTTGCCCATCCATATTTTCCTCAGTCCATTTGGCTCCAAATGAAAACGATGAATTGCAAAGTAACTCAAAATCTGGAATAGTCTATTAAATGTCCATACGGTACACGGCCATGAATACCCTGTACCCAACAATATCTGCTGTTTGTTAAAAATATTTCCCATAACTGGAAAAACTTGTGTGTGTGTGTCGACATTTTGAACGGTAGGAGGAACGAACGTGCCACACAGTGGTATTGGGAATGACAGCATAAGAGGGGTCATCTCAAGATCATTGTATTTGCAATCTGACTCGCTCATGTCCCAGCCCTCATTGTCAGAACTGCTTGTGTCACTGCTGATGGTCAGAACTCTATGTGGGTCTGTTGCTTCCTTTAAGGTGTTTAGATGTCGGGGCCTTGCTGTCTTGGTCCTGCATACTGTGATATGGTGCATTGTCCACGATAATAAGGGACTTGGCAGGCAAAGAGGGACCAATATATTTTTCACCCTCTCCAGAAATACCTTGCCGTTTATTTCTGTGAGGAAGTCTCTGTTGGCCTTGGCTCAAAAGATGAGGTCACAGCCAGCATGGAGAATGAGAAAGTCTTTCACCTTTTCCCATTGGTAACTTTCTCCCAGACTCCGTACTATCCCCAATGGGTACCCAATGACTGCTGGCTGTGTGAGAGGTATTTACCCACGTCTCCATCTAGGAAAACACTCTTATATCCTTCTTCACGTTTTTGCTTGATTCGAAGATAATGATTTCGGAGACGAAGGATGTCAGATCGTTCACATGACACAGCCCTATTTTCCCCACTTATCTTTCTGTATCTTATCCAAATGTATGCAAAGTTGCCATAGCTTGTATTTTGTAAGAATTAAATCATGTTCAGTTTCAAGGTATTTCTTCACGAGTCTTAGTGACATGTACTTATTTTCTGAATGCAGTTAAACAATTGCACATCTGGCTTGAATTTTCTTCAAACTGTCTAATTTATCAACCCTACATGGTTTTGATATGTTCCCCACCTGCTTCACCAGATTCCTCGAGTCCCGTTGACGGACAACATTTTCTAGCTTGTTAGGAGAGATACCAAGAGCTTTAGAAGCTCATTTCAAGTATTTATAATGGCATAAAATGGTTTTCCTCTTTCTGCTGCACATTGAAAGAAGTCATTCACCTTAAAAATCAACTGTTTCACATCCGCTGAGTAGCGCATCTTGTCAGTCAACAATGACGTATACTATGTAGCATGTGCTGTGCATGTCTGCACTGTTCTTCCTACCATTGTGCCCCCTCCATTCAAGATGTCAACTTGTACACATAACACCATGATAGTTTCTTAAACAACCTTTTTCTAGTGGTGGAAATAAAATAACAGCAGATATTGTTGGGTACAGGGTATTCATTGCGGAGTACCATATTGATATTAATAGACTATTCCCGTTTTTGAGTTATTCTGCTATTCATTGTTCTCACTTAGAGCCAAACGGACTGTTTTTGTAGTGTGTATTTTCAGAAATGGAATATTACTGTGTAGTAACTATTATCAAGAATGTTTCATTGATGTTTGAACGGAGTTGATGCCTTCCGCTCAATCTCTGACAACAAATTTAACTTTGTGTGTATGGTGTCAAGAAGCACCCTCTTTGTCAATTCTCTAGGCCCCCAGGGCACTCATTATGGCGAGTACGGTATGAAAAATTACCTAGTCATAGCTGGTTACAATTAAATCATGTTTTTTGCTAGACTAACAAAAATAACATTGAGATGATGCACCTTGAAAGCCATATGGTTTTGCATAAATGATCATGTAAAATAAACTGACCTATGAACACAACTCGTGTATTTCCTTTTGTCTGACCACCTGGTAGAATGAGACTTACATGTGCCACTTGCAGGGTGTGCTGTGGTTTACAAGCATGGTCTTGGCAAGGAATAAAAAACTTAAAACATCAGGCTAAGTGGCACATAATAATTTATAATAACTTTTTAAGATTAATGTGGCCGATCATGAAAAAGTTTCATGATGACAATCCCCTGTGAGGATGCCGAGTTGGATTTGTTCCCCACTATGTTGGAAGTAAGAGGCGACTTAATGGATTGAGAAGTCAGGCTTGGTGACTTGGTTGATTGTGTGTCCATTGCTCACAATATCCATCACTGGATTGTTTGGTCCAGACTATTTACAGGATGACTTCGCTTGAGTCAAGGTTGTTTATTCATTTATATATTTGATAACAAGACATGTACGTGCGCACACAGCAGCACTCTCAACACCAAGGGAGTGTTGCAAACAGCTAATTGCTTGCAAGAGCGAGCAAGAACTTCGAACCGTTGCAGATGAACCTGATGACGATTATTTGCTTACTCCAAGTGATTCATGGCTTGTGCCCCAGACCCAGACTAATGTCTAACCGTCATTCCCACAGCAACCCACATCCCTTACATCAAATATGTTATAAAATAGAACATTACTGACCAGTCATAAATTACCCTGGCGACATTGAAAGTGATTACTCGCAGGGAGCCGCAATCTTGAATGAAATCTTGCTCTCCTGAGATCTTGTTATATGTTTATGACCTAACTTTTAACACTTAACATATATGAAGTTATGACGATAGATATGTTTAACCAAAATGCAGACAAAATATTTTTGGCAGTGAATGCAAAACACTGAATCTGAGAAAAACTCATTTTTTTCTGAAAATAATCGGCATCGTTGTTTCAATCCCTCCTCCATAGTTTGTCTTGTACCGTGGCATTATTGGCTCATTGCACCAAAGGTCCATTTTTAATTCCCACATGGGTACAATGTGTGAAGCTGATTTCTGGTCTCCTGTGATATTGCTGGTCTAACTATTCCTTGCTATTTCTTGTCCATCCGGGGTCGTCAGGGTAGCCAAGTGGTTAAAGCGTTCGCTCGTCACGCCGAAGACCAACATGGGTACAATGTGCGAAGTCTATTTCTGGTGTCCAAAACCATACTCACTCACTTACTCTTGTCCATCCTTCTTTTACTCAAGAAACAACAAACATTCTCAAACATTATATTCTTTATTGAAAAGATAATTGGTAGGATGAGACATCCCTGTATCACAGCATTTGAGGTTTCAGATACTTACATGACAGACAAAAAAACATGACATTTCCCTATTGTAGCATTGGTAGGCGACGTCCATGAAACCCTCGCAAACTGTCCGAACACCAGTCACGTACATACACAGACGCACACAACTCACGACACTGGAGCAACAGACACGTCAACGACTGTCTACACAGACACTTAACTACACCATCATATCTATGTACAATTGACACACCTACTCTCGTCTGAACAAACCATTTGTGTTTGTTCATAGACTTGAACCAGGCATGCTAAAACAATGGAATATTAAAATGGACCGTTTAAGCTTGGATACAACATATGAGAGTGTAAAAATATCTAACAGCAAATTTAAATTCCTCATTATGCAAAATTTGCAGTTTTGGTTTCTAAGAGGAACACGTACAGACAGCGACAGCGACCAAAGGACGATATATTTTGAAAAAGTAGCAAAGCATGGTATAGCAACTTTGAGCACTCAGCGATGCAACTACTGACATAAAGTCAACTGCTGACTCAGCATTGTTTCTGAGGCAGCATCACCTCTGGATGCTGCAGGGGTAATTAGCACTGTTCAAACAGTTTCTAGAACTGTCTACAAGTGTACATGAGCTACATTTGATTTTTAATTTTAATCTTTCAATCAGAATGAGTTGGGTTTAACGCCGTTTTTAACAGTATTCCAGTTCTATCACGGCGTGTCAGCTTCATGTGGGAGGAAAGCCCGAAGTGATGCAGGTCTGACGTTTACCACTTTGGTGAAACCCATGAGCATGGGTATGGTGCTGACAAACCTAGAAACATAATCAGAGTGAACTGGGATTCAAACCCACAATCAAAGGTTTCTGGGCACAGGGAAGTCTTCATGGACTCTGCCACCTGCCCCCAGCACTTCGAAACAGTTTCTATAACTGTCTTCAAGTATACATGAGATAAATTTGATATTTCATTCATCTTTCAATCAGAACCAATCATAGTTACTGTTGACTGTCTATGATGGCATTACATCACTGATGTCCACATACACTGGCACATCTTTGAATATTATCTGGGATATAACATGATCGTGGAACTAACAGGTATTAATCATCCTGATAGCCTTCAAATGATAAAAATCTGCAATGACCGACCAACAATGATGATAAAGGTTTCTCAGTCTCAAATATGGATTGCACTTTTGGTAATTATCCTTGTGGGCATGGACACCTTGCCCTTTGGCTGCAGCAAGCAGTTGGTACACTCCAGCACAAAGTCATTTCAACATTGTGGCATACCGATCTGGGACTACACGCCTCCTCTGTGAGCATGGTTTTTGGATGATGACAAACAGTGACAGCTTTGATATGTACAGCAATAAAAACAAATTTTAAAGTTAAGAATGTGTGATTTTTTGCCACGTCTAGAGTGCAAGTGAATTTAAACACACATCTGGTGCATTGCACGTCACGTCTCAGCTAGAGTGTATGTGTATTATGACATACGACTCGTCTAAGTATGTGCAATACAATGTCACTTTACCTAGAATGTATGTGCATTTCGACACACACCACATCCAAGAGCAAATTCCTCGCCAGTCGGAGGATGTTGTACGTGAAGAGGGCACTCGTCTCCCTCTATCTGCTTGCCACGGGGACCTGACAAAACACAGCAGGCATAAGTCACAGATAATCATCTAAGCTGCAATTTATGGTAAACTACGTTTATAGTGAACACGCTTATAGTGAACTGATCGATATGACAAACTTATTTTTCAGTCCTGGCCATTTGTTGTATATATGCTGTATATATGCTTATAATGAACTACGGTTATTACAAACTAAAATTAGAGGTCCCTTTGAGTTCGTTATAGCTGTAGTTTACTGTTTATATACAAAGAACATGTTTGTCCACAATAAATTAACTCATAGTGTTTCATCCAATTTTGTCTTAAATGTGCATGATGTGAGCTAGTGTTATTATTTTATTCTATATGTTTTCCTAAACAAACTGTTCAAGGAATCTGTGTAAATAAGTACTTTAGGGGGTTCTATATTTCGCCAACAGTAAAATTTGTTTTGAAGATTAAAATGCTGAAATGAAACTCTGTCTTGAACAATTTTTTAAAACTGGAAAACTTTGGTGTCAAACACAAGGTATATAAAAGACAGAACCCGTGAGACCAAACCTTTTTTTCGTTTCCAACCACCAACCCCATATAATCTCAAATCATCTTAAAAAGTCCTGTTGAAAGACTTTTATTTTATTTTTATTTCCACTTAGTTTTCAATAATATACTGTTCCACTTTTCATAAGAATATTTTAATCTTTCAACAAAGCACAAAACGCATTCAGATATGTGAGTGAGTGAGTGAGTATGGTTTTAAGCCGCTTTTAGCAATATTCCAGCAATATCACGGTGGCGGACACCAGAAATGGGCTTCACACATTGTACCCATGTCGGGAATCGAACCCGGGTCTTGGCGTGACAAGCGAACGCTTTAACCACTAGGCTACCCGCCTGCCCCGATTCTGATATGTCAAGTGAAACATTAAATATAACGACAACTGATTATCCCAATCTAAAATTGAGTAGTATATAATCCCAAAGCCCTTCCCCTGACATTACCTGCAGGACAGTTGGGCAGATCTGTCTTTGGGATGTTTGTCACCCTCTGGAAGTCGTCATGACACGCGTTACAGAAGTGGGTTGTCCCGAAACAGAAGAAGACGGCCACAGAACAGCAATAGCGACATTTGTACTCCAGAAAATCTGTTCCATGCTTTGGACACATCTGAAAACAGAAATTGATATGATATCTACCTCAATGAAGTCTTGCCACAAATATAGTGAGTGAGTGAGTATGGTTTTACACCGCTTTTAGCAATATTCCAGCAATATCACGGCGGGGGACACCAGAAATGGGCTTCACACATTGTACCCATGTCGGGAATCGAACCCGGGTCTTCAGCGTGACGAGCGAACGCTTTAACCACTAGGCTACCCGACCGCCCCGCCACAAATATAAAGCTTGCATCTTTTAACACTGGCCCCAAGCCCCTGTCACAGTAACTGTCAAGCTGGCTGGTAGATGTAGGTGATGATAGTTCCTATGTATTTAAAAGAATAAGAATTGCTAAAATTGCACGGGTGGCTGGGCTAATAATTTCAAAATATTCACAACAGTTTAATAGTTACTTTCTTCCTTGATATAGATATTTCTAATAAACTTTGGTTTGTTTCAGTTAAGCAATACAATTGGGCATTATTAGTTATGGTGTCTTACTAAGCCATCTACAGTGTCAACTGAGCCCAATATTTTTCTGCTAACCTAAAATGACACCGTAGACGACAACTTAAGACACCATTACAAATTTATTATGCCCAAAAGTTTACATTATTTGGTATCCATAATCGCACTAATCTTATAAGCTTATTACGCTGACGTTAAGGGTCAAAGGGAGACTACTCTTCAAACCTTAGAGGACAAACCTTGTTGACAATTTTAACTATAATCTTTATTAATAAAGTCACGGACATGGTTTAAAAAAGATAAATGTCTTTGCACATCACAATTAACTATAAAAAAAATACAAAACAGTGTGGAATAATGAATTTGGAGGTGGGTGGGAATATGTGAGGTTGGTGTTGGAGAATCCAAGATGTCTTCTACTGATGGTATACAGCTCATATTAGGTCAGTAACAACCATCTTGGATTTTTACTGACGGTATACGGGCTTATGTGGGGTCAGTAGTTCTGCTCTCTGATTGGTCAATCTCACAATCTCTCATATCATGGTTAGAAATGAATTTTTATTTTCACTAGTCAGCAAAACTTGTCTGCTACAGAGTTGCCATATGCCTAATAGTAAAAGTGGTTGTCCACAATACAATGTCACAAGTCCTCCTGCATGTACTAGTCTTGGACTAGCAGAACTGTTAATTTTGTTTATAACCTTCCTCTGAGTGAGTGGATAAGACTAAACAATGCTTGCAGGAATATTCCAGCCATATTGACAACAGTATTCACACCATACACAGCGTAAACAAACAGCAGAAACTGTCAGTGCACAATACCATGGTTCATGGATAGAGCATCTGCCCATAGAGCAGAAGGTTGGTGGTTGGATTCCTGGCCACGTTATACCAAAATGCATTAAAAGATGCTACTCGACTGGTACTCAGCATTATGGGGATAAAACAAGGAATGGTCGGCTTGGAGTCTGTATGCAAGTAAAACAATCTTGAACGCAAAGTTAAATCCCATTTCTTCTCGTCACTGATGAACCTACCTGAGCTCGGGACACATCTGAGCAGCCTCCACACACCAGCTCCCGGGGGTCATAGTCGTCCCCACCACCACCAGCCTGCTCGTCACATCTCGCCTCACCCCCATAATAGGCCTAAGAAACAAAAGTGCACAAAATTATACAAACTGCATTTGGAGTGTCAAAATTTTACAAACAAGATACATGTACTCAAATTTAACACTTTAACATTTAGCAATGATCCATGTAATTGGGATATTATGACTTGCAACAACCAAGTCAGCGAGCCTGACCACCCGATCCCATTAGTTGCCTCTTATGACAAGCGGTTGCTGAAGACCTATTCTCGCCCGGATGTTCACAGGTACATCAGAGTTGTGACAAGAACACCTGGACTTTCAGTTGGAATTCCGAACACTGCATCAGTCCTTGAAAGAAGTGAGTGAGTACTGTTTAATGCCGCTTTTAGCAACACTCCAGCAATATCATGGAGAGGGCACCAGAAATGGGCTTCACACATAATATTGTACCCATGTCCGGAATCGAACTCAGATCTTCAGCGTGACAAGCAAACGCTTTAACCTCTAGGATACCCGACCGCCCCTCCTTGAAGGAAGACCCCCAGCAAGTGCAAAGGACAGGATCTGACAGTTCTTGGCCAATATGCAATGCAAATGTGATGTTCAGAGAATTACAACAGCAGTCTAAAATCACCTTTAACGTGACAGTTTAGACATGTTAAAGACACATAAGTCTTTGAAGGTAGGCCATCAGCAACTGCAAAGATCCATATCTGACAATTCTCAACTAATACAAAATGCCAATGTGACTTTCAGACAGTTACAAAGAGTTGACTCAAATCACCTTTGACATGGCACATTAACAATTTCAAAAGAAGACCACTCATCCTTGTAAGCGCCCAGGAAGAACCCATCAAGATGTAAACCACAATTACTGTCTGCTCTTGATTCTCACCTTCTTGCACTTGAAGCAGACATAGTAAGCATATCTGTCCATGGCAAATCCAGCAGGGTCCCCAAAGAAGCGAGCACCGCGAGTGGTGATGACCTCGGCCTTGTGCAGGCCCTCGTACTCCAGCCTCATGAGGGCTTTCCGTCGCACATCCTCAAACAGCTCCCTGATGGGGTCCAGCAGGCCCTTCAGCACTGGGTGCTCGATGTTGTTCTGTAATAATAATAATAATAATAATAATTCTCAGCTCCTTTGGGAGTATACAAAATACATCATCACCCAGTATTTGGTTTGGTTTGTTGTTTAACGCCACACTCAGCAATATTCTAGCTATATGACGGCGGTCTGTAAATAATCGAGTCTGGACCAGACAATCCAGTGATTGATATCATGAGCATCGATCCACGCAATTGGGATCGATAACATGCATCAACCAAGTCAGCGAGCCTGACCACCCGATCCCGTTAGTCGCCTTTTACGACAAGCATAGTCGCCTTTTACGGCAAGCATGGGTTGCTGAAGACCTATTCTACTCCGGATCTTCACGGGTCTCATCACCCAGTAAATAATGGAGGACTTCATGAGGATATAAAGATACATTTACGAGAACAAAGGGTGAGGTGCACCCTCTAAAAGTGGGCAATGCATATACTAAATCCTACCAATGTAAATACTGCCAGTTACCTGCTGGTTAACATCAAGGGTTATTCTCTTTGGTAAAAGATATAATTCCATGTGTATATGATTGACTTTATAAGATACCATGTCATTAGGGGGCAAATCTTTTCTTCATTCCAACAAATGCATTTGTCTTTATAGTCATGACCCTCCCCTCAAGTCTATTGTCTTCGATTACCAATCATCCTGCTCCTGGGTACTCACTTTGCAGATAGGGCAGAGGGAGAAGCCGAACGTGATGCGAGGTCCAATCCAGCGTTTCTCCAGGATCTTCTTGCCACAGTGCATGTGGAAGACATGCCCACACTTGAGCTGCAACAACACACACAATCACATGAACAGAAGACAACAATGTGAGATGATTTTTGGTTTGGTTTGGTTTGTTGTTTGACGCCGCACTCAGCAATATTCAAGCTATATGACGGCGGTCTGTAAATAACCGAGTCTGGACCAGACAATCCAGTGATTTACATCATGAACAATGATCCACGCAATTGGGATCGATGACATGCATCAACCAGGTCAGCGAGCCTGACTACCCGATCCCGTTAGTCGCCTTTTATGGCAAGCATGGGTTGCTGAAGACCTATTCTATCCCAGATCTTCACGGGTCCAATGTGAGATTATCGCAGGATCAGATGTGACTAATGAAGTCTGGACCACACAGACCAGCAGTTTCTATGATGAGCAACGATCCCCATCGTCAATACTCAATGGCTTTGTGGTGGCTACATTCCTCCATTATGGAGTTTTGTCGATCTTTGGGTACGGTGATAAACAATCAGCCATGTCATCCATTGTAAACACCTGATCAAAGTTACAGTTTTAGGCCCTACTGAGTGAGTGAGAAAGTTGGGTTTAACACTGCTTTGAACAGTATTCAGTTATATCACTGTGTGTCAGCTTGATGTAGGAGGAAGGACCAGGTCTTAGGCATTTACTTCTTGGTTAAACTCATGTGCACAGGTATGTATGGTGCTGACAAATTTAGAAACATAATCAGGTCAAATCTGGGATTCGAATCCATGATCATGTTTCTGACATTCCTAAGGGAAGCAACTCTGAACAGCAAAATACGGCAAGCTCCTCACAGCCATAGCCCGTTCGCGGAGCTCTCTATACTTTCGTTGCCACCAGTCAAAACTCCCCACTGTGAATAGGTGGCAACAACCATGCTTGGAGTTAAACTCGCAACCGAATGACCGTTATGTTTACAAACAAGTGACGACTGTCGTGACGCCGAATACACTTTCTTCATTTGTCAATTTGAATTTCTGTTTCATTAAAACTATAGTGTTGTTGATATAGTAAGAATGTAAGGGAGAAGTTGGTTGATTTTCCGTTAGTCTGCAATCTCAAACCAATGTGATTATTAAAACAACAAAGTAAATTCATCTGGAAAACATGGTCAGTCATAAACTTTTTCAAAATAAAATATGATGGCATTCCCAAAGACATAAACAAAAGTATAAACGTTACTACATTTGGGGTTAGAGGGGAAATTTCAAGATTCTTGTAATGGCTGCACCCACACTGGTGGCAGCGATGTTACCGAGAGTGTAACGAAGATGTCACGCGCTGGGAAGAAGCTTGCAAAATACGGCTCTAAGACCAGGGCACCTGTGCCCCCAGAGCTCTACAGGTCACTAGCAAATGTCTGATGTGTGATGAGCACTGCTGCAGGCTACACTGTATGCACGTACCAGGATAGCTGGAGAGGCTGACAGAGCCTCAGTGAAGCAGATCATGCACATGTCATCGGAGTCCTGCTTGAGTGGGGGTTGGTTGGCAGACTGACACCCACGGAGACACGGCAGACACGGTTCCTCGTTCTTGATGCCACAGCAGGGGTGGCCGCAGGACAGCACTTGGGTGCAGGCATTGCGGGCGTGTTCCTGCAGGGGAGAAGTCAGTATTGTCAAACACAGTCAAACACAGTCAAACATGGAGTCTGGAGTCACATTCAGCATCTCATAGGTACTTCACGCATTGTGGTGCTTCTACATAATTAATATCTGATTATGATATTGTACTTCAAATTCCACTAATTCCATGTACTGGTATTAATTACAGCAAGTTATTTTACGTTCCCATCAGATCCCTTCTGCACTATGGTCTAATACCAGCAGTATTATGGACAACATTTTGACAATCAACAAGACCTTATGAAGATTTACGGGATCCAATCTCATTTAACAAAGAGTCAATCAGAGTGCAGCACTCATCAGTGGTAGAAATTGGCACTAGTCCTATAGTCCTTGCCAAACTGCCCAATAGGTAAGGTATCATAAGGACTAGTAGAAATTTGCCCTTTTTAAGGATCTTGCTATATGTTATCATTTTAAGGACTAGTGGACAAAAACTGTTTGTTTCTAACGCTGATTAGTCTCATCCCATTCATTTCACAATAATGAGGCTTCACCATATTTGCTGGTTGATTTTTGTTTAGCACTGCACTCTGAAATATTCTACCCATACAACTTGTAAATAATCAAGTCAGAACCAGAAAAACAGTGATTGATATTATGAGCACCATCCCAAGTCAGGCTACGATGATGCTATCATCCAAATCACCAAGCCTGACCACCAAATCCATTCTGTCATCTCATACAACAAGCATAGGTTGCTGGGACCTATTCTAAACCAGGATCTCCAATTGCTAAAGGGATGCTCGGACAGATGTAATGCCAGCAGCATCTGACTCACCTGGCAGTCGGGGTCGGAGCACACGTTGCCTATAGCCAGCATCCCTGTGTTGCTGGTAGTGCCACAGAACCGGCAGGTCCCGGGGCCTACTGTCGCAGTGTTGGACACCTTGCCTGGAATGTGACAAAGGCAGTGTATTTTATCTGAACACTTTCTAAATGGCATTGTGTTCATAACGTTACATTGTTTCTGTTGAGATTCTGTAGGCCCCCATTGCATTGTGTTTGGACAGTGATCAGTCATCAGGAAGTTGCTATATTTAGATGCTAGTGTTGTGTGTAGACTTCCAGTCCGGTATACCGCGGATGGTGATTGTATGTTATAGAAACATCTGGAATGTTCTAGTACCACTAGACTGGTGAGGGCACTGTATAGACATTTCCAGTAGCTTGTTTGGCTGTATATATAATGGGACAAGAGCGTGTTAAGTATCTCTCACGAATTTTCATCGCTTCGGAACCATCTGAATAACAACATAATGTAATGCCACCTGGCAATTAGCCAGAGTCTAATGCAGACCCTGAAACACAAATATTCAACATCCTTAGCAAGTCTATGAAATAGTTTGACAAGTCCAGATTTCTCCAGACTTTCAGAAATTCTTTGGGCTTTTCACTATTATACTATAAACAACAATCTAGCACTCATAATGTACACAGTTACATTCCAGAGACTAAATCTCAATCTGACTTTAAACCACAACACATTGCTCCACATGCAAAAAGACAATTAGTTACCTTCTCTAAACTCCACCATGGCCTTGAGTGTTTTTGAGTCCGCTAGCGCCATCACCCAGAAGAGTTTAGTCCGACCACATCCTTCATGGAGGTCCACCTTGATAGCTTCTTCCTCCTCTTTGAACACCTGTCAGAATATTTCTTTATTACACACCAGCACTCCAACATGTTGACACATATTGTAAACATATTGCAAACATTCCAAGCTAGTTTTCATAATCTGACCTCTAGTGACCTTGACCTTTTATGAAGGTCACTTAAAAGTCTAGGCTGCTGTAAAATCATGTATACTAAATTCCATATCAAATTCCAATGATTAATACTCAAGTTCTTGTGAACACAATCTTTTGTAATGAATTTTCATTTTCTGATATGTTAAACTGTTTGTTACAAGGGTAGAAAAGCGGCTGAGTTGTGCCGGCACCAACCTGTCTCTGATGTGTTCGAGTCCTGTGATGGAGATGGAGGTAGCGGTCACAGTCAGCACACAAATTCCCGCACTCACTACACAGGATGATGGCTGGAGTCACCCCATCGTCATGGTTATCACAGGTCGGCTGAAAAACACAACACACGGTGACATGAGACATGAGACATGAATCATGAAGCTGAATGAGACATGTTGCAAGAGACATTGTTCATGAGACTTCGTTCGTTTGTTGATTAACGCCGCACTCAGCAATATTCCAGCTATATGTCGGCAGTCTGTTAATAATCAAGTCTGGACCAGACAATCCAGTGACTGACATCATGAGCATCGATGTCTATTGTGATAGGATGACATGCATCAACCAAGTCAGCGAGCTTGACCACCCGATCCTGTTAGTCACCTCTTATGACAAGCATAGTCGCCTTCTATAACAAGAATGGGTTGCTGAAGACCTAGTCTCACCCAGATCTTCACGGGGAAGCTCGGTCCATGTGACTGAATGAGACAATATCTTAGCATCCCCTGAACTGATGCAACACTACACTTTATACCCAACACAATGCAGACACACGATGTTGATGCATGCTGCTGATACTTGGCTGAGTGCACGAGGAATGACGTAATACATTGTGCACCACGGCATGCAGTTATCATATACACGGCGGAACAAGCCGATTAAACTCAGAATGTTTTACAAATTGCAGCGCCATCTGGTGTTCTTTATTGTCAATGTCCTTTCGTGCTCACTGACGTTCTTTATCAAAAACGTCCTTTCGTGCTCACTGACGTTTTTTATTGAAAACATCCTTTCATGCTCACTGACGTTCTTTCGAACACATTGTTCTTTCTTTTCTTATGACGTCTTTTCGTAACATTTGTCTATTTATATTGCGTACTTTTGACATTTATTTCAACTTTGTATGTTTAACCCTCGTCTGTTTGTTTTGTATTTTGACCTTTAGTAGTAACATTTAGTTCTTTATTCGTAATATTTGACCTTAATTGCGTACTTTTGTCCTTTTTTTCAACTTTGTATTTTTTGACCGAATGGCTGCCCATAGTTATGGACTTGCAATACAACAAACACAAGACAAGACATGAACAAAAAGAGCCCAATGACCCTGTAATACATCAATATCTGATTTGTCATATGCTGCTGCCCCCATACATGTAGTATCATATAGTCCAGTCATCAGTGGACAAGACATACTCCTTACCCTGGGCTGTCCATGCTGACCGTCTGGACTGGCCACCCACTCTCCGGACGACAGCCGATCCACGTGGTCCGGGTCCAACACACACAGCGAGGACACCGCCAACCACAGCTGCAACACACAACACAGGGTCACAAACACGCCCACACAGGTGGGGCTAGAGCTGTAATGATGACAAACATCACTGTTCCCAAGACAGCGCTAGATCTGTTGCCCTACAACTGTTAGATGCTGTCACGGGCAAGACACAAAGTTCAGCCCTGTTCTATTCTATTCTGGTATCTATGTGTTCCTAAATAAGTGCATATACATTTTACATAAATACCTTTCTGGCCATTCAGATTTTAATAATCAATGCAACAAACATACTGCTCCTAAAACATATGTGGAACGGCAAACATCATGCTTCTCGGAATTTACAGATTATTAGAATATTAGACAAAGAAGGAAGCCATTCAGCCGACCAAGTGTTCAAAGTTAAACAAATTTTCTATCCTTGAAGTAATGTATGGTCGTATTCATAAATTAACTGATCATTGTTGAATACTTTGTTAAAGTTTAATGTATAAGTGTTTTTACAAAGAAGACACCAAGAATGGGCTTCATGTGGGGAATCAAACTCAGGGTTCAGGTAGCCGACCCTACTGCTGCCCCAACTGATGAATTACACGGAGTGTCTACTCACTGTTGGTGTTTTCACACAGGTTTCTGGTGCTCGGTGGGGTTCATCCAATTTGGTCAAATTCAAAATGGCCTCAGCAATGGCTGCCTTTGTCACTGCAGCCCATGTCTCAGATAACTTCCCCTGCAGATGAGTAGACCGAACAGGTTCAGTGTGAGAGTGTAGTGTGACTGTGAGATTGCAGTGTGACTGTGTGAGAGTGTAGTGTGACTGTGTGAGAGTGTAGTGTGACTGTGTGAGATTGTAGTGTAACTGTGTGAGAGTGTAGTGTGACTGTGTGAGAGTGTAGTGTGACTGTGTGAGGGTGTAGTGTGACTGTGTGAGAGTGTAGTGTGACTGTGTGAGAGTGTAGTGTGACTGTGTGAGGGTGTAGTGTGACTGTGTGAGGGTGTAGTGTGACTGTGTGAGAGTGTAGTGTGACTGTGTGAGGGTGTAGTGTGACTGTGTGAGAGTGTAGTGTGACTGTGTGAGAGTGTAGTGTGACTGTGTGAGAGTGTAGTGTGACTGTGTGAGGGTGTAGTGTGACTGTGTGAGAGTGTAGTGTGACTGTGTGAGAGTGTAGTGTGACTGTGTGAGAGTGTAGTGTGACTGTGTGAGAGTGTAGTGTGACTGTGTGAGAGTGTAGTGTGACTGTGTGAGGGTGTAGTGTGACTGTGTGAGAGTGTAGTGTGACTGTGTGAGAGTGTAGTGTGACTGTGTGAGAGTGTAGTGTGACTGTGTGAGAGTGTAGTGTGACTGTGTGAGAGTGTAGTGTGACTGTGTGAGAGTGTAGTGTGACTGTGTGAGAGTGTAGTGTGACTGTGTGAGAGTGTAGTGTGACTGTGAGAGTGTAGTGTGACTGTGTGAGAGTGTAGTGTGACTGTGTGAGATTGTAGTGTAACTGTGTGAGATTGTAGTGTAACTGTGTGAGAGTGTAGTGTGACTGTGTGAGATTGTAGTGTGACTGTGTGAGTGTAGTGCGACTGTGTGATTCTAGTATGACTGTGTGAGATTGTAGTGTGACTATGTGATTCTAGTGTGACTGTGTGAGAGTGTAGTGTGACTGTGTGAGATTATAGTGTGGCTGTGTGAGTGTAGTGTGACTGTGAGATTCTAGTGTGAGAGCGTCGTGTGACTGTGTGAGAGTGTAGTGTGACTGTGTGAGAGTAGTGTGACTGTGTGAGAGTAGTATGACTGTGTGAGAGCATAGTCTGACTGTGAGAGTGTAGTGTGACTGTGAGATTCTAGTGTGAGAGTGTAATGTGAGATTCTAGTGTGACTGTGTGAGTGTAGTTTGAGAGTGTAGTGTGATTGTGAGAGTGTAGTGTGACTGTGTGAGATTCTAGTGTGAGAGTGTAGTGTGAGACTGACTTACCGCTGCCATGTCCTGTATGAGGGAAATGATAGTGCCAGCCAGAGCTGAAGAGATCAGTCCTCTCATCCACCACCGAGGACCATGCGGCCTGAACAAAAAGATACACGACAATAATGCAAGCCAGGCTTTGAATTTCCTTGTATGCCAATGACATGGTTAAGATCATACTGAATGTGATTTCATCCCATGAGATACCAAGATGACATAGGGATTATGATTTTAACTTACAGAAGCTGAAATATTACCAATATTCAAGTTACATCATGGCAGGGGACACCAGAAGTGGGTTTCACACATTGTACCCATGTGGGGAATTCAAACCTGGGTCTTCGTCATGAAGAGCAAATGCTTTAACCATTAGGCTAGCCCCCCCATCCCATATGTCACCAGTCTGACACAATTATGTTGGTTGGTTGGTTTCTTGTTTAACGCCTCACTCAGCAATATTCCAGCTGTAAATAATCGAGTCTGGACCAGACAATCCAGTGATTAATATCATGAGCATCGATCCACGCAATTGGGATCGATGACATGCATCAACCAAGTCAGCGAGCCTGACCACCCGATCCCATTAGTCGCCTCTTACGACAAGCATAGTCGCCTTTTACGGCAAGCATGGGTTGCTGAAGACCTACTCTACCACGGAATCTTTATGGGGTCGACACAATTATGTACTGGCCATGGCACACATCTGAAGTTGTTGTTATATTAATGGGTCATCTTCATCCCCTAAACATTATGACTACAGGATAACAAAGTAAGACTTTATTCGACACTAGAGACATACATTATATCATTTTATCTACTATGAGAATATAATAACTGGCCACCTACTCTATAGATGGTTGATCGTGAAGACTTTCCGACAGTGTGCGAGTGGTGACGCCTTTGTGTGGTCCGCTACTCTTCACCTTGGTCTGGACGTCCAGCGCCTTGCTGATACAAGCGAGGAACACATCCAGGATACCTGTGAATTTCAACATCAAATTATTGTTACCCCAATTAAGGATTGGTTGGTTGGTCTGTTGTTTAATGCCGCACTCAGCAATATTCCAGCTATATGACGGCGGTCTGTAAATAATCGAGTCTGGACCAGACAATCCAGTGATTAATATCATGAGCATCGATCCACGCAATTGGGATCGATGACATGCATCAACCAAGTCAGCAAGCCTGACCACCCGATCCAATTAGTCGCTTTTTACGACAAGCATAGTCACCTTTTACGGCAAGCATGGGTTGCTGAAGACCTATTCTACCCCGGAATCTTCACAGGTCCCCAATTAAGGAACAGTTCCACCTGCAGTTCCATACTTCATGCCTGAGTATTGAAATATTCAAACTATGCCCCCCAAGCTGCCTGGCTAACCTGGGGTGTCTGGGTTGAAGTTGGCGTCTCCCTCCTCACGGGTGGCCACCGACACGATGCTGTAGTCGACTGGAGGGAGGGCAGGGATGGACAAGATCTTAGCCAGGATCTGGGGTTTCACCTCCGGCAATACTCGGCGCATCACCGAGGTAACCTGGAAGTGCAAAGTAAATGGTAAAAAATAGTCTTGGTTCTGTGATATCAGTAAATCGCAAGTGACAGCATTGCCTTCACATTCTGACACCAAGATTGCACATTTGTGTACAGACTTTTCACACCAAAACTGACTGACTGGTTTAACACTGCTTTGAACAGTATTCCAGTTACATCCCGGTGTGTCAACTTGACAAAAGTCCAATTACCACAATTCTTAGACATTTACCACTTTGGTTAAACCCATGAGCATAGGTATGGTGTTGACAAACCTAGAAACATGTTTGGGGCAAACCGGGATTCCAACCAATATGTTTCTGACTTAGGGATGCAACTCTGCACAGTTAACTGTGGAGCCTGGACCTGTGCCCCCAAGCATGAGGCTGATGAGGGAGGCGTTACCTGTCTCTGTATCCTGGGTGTGGCTGTGTGAAGGAGGCCAAACAGGTCCTGTATCAGGCCATACTGCTGGGCCAGATAGATCCGCCCCACATTCGACCCGCTCAGCGCTAGCACCATCGACAACAGCTCAAAGCAGTACACATCAGACGACCTGCAAGTAGTTAATACACTTTACAGTAGGAACATTGCATCTCATTGCATGAAATCTCTTCAAGGAATTATTTTGTTAACCAGCACTTTCCATACATATTCTTCAGTATTATGACTTTTTTAACATCTATTAACAGGAGACAGGTTTGATTCCATGCTTTAATGATGGTTGGTTGGCAATTGGGAGCATCATTTGTAATTTTTTTTTTGTAAGCAACCATAAATATAGGTCAAGGTCATATCTTCCATGGTTTTGAAGGACCACCTCTGTGGTGTAGTGGACAGAGCGTCTGCCCGGAGGATGGAAGGTCGGTGGTTCGTGTATGGTGCCGACAAACCAAAGAACATAATCAGGGCCAATCTGGGATTTTGATCCATGATCATAGGATCCTGGCAAGCCAAAGGGACACAACTATGCACAAAAAATTGCAGCAACTTTTATGACCATGACCCGTCCATCCTCTCCCAAGGCTAACACTGTAGTGGTAGGTGAGGTGAAATGGTGAAATGGGGTTTAACGTCGCGTCCAAGATTATTGCACTTATACAGCGACGTGCATGTACGTGTGTGTGTTTGTGTGGCTGCTTGTACTAGTCCAGACTGATGCCGATTTATAGTGCTAGCTCATTGAGATACCATGCCGCAGTTTAACATGAATACCCCACTCAGACACAGTATACTGACTCCGAGCCGACCAGTCCTTGTTTTAGCCCCTTAATGCCGAGCGCCAGACAGGGTAACAACAAGTACCATCTTTTAACGTCTTTTGGTATGACGCGGCCCGGGATCGAACCCCGGACCTTCCGCTCTCCTGTAGTGGTAGGAGACTTACCTGGCCCCTTGTTTACCCTACAGACCTACATGTATTGTGTAAGCCTAGACGTCGTACCTGTCGATATCCAGGACCTCCCGAGTGACGTGTGTGAGAGACCCCTCCCACTCCTCCCGGATACGAGCAGCCTCCTTCCTGATTCCCTGAACGATGTGGGAACACACCTGGGAGAAAAACATTCACACACAAGGTAACCAGTGTTTGAAATAATTTTAAAACCCAACAAGACAACCGGGCAGGTGACCCGCAAAGTGTTGCCTGCCCATCTACAAAGCTACCTGCCCGCATTAAGACATCATAAATATTGCAAAATCACACACAAAAATAAAAGACAAATCCTGATTCAGTTAAATAATCCAAACAATTACCAGAGAATCTACAAGGAGTTATGATTAAACTGAATACGTAAGTAATCTAATGATTATCTGCCAGATAGTCGGAAGGAAAATTTCATGCAGCCTGACAGAAAAGTTACCACCCACGGGCTGGGGGGCAGGAAGTTATTTCAGACACTGCAGGTACCCGCTTTTGTTGTAATCACATAGTAAAATAACAAATTAAACGTAGGTACACACAGAATAGACTTCACTCTTTGTACCCTAGTGTTAACCCAAGCTTTAAAGCGCTGGCTAGTCCACTGATCCGAGAAACTAGAGGCTTACAAACTGACATCAAGGGGTTAGGTGCTATCTTACAACTTTGAAAAGTATTTCAGTTTTATCACAGTAGCTGACAGACAAAGAAGCACAAATGTGACAAATTTGAAATTTCGAACCCACAATCACCAGATCCTGGTATGTCTAAGGGATGTAACTCTATGTAACCATGTAACAATGCTGAAAACCCCTAATATAGACCTCACAGTGAATCAAATGGAGAACAATAATAATGTGTGTAAAGGAAAGTAACAGTTTATCAAAGAAAACATCCCAGAAATTTGCTGTATTTTCTATCACCCTACCCAAGTAATCTACCATATTCGACGTAATAAGCGCCCAGGGCGCTCTCAAAATTAGAAATAGGGGGCTCTTATTAGAATATTATTTTGGTGGAAAAAACAAAGTTGAAAGATAAATTAAGTGGTTTATGCTGACGGCCTGAACTGTTTATATACGACAGATATATTTTTCCAGAATTTAATTGCCCATAATTAAGGGTGCATATAACACACGAGTGCATATTATACATAAATAAATAATTCTTGTTTACATTGATCAATCGGAAGGGGTGCTAATTGGGATTGTTCACTTGCCAATATATTAGAAAATATCGCCGAGGGCGCTTATTAGAGCGGGGCGCTTATTACGTCCATGAGACTGATTCCATCCACACATCTGCAGACCTCCGCCCTACCTGTTTCTGTAGGTGAGACAGCTTGCTGCGACTGAAGAGTATTCCCACCATGTGTTCCTTCAGGTCATTGTCCACATCCAGAGCATCCGACACATCCTTCTTCCCCTCCATGTCATCGTCGTTCTCCTTCTCCGTGAAGATCAGCCGACCAAACACCTACACGCAACAGAAAAGCATGGCTGGTGATGCGATTCAGGTAAATCTCAAAGAATTGTCCAGTTATCAGAACCTAGGTTTCAGGTCTGAAATTGCCACAGAATAGTTTCAAAGCATCCCATTATCTATGGTTCAGTTTACAGATCTACTACCAACCAATTCATTTGGCTTGTTCAAAATGTAATAATAATTAAAAAAATATAAATAATATTTTGAATTCACCAAAATAAAAAACCTTGAAAAAACAAAATGGATATAGTTTCTGGAGTACTTATCACTAACCTTCATTATAAGAAATGTCAATTAAACTTCAATCAAGCAGAGAAGATTTTTCAAATAACAATGTACACCAAAGGGAAACAACTCTGTAGTACCTGTGAGGTGAGTATCCTGAAGACCCGGAGTGTCTCCGCCTCACAGTTGTATTCCTGCAGGTCCAGCGCCGTCTTCTTGACCGGGAGATACACATCCTCATCCTCCTGGCTGCCCAGCACCTTGACCTGGCGCACACGGAGGCTCTGGTCCGAGCCCTTCAGCTCCACCTGCAGGTGGCGACACTGGGTCTCCTGCAGGGCACAGCTCACCCAGCCCACATGGCGTGGCTCCAGTTCCACCTGAACACACACCTCCATCTTTATCAATGTGGCAACCTGATCCTCAAACATCCTCATCTCTACTTGGAGATTAATTTTATAAGAAAGCACATTTTTTAACTTATCCTGCATTACTCTTTATTACATTTACTGATGATCTTTTTACAGAAAGATGAAGCTGTGTGAGGTACAGCTGAAGAAGAAGTTGTTTCAACTAGTTGTGTGGCTATTCCCATCACACAGAGCCCACGTGACCACGGCAGTGATGACGTCACATATCTTCACAATACTCATGATACTGCTTGTCATCCAGATTGACAAGTCCTGTACAATAAAGTGTCCAGCTTTTTCACTGGCATCCCTTTGATGGTACATTTTCAGAGTCCATGTGTTGGTAACCAATGAGACAGAATTGAGTTATAGATTTCAACTGCATTTTATATTCTGTCAGTGTGACATTCCAGTGTAGGTGCTTGTACCTTTATCATGATGATTTGTTTCAGAATATTACTAACATCGCTACTAAAGTGAGTGAGTGAGTGAGTGAGTGAGTGAGTGAGTGAGTGAGTGAGTGAGTGAAGTGAAGTGAGTGAGTGAGTGAGTGCTGACAGATCTAGAAACATGAAATCGAAGTCCATGCAAACTCCATCACAACATCCTCGATTTCATGTGTTCAGTTCAACATCAGCAACATGTCCATGGGATTGTTTCCTACCTGTCTGACTTTCTTCATGTCTTCTGGGCAGGTTCCTGCACTGAAGTTCACCACGGACACCTTGTTCTGGACAGAGTAAACCAACCCATCTTATTAGAATTACAGTTGGTTATTTTGTTAAATTTCATAAATAACTTTCCCTGGTTTATAATTATTATGTTTGCTGTTTACCGCCACACTCAGTAATATTCCAGCTATATGATGGCAGTCTGTAAATAATCAAATCTGGACCAGACAATCCAGTGATTGATATCATGAGCATCGATCTACTCAATTGGGAGACGATGACATGCATCGACCAAGTCAGCAAGCCTGACCATCCGATCCCGTTAGTTGCCTCCTACGACAAGCATAGACACCTTTTACAGCAAGCATGGGTTGCTGATGACCTATTCTACCCCAGAGTCTTCACGGGTTACTTATTATTATGAAATTGTCCAGCCAATACTGTGACAGCATCACGGTATTACACAAGGTTACTGTGTCTTTATTTGTGATAAAACCACTTCTGAGATAAATCTAGCTTTCTTCACGCCACTTTGAAGGTACTTGTTGATATTATTGCATCACTATCGCGAGACTTTCATGATAACATTTTGGCATACAGATGAAAGAACTTATGAAAAGACATCGTATCACACTGTTACATAAAGTTCCATATAGCAAAGGCAACAACAAATTGATTCACCTGCTCATAAAATGTGTTTACAACCATAACTTTGTACAAAAGTAATAGAGTTAAATGTACATAAGTAATACAGAGTTATAAGTTCCTGTCAAAACAAAACAACCACCAATCTCTTTTAGGGTTTAGTTGGCAAATTGGCACATAAATCATATTGCAATATATCGCAATACTGAGGGCTATACCGGTACATATGGAAATATGTATTTGGGCCCAAAATATATATTCGTACTGTTCAAATGGTACTTCTTTATTCAATAATCCAGACTTCAGATAACGAGCCTACCTATTGTGTCAGCAATATGGAATATTATGTAAACAGCGTGAAGCGTGTGCTGTTTACATGGTTTAGACAGGAAACCATCCATCCTAATGCCTCAAGATATAATTTCTATAATGATATATTAATTCTTCTGGGACTGTACTGGAAAATATCAATACTCAAGGGTTGTATTGCGATACGTGTATTGCTGACGGCCATATTGCAATATACCGGTATACAGTTATGTTGCACAACCCTAATCTATTTCTAGTAAATTCTTGGCAAAGGTTGGTTGGTTGGTTGGTTTGTTGTTTAACGCCGCACTCAGCAATATTCCAGCTATATGACGGCGGTCTGTAAATAATCGAGTCTTGACCAGACAATCCAGTGATTGATGTCATGAGCATCAATCCACGCAATTGGGATCGATGACATTCATCAACCAAGTCAGCGAGCCTGACCACCTGATCCCGTTAGTCGCCTTTTACGACAAGCATAGTCGCCTTTTACGGCAAGCATAGTCGCCTTTTACGGCAAAGGAGGTAAAGCTTCCAATAACTGGTGGCCATGTAATTTGGGGTGGAGACTTCAAACAAAATCACAAAGATGAAAACTCCTACCCCAATATCCCTTGTGTTGTCGATGTGAGCATATACCATCCTTGGGTCGGACTTGTTGGAACAGGTGATGTTAATCAGCTTCAGCTTGTTCCGATCTTCATCCCCACTCTCCCAAAATGTTTCTGTGGAATTATCTGCAACAACACACACAAAAACACCTGTACCTCACAGAACCTGCAGCTGAAAACTGACAAACCTGACTGTTGACCCCAATGAATATGCATGGGTGATGGGTGATTTGTACAGTGGGTATGTAAGCTGTACGAGCCTCAGACGACTGGGCCACTTGTGCCCTACAGGTGAAAGAACTTATGAAAGGACATTATACATTGTTACATAAAGTTCCACATAGTAAAGGCAACAACAAATTGATTCACCTTCCCATAAAATGTGTTTACAACCATCACTTTGTACAAACATAACATAGTTAAATGTCCCTGACAACAAAATAACCACCAATCTCTTTTAGGGCTGGCGTATTGGCACATAAATCAAAATATAGTCAGGGCAAATCAGAGATTTGCATCCTCGATCACAGGTTTCTGTCACAGCAAATTGAGGCACCAGAGACGAGTGAACAACCTGTGCGCCCAGTTCTGCTGGAGACGAGTAGGTATATTTCATCTGGAATGTTACCTGTTAGACTGGCAATCATTGCTTGTCGACTAGAGGCTTTGATTTCTGCTGATGCTGTTAGGTCCCGCAAACAGGACACCTTGAAACCCAGCTGCAAGAAACACAGGGTGAGCTAAGAAACTGTGATTCTCAAAACATGCAGACAGAAAACATGCCTTCTTTCCCCAAGTCATTCAAGTAAGCAACGAATGCGCTGAAGTTAAAAATTCAATAATAGCTCTGCATGTAACATAAATGTGAATGTTTGTTCTTTAACGCTGCATTAAACAATATCCCATATATATACATATGACGGCAGTCTGTAAATAAGTGAGTCTGGATCAGACAATCCAGTGATTTGACATCATGAGCATCTGGGATATGATGACTTGCATCAACCAAGTCATCGAATCTGACCACCCGATCCCGTTAGTCGTCTCTTACAACAAGCATGGGGTTCTGAAGACCAATCTGATCCTGATCTTCATGGGCATGAAACATAAATAGTTGAATAATTGAATGTGCTTAGTAATAGAATAATATGACATTTGTAAATTTAAAAACTTTAGGAATGCTATTAATAATCCTATAACCCCTTCATGTTAGGCAATTTAGGTCTTTGTGGATCCAGACCTGGTGATGTGGATTTGGAAGACTGTATTGATGGTTTCTCAGAGTGATAAATCAGCAATAATACAGCACTAAGAACCATGCATGTTCCAGGATTGGTTGATAATACAAAAAAAATTTTTATTCCGAACAAGGCACTGTAACACAATTAACGAGATCATAGGTAAGAAATTATCTTTGCTGGTGTTCACTCATCCAAATATTCAAACATAGCAGCCATTTTGGCCACCTGACCCCAACTTTTTGTTACCAGCATAGGGTGCAAAGTGAGTGAGTGAGTGAGTGAGTTTGGTTTTACGCCGCTTTTAGCAATATTCCAGCAATATCACGGTGGGGGACACCAGAAATGGGCTTCACACATTGTACCCATGTCGGGAATCGAGCCCGGGTCTTCGGCGTGACGAGCAAACGCTTTAACCACTAGGCCACCCGACCGCCCCCATAGGGTGCAAAGGATCAGGTAGTCTCACACAGAATCCCCTATGACTGACAGTTGTCTTAACAAGTTGCTTTGAACAATATTTCAGTAAATTCCAGAACGTCACCTAAGTCTTCTTACTTGGTGAGAGTTTGTTTGTTTGTTTGTTGTTTAACGCCACACTCAGCAATATTCCAGCTATGCATTGGCGGCCATCGAGGCTGAACCAAACCAGTGATCAATATTTTGAGCAACGATCCTCATAGTCCAGGTATCATAACACGTGTCACTGAGTCTGACCATCCAATCCAGTTGGTCGCCTCTTTCGATCAGCACAGGTCTTTAGGGACCTGGGTCCCGTTCCACAAAGCGATCGTAGCCGTAAGACGATCGTAACTGCCATACTTTAAAATAGACTTACGACAGTCTTAGCGCTAAGATCGCATTGTGGAACGGGGCTCTGTTCTAACCTGGAATCACCACACAGAGGTGAGTGTATCAGTTGGGATTAACGCTGCTTTGAACAGTATTTCAGTCATGTCACAGCATGTCAGCTTAAGGTAAGGAAAGCCATATTGATGCAGATGTCAGACATATACCACTTTGGTGAAACCCAAGACCATGGGCATGGGTCTAACAAATCCCTAATCAAGGTGAATCAATTCAAATGCTTGATCAGCAAATCCTGGCAAGGCTAAGGGACACAACTCAGCACAGTACTGGGCCATGAATGCCCTTTAGGCCCCAAATGGAAAGCCTGACAAGGACCAAGTCTAGTGACAAAAGCATGGATAATAAAAAGAATGAAAATGAATGCTGTGGAATTATACAAAGAGTAATGAAATATTTGGCTATAAATTTCTTCAATGTGAACATAACCATTCCAAACCGAAAACACTGAATAGAAATCAAGCCAAACTTTGCTTGCAAAACTTCAAGAATGACCCATTGTCTTGATAAGATATATTTCCCCCAATCTTCTCAACAGAAAAAAACACAATATGAATAAAAATAAATGAGTACAACTGAGTACAAATGACTCTAAAATATTCACAATTCAAGGTTAACTGTTTCAAACTTTTGCCACAAAAGTCAAGCATAATGTCCTCACCAACATCGATATCATCCATTGTCTTCCCTGAATAATAATCATACAATAGCTAGGTCCATCAAGTTCGTCTTACAAGATGATTTACAATAACTGAGAAAGACTAGACCAGATTATGCAGAAAATTGCAATTTTATGAAGTGAAATAAATTTCAAAACAATGCTCTAACCTTTGTTTTCAGAGTTTAGGGAATTTTGACTATGACCAATTATGAAACTATAAACAAAAAGGACTTAGTTCATTGTTAAAAGTGTTTTTAAATTTAACAAATTCATCTCTATTCCTTCCCTGTAGGTGTGAATTTATTATCTAACCATTCTGAAGAGTTATTGGTAAATAGAGACTGAAGAAAAATAATGTAGGTTATTAAATGTTTGCTTTTTTCAAAACTCAATCCAAGAATTCAGCCACAATTTACAGATTTTGTTATTTCTATGTAAGTGAGCATTATGCAAGTGCATGGTATTGTTAAGATCACAATTCAGTAGAGTAGCTCTGTCATGCTACTGAACTCACCTGTGAGGCATCTATACTGATCTCCTCTGACTCCTCATCCGACTTGCTGAGGATGCGGCTGATGTTGCTGAAGACGTGACTCTCATGGAGGAACTGGTGGTCCGACTGTGTGAACTCCAGACAGTAGCAACATACTCCCATCCTCTGTGGAGAAGTAGACAGTGGGTGAGTGAGTGAGTGAGTGAGTGAGTGAGTGAGTGAGTGAGTGAGTGAGTGAGTGAGTGAGTGAGTGAGTGAGTGAGTGAGTGAGTGAGTGAGTGAGCTCATACATAGCAGACATTGTGACCATATCATCCCCATTTTAACCACTTGTTATGACAAGCATAGAATTTGCTTCCTAGCTGGGTTTTTTTCATACCGCAGCAATATTCCAGCCATTTAATAGCAACCTGTAAATAATCATGTCTGGACCAGACAAACCAATGGTTAATATTAAGACCAACATCCCATATCATCAGGGAATGTGGTTAAGCCCAGTCAGAGAACCTGATCACTCGAGTGAGTGAGTGAGTGAGTTGGTTTAATGCTTTGAACATCCTTTCAGTAATATGATGGCATGTCAGCTTAATGCTTGAGAAAAGACTGAAGTCTGACGCCTGATCCCCACATGACAAGCATGACATACTGGGTCTCTCTGCTAAACAGGAATCTCAACAATCTCACAATGTGAGGGCTGTCTGCCACTAACCTGCAGTGAGGACCCAAGAGGTAGCTGCATGACTTGAGGACACACAGAGGGACAACTAACTACGTGAGGGCTGTCTGCCACTAACCTGCAGTGAGGACCCAAGAGGTAGCTGCAACATGACTTGAGGACACACAGAGGTACAACTAACTATGTGAGGGCTGTCTGCCACTAACCTGCAGTGAGGACCCAAGAGGTAGCTGCATGACTTGAGGACACACAGAGGTACAACTAACTACGTGAGGGCTGTCTGCCACTAACCTGCAGTGAGGACCCAAGAGGTAGCTGCATCATGACATCCGAGATGGTCTGTAGCAGGGTGTGGAACGTCTCAGGGAGGGGGGCCACAGCTTTCCCCGCGATCGTGATGTCTGACAGCGGGTGTTCACACAGAGGCACGTCCTGTAGAAAGAGAAGACAGGGAGCTGACACAAGTCTCACTTCTGCCGTATACTCTCAATACATGGCCTGATTATTTGTGACCCAGCACATTATCCAAACAGTACTGTATCAAGCTATAACTCACTGTGTAAACAACAGAGCAAGGTATATCAAAACTGTATCTTTTGTGGAACCTTTAACACTTTTATAACTTTGGAACAAAAATTTGACTTATTTTTAATAGCTCTTCACTTGCCACACACGAAGATTGGACATATTATTAGAACATCATCATTGTACATCCCTGTCAGTTCATTTATTTGTTAGGGAGCCATGTGGCTCCTAATGTGAATATTTAAGGATCCAAACTTCAGTTTTTAGGAGCCAACAGATATCTTAAACAAATATTGTCGCCAGTTATGTTTACTTTTAGGTAGTCAAGTGGGGAGCAGTAGATAAATTTACGGCGCCAATCATAGATTCGAGTCGCTTTGACCACCAAAATGATCGCTACGTAGAGGGCTGTTGTATAAGAAGTTGTGTGAGGAAATGCAGGGTGTTACAAATACTGCTATAAGTAGGCACAAACCTCCTGGTCCTTTTTCACATCCTTCTTCTCCTTGGCCGGCTCCTCCTCCTCTTCCTCCTCATCCACGGGCGGCATGAGCGACACCGTGAAGAACCAGAACAGATCGTGCAGACACACCTGCTGCACCACGCTGCGCAGCAGCCAGTTGAAAGCCTGCAGCATGTAGCAAACATGCTATAATAAACAAGTCACAAATACCCCACTTCCAACAAGTTATTGGTAGATAGTGACAAATACCACCCTAATGTGATGCTATTCAAAGACAAGTCACAAATACCCCACTTCCAACAAGTTACTGGAAGATCATTACAAACACCACCCTTCTGTGATGTTATTCAAAGACAAGTCACAAATACCCCACTCACAACAATTTATTGAGAGATCATAACAAATACAACCCTTATGTGATGATATTTATAGATTGTCACAAATACCCCACTCACAACAATTTATTGAGAGATCATGTGATTATAATAGCATTGTAAGAATCTCACCTGCATGGCAAACACACGACAGGAAGCCTTGCGCAGTGCTTGTCTCATGGCCAGCTGCAGACTGTCCAGGTCATGTCTCTGGATGATGAACTCCATCACTGGCCGCTGCAGCGCACGCTCTCCGTTACCCGAGGGTGCTCCACTCCGGTCCACAGAGTTGATCAGCTTTGTCATGGCTGCTGATGGATGCTTCAGTAACGACATCCCTCCATCTGCAGCACAGGGACCAATCAGTGCACACTAATGTTCACACATACAATCTCACCATAACAGATCAACACCCATTTAAACAAATGTGAAGCAACATTAAACACTAAACACAAGAGATATGGGGTCGTAAGTTGACGTAGTTCCACCGACCTCCGACTCCTCCACTGTTGTTTCTCCTCCTGGCCATGGCCCGGTTCTGCGCCCCCTGTTGACTGTTCTCATCATCGGAGGAGATCTCCGATATACTGCGGTGGAAGATCTTCTTGAAGTGCTCCTGCTCGTTATCCGGACTCGTTCCAGCACTCTTCACCACTGCCTTGGCTTCACCAGACACATTCATGCTGGGGTCCTGCACGGCAGAAACAAACATGAACATTAGAAGCTTGAACACGCCATCCACTACGTTAATTTCAATTAGTGAGTGAGTGAGTATGGTTTTATGCCGCTTTTAGCAATATTCCAGCAATATCACGGCGGGGGACACCAGAAATGGGCTTCACACATTGTACCCATATCGGGAATCAAACCCGGGTCTTTGGCGTGACGAGCAAACGCTTTAACCACTAGGCTACCCGACCGCCCCTAATTTCAATTAAGAAACAAATGACAAGTGGGACTTGTTTATTGTACAATAAAACACTGACTGGATGTTAAGGATCCATACCAAAACAATGCCTTTACAGTAAATAAAAATCATCCATCAACTTCTAAGTAATGCCTATCAAACATTTAATCAGTACATATATTCAACATACATAAGTCTGCGTTGAAATCAACATACACAACTGATAACAGCACACACACAGAGACACAATCGGTTCAGCCCTCCGTAACACGCCATACCTCTCTCAACCATTACCCCAAACTATCCACCCCCTACATCACACCATTACATCACAATCTCTTAGAATGTATATACATACACAATTTAGAATGTAACGAAAGCAAGGATACCAAACGAAACCGGAAGCGATATTGTGTGCAATACGAACGGAGATAACTCTACCATGGGATAACATGAAGACCATTAGAAAATATGGTCAGAACATAAGTTTACAAATACTTACCACTGGTCCTGGCGGTGAATACTGTGAGAATGGTCGGACATCCTGCCCAAGTGACCCTGACCTTGCCAACGGACTATGTCGCGGTTCTGTCGGCAACCTGGGTCTGTATGAAATCGTTCTCCTGTTCGCCATGCTCAGTGACCCTGACCTCACAAACACCCTCTCTTCGTCATCAATCAAAATATCCTCTGCAAATGCTGAATCAGCGTTCTGGGCATTTTGTTGAACCAGATACTGGAAGGGAACAGGAGGGAAGGGTTCTAGTTCCGACCCAAGGTCCTCACTGACACTGGGGAGAATCATATCGGCACGGGAGTGGGGCTTCTTGTGATGTTTGGGCAGAGTAAAGCCAGAGGCACTTGCCAGGTCTAAGAGAAACATAGCATTGTTCTTCAACACTATATGACCCTCCTGAGGTGACACCAGGGTAGCTTGTTTTGAGAGCATTGATTTCCTCTTTACCTTCTTTGATTTATCTTTTTCCTTTTGAGATTGTTTTTTGTCACGGAGGTACTTGTCCCTGCACTTATCACACATGAGGTACCAGCTACTGCCGCCAATGCCCCCCTCTCCACAGTTCCCCGCCCAGCCGCCACAGAAGTTCCCCCCGCTATTGTACCCCTTCCCACAGGCATGCCGGCCACAACCAGGGTGGTTCTGCCTCATGTGATACGTAACCGGGTGGGGGAAGGACCCTCCACACAGTTCACACAACGTCTCCCTCTCCCCACCTCCACCTCCAAACATCCCAGCAACTGCGTCACCAAATAGATTCCCCTTGGCAACAGCCTTTGCCTCTTTCCTCTTCTTGCTCTTCTTTTCCTTATCCTTCTCCTTATCTTTTTTCTCCGCCTTCTTCATCTTCACAGCTTGAGCAGGACTAGGGAGTATGAGGTCTTGACCTATTACCTTGAGGACGGATGTGGACAGTTCCTCCCAGAAGTACACCAGATGCTGGATGGTGGGAGGAAGCTCCTTGTCCTCCTTGTCCCGAACTTCGTCTCGTTCCTTGGCCTCCAACTTCCACTTGTCTCCTTCAGATTTGACTCTTGCGATTGGGGGTCGAAGAGGGGTTGGTGCCCTCTCCCCCTTCAGCAGCTCCGTTTCACTGATGTCTTTGATCAGAGGCTCAAGATTAAACCTAACTCTGCTCTCATTAATATTATCCTTTTTCTTCTCCTTTGAAAGATCTTTGCTGGAGTCTGTTGCATGACGAACTCGGATCTTCTCCTGTTTCTTCTCTTTCACAAACTTGGACATTTCTTTTGGCAGATCAGGGTGGAACTTGAGGAATGAAGCACACGCCATGGCATCATGGACAATGCCCTCATGCCACATGAACGCAGCGAACACAGCCCGGAGACACTCAGCCACTGACGGAGACAAGGCTTCCTTGACCGGGTCACGTGGTCGGTCAAGAATCGTGGAGGCTGAAGATGACCGTGACCTCATCAAAGGATTGATGTCACGAGGAGATGGGGATGAGGCTCTTTCTCGCTTGGTCCTCAGTTGCCGACCTCTATCTTTCCTATTTGCCTTGGGTGACAACCTGCAGCGGAAAGAACATATAAACACATTTTGCAACAAAATCCATTTCAATTAGCCAACGGGATAAGGCCAAAATCGTAACTGAAATTTCTCAAGATATGAAATTACCTTATAGCCTCATCTTTTGGTGATGATGATCCTATATTAAACGCTCCAGTCATCTGTGGGGCAGTCTGTCCAGGACTACCTGGCCGAACTATACCAGCAGCACTTGCACCAAGTTGAGGACTTCCTGTGGCTACTCTCCGATGTGGGCTAAAATCAAAATATTTTTACATATTATAACCATGAAGACTGAAACAGTCCTTTGCTGATCCAGAGTACCCCTTAATCTGTAATTTTGCAACATAAGAGAGAGAGCGTGAATGAGTTAGGTGTAATACCGCTTTGAACAGTATTCCAATTATTAGAGTGTCAGCTTAAAGTAGGAGGAAAGCCCAAAGTGATGCAGGTCTTGTAATTTTACCACATTGGTGAAACCCACGAGCACCGGTATGGTGCTGACAGACCTAGAAATATAACCGGGGCAAACCGGATTCAAACCCGACAAAGGATACAATGTACTATGAATTGTGGTGCTTTAGACGACTGGACTCTTCATGCCAAAACATAAGAGAGAGACTATGACTTTATTTAATGCCCAACACAACATCATAATGATATCTGGTGTTCTGCAATGTCACATTACATCCTTAAAACAAAAACATTATACAAATCCTAGTCAAGTCAACATTATGGCTTCATAGGACTCCCTCCCTAAAAGACTTTCCTTTCCAAAATACCTAACAAAAGACAATTATGAAACACCTTATGACTGTACCCACCTGCCACCTCTGACCGGCGAGGCGTATCTGGGGCTGCCACATCCTGATGCTCCTGGGGGTGGAACTGTTGGTAATCCAGGCACATCCTTCACTGGAGCCACCTTGCCCCGCCCCTCTGGTGCTGGGGGTACTTGCGGCAGCTCCTTTCTCACAGGGGGAGGCGTCACAGGAGGAGACACATTCTTGTCAAAGGAATGGTCCTTCTGCAGCTTTCCCCGAGTGCTCCTTATAGGTATGGGGCTGCCAGGCGGGGTCTTGAAGGCTTCCTCCTTCTGCAGCGTGCCCCGAGGAGAGTCCCCTGGGCGCGGGCTGTCTCGGTCACGTAGCGCTGGGGAGGCTGATCGGGGAGAACCTGGCAGAAGAAACCACACCTGTTTTCAATATCTGCTGTAACCTCGCCAAGAGTGCTAAGACTCTAACCAGTGTCTGAAATAACTGCCCGCCTGCCTGCCTGCCCGCCTGCCCGTGTCTGGTAACTTTTCTGTCGGGCTAAAGGAAATTTTCCTCTACCTACCTGACTTTCTGGCAGAAATTTTTTGGCCTATTTACATATTCAGTTTGATTATAACTCCTGTAGATTCTCAAATAATTGTTTGCATTATTTCAACTGAATCAAGACACGATATGTCTCTTATGTTTTGCGAATTTCAAATATTTATAATGTCTGAATGTGGACAGGTAACTTTCCAGAAGGGCAGGCAACATTTATGCTTCACCTGCCCAACTGTCTTGTTGGGTTTTAAAATTATTTCAAACACTGACTCTAACCATCATATATGTGAATGAGGCTTGCTCTGTAATCAGAATTTGTTCAGAACCTTTCAAGATCCAGTATATTTTGTTGTTTGATCCAGGGATCATACTCTCAACTAGCTGGAATATTAACATGGAGAAACTCTTAAATATAGGACTTTGTTGTTGCTGGGACGAGATTGTTCCCACAAAATGTCCTAACATGTTTCCCTAGTACATCTCACCGTACACTAGAGCATAATATCCATAGCACATTTTAGGTTACAAGTTTCGGGTGAAAACTGAACAAAAATAATCTCTCTTCAGGTGAATTATTGGCTGACATGAACAGGAGAAACAAAGTCAAAATATCAATGTAAATGGACATTTTGTGATAAAAGATCACACAAGAATTTATAATTTTAATTGTATTTCCTGTTATGATATACATATTTCATGTGCAGAAATCCAAATTATCATAGGTAGGCTAACACCAAATTCTCCTTAATCTGTTTGTAAAATACATTGTTATAGGCCTGGACAGAACAGCTTGAAATGTCATTAGTCTATGTTAAAATATGGGGGTTATGAATGTCTTAGCGCTAAGATCACTTTGTGGAATGGGACCTGGCATCTTCCCGAGGCAAGAGAGTTAACTAACTATAAAAGTCCAGTTTCCACCCTTGCCGAACTAGGCTGGTATTATGGAGTTACATTTTGGCTCGACTAACGAGTCTATGCATAGTCCAATAAAAATCCGGTTCGTACACTGTCGTGCAGATTTCGGTCGATTACAGGATTTGCAAAGCATGTGCACCGCCAACTCGTTGCCAGCAGATATTTTCCAAATCTTATCATGTTTTTAATCAAGGTGCTCATGTGATTTGATGCATTTCGCGATGTTAGTCCCGTTTTATCACGATATTGATCTTGATTATCGATCAGATCGTCCTGACTGGGCAACACCATTTTGTGTGAAGCAAACGCAAGTGATATGAGAGGTGGAACCTGATTGATCCATAGGAGTGGCTTTGAAGGGACATAACTGGTAATACCTACTGGTGGCGCTATGATTGAGCCCAGTAATACCAGCCTAATTCGGCAAGGGTGGAAACTGGACTTTTAAAGTCAGTAAACTTGGGAAGATGGGGACCTGGATTCCTCCTTATTCCCCAAGCTGAAAACACAACCTAGTAACTCTGGCCTCTCCATCACAATCATAGCTGCTGTAATACCATTCTGGGGAAGTGAAAAGCTTATAAAAACTTGGCACAACCCCTGCTGACTGCTGCTGTTCTCCCAATCAGCATGCATGACTACCTTACCTATTCTAAACAACAAAAGGTGGCAAAATGAGGTGACCTGGTCAAAATACATCCTTATCAATGTGGACTTACCCGAGTCACTGGCTGGCTTTGGGCTGGAGCTGCGTGATGTTTTCTTGGGGGAGCCTGGAGGAGAGGGATTGGGGGTGGGGCCGTTACCATTGGCTCGACTTTCACCTGTAACATATACAAAACACTGGTCAATTCTAGATGCAAAAAATAAACCCCACCGGAGGTGCACACACCACCGCAATAAGAAGCTGAACACGATCAGCATCATACAGCTTTTCCTTTTCATGAAAAATCTAGAAATATTCTCAACGAAAAATCCTTCAACCTCCTTTTTTTTAACATTTATCGGTTATTAAACTAATCAAATGAATTTGTATGTAATCCATGGCAATGACAATATAGCAGCCAAAACTTCAGATTTTGGCTTTGTGACAATGTAAAGAATGTTCAGAGAGAGTGACTGAGTTTAATGTCGCTTTGAACAGTGTTCCAGTTATATCGCGGCGTGTCAGCTTGATGTGGAGGAAAGCCAGAAGTGATGCAGGCCTCAGATGTTTACCACTTTGGAGAGACCCACAAGTGCGGTTATGGTGCTGACACATAGTTCAGCAAGCTGTGATAAAGGAGTGAGTTGTGCTTTATGCTGCTTTGATTGTTTGTTTGTTGTTTATACTGCCGCACTCAGCAATATTCAAGCTATGTCAGCAGTATGTAAATAATTTCATCTGGACCAGACAATCAAGTGATTGACATCATGATCATCGATCTACGCAGCGCATACACTTAATAAAACTTGAAATATGACATTAAGATTCATATACATGCATAAAAAGTTGAAAAAGCACACATAGCAGCACATACAACAACAATCATGGCACATTTCATAATAAATATCTGAAAAATATGTTTCTATTATCCTGAAGAAAATTACTACTTAGTCAGAAGGGAATCAAAAAAAGGAAAAGAAGTATCACAAAACCCTCATGCAACAACATGAACACAGCCGTTCTGCATATTCCTCTGCAGAGTGAGTGAGTGAGTATGGTTTTACGCCGCTTTTAGCAATATTCCAGCAATATCACGGCGAGGGACACCAGAAATGGGCTTCACACATTGTACCCATGTCGGGAATCGAATCCGGGTCTTCGGCGTGACGAGCGAACGCTTTATCCACTAGGCTACCCGACCGCCCCTCCTCTGCAGAAGAATGAACACTTGGAATGTGCAAAACTACATCGAAAGTGGTTAATTTCTGATTTACTTGCAATTACTTTATATTTTTTTATGCCTAAATTTAAAATATATCATATCATAAGAAAGAGCTGAGAGATGTTAGGAGGAAAGTCATCAGCTATGTTTGCTGATTAATGCTGCAGTCAGCGATATTCCAGCCATATTTCTCTCCCCAGTAAAGACTTGAGTCTGGACCAGACAAACCAGTGATTGATATAATGAGCCATGTCCCACACAGCCAGGGAATGATGACTTGCAATGAACCAAGTCACTGGACCATCCTATACTGGCCTCTTCAACTACCATAGGGTAATGGGGACAAATTCTACCCCCAGCCTCAAGGGGAACAAAACTACACAAATATAGGCCAACAAGGCAGAAGTCGGTAATAAGTGTTGCACTTGTGCCCAATACCTTTGTCTTTTTGGACAATAAAATATGTTTAATAATAATAGGCCAACACAAGTAAAACCATGAGGACAGGTAGGGTGCTAATGCCCCAAGTTTCATCAATGGAGCACATACAAAAGCAACATTCAGCAGATCCTGGCAACTAAGGGATGCAACTCTGCACAGAGAATTGTAATTGATATCTACTGCCTACTTAGAAAGTCAATTTCATACGTCAATAGTTGACATGTTTGTACACATAGCATTCCTCTATTACCTGTGAATACATACAGCAACTATACAGTGTTGTAGTGACAATAGTAAGCTAATGAGTAAGTGAGTGAGTTTGGTTTAACGCCGCTTTGAACAGTATCCCAGTTATATCATGGTGTGTCAGCTTAATGTGGGAGGAAAGCCCAAAGTGATGCATGTCTCAAACGTTTACCATGAGCATGGGTATGGTGCTGACTACCTAGAAACATGATCGGGTCGAAACGGAATTCAAACCCATGATCATAGGTTTCTGCTGTGACCAAGGGAGACACCTCTGCCCAGTGAATTGTGGCACTTATGACGACGGGGCCAACCATGCCCCCTTGTAAGTTAATGAAATGGGGGAGTTAAATCAGATCATAAACGTTGTGCGAACCCTCCCATTGCTGCCATTAAAGCAGTGTGTAGAGCAGACAGTAGCAAGGCTATGGCACATGTTACACATATTGTTGATGGAGATACATCGCGGCTTGTACAACGTAATCTGAGCCCTTATAGGATAGTAGAGGGGCGATACACCAATGCATAGGTAGATCACGATGTTTACTTCTCGATACAAGTATCGATCACAATTGCATACTAAGCAAAATATATTTATTCTTTCCTTAAATGTATTCTATATTTTTTTTCACACCAAATACTAATTACTAGTGTAAATGAGTAGTGCCATTGTGAAATCTGTAAGTTGTCAGTGTGCCAGGTATTTGGTCATCCTGTCTATAAAAAGATGACGTACGCACCAGATATGAGCACATGCAAGTATCGTGATATGTATTGGATCGTGAGCAAGGTATCGTGACACGTATCAGATAACACAGTTGGTGAATCGTCCCACCCTACCATACGACTTATTTGTATTCCTCATGTGGAACCAGGCCTTGCTTGATTCGATGGTTAAAACAAGCAACTACATTGCATTGCGGCCATATGTATTCATGAGCGATGAAGTAGCGTAGTGTATACAAACAAGTAATGACGATGTACATAACCATGCATAGAGCAGAGGAAGATCAGACAGGATTATAGTGTCATACACATGCCCCCATTCACACAACAAGCATCTTACCGACAAGCGACACCAGTCTTTGCGGACTGATTGTGCGGAATCGATAATTCAGGGATATTGTTTTTAACTGTGGGACTTTGTGAAACTCCTGGCTCCAGCAGTTATCATAGACAGCGTTTACACACTTCACATTATCTGTGTGCCAAGCAAGCAGAGGCAAGCAAAAAGAAAACTGCAATAAGTCAACACTATTTCACTGCACAAAGGGCAAACAATTCAAGTCGACAGTGGGTAAAGTGACAATGTTAGAAAAACACATGAAAGCATATCAACACCAGAGGCTGCTGTAGTATTAATGAAATCTGTGTTTTCAAGATGAAGAGCAGTAATCATTATTATCATCATCATCATCATTATCATTATTATTATTATCATTATCATTATCATCATCATCATTATCGTTGACTTAGTTTGGCCCCTTCAACGACAACATTAGGGGTGTTCAGATACACCCACATCACGATCGATGCGGGACCATCGACACACATCGTGATACCATATTTGCACAATTATTGCACGAACGATTCCATGGCATAGTTATCAAGGAGCTGTTGCCATGGTTAATTTAGGCTTGTTCTTGAATAATTTTGCAATCAGATTTGCTTCTGGAACTAACCTGAATAGTTACAGTTACAGTCCACGAGTCCTTATAATGATAACATATATTGCAAAACCTGTAACAAGGACAAATTTCTACTATTCCTCATGATACCTTAACTACTCATATAGGAAAACTCTTAACAAGGGCAAATGTCCACTCGCCCTTGTGATACCTGTGCTATTGGTCAGTTTGGCAAGGACCATAGGATAGTGCTATGTTAGACCCTAATTTTGAAAAAAAGCCACATTTTCAAAGACAATGGGGCATCTTAACATTGCGCTGTATGGGAAAGTGTGGGTCTACGTCTGGAATATCTGATATCTTCAGATAAAGGACCCATGTTAGAATGTTTCTAGAGCAAACCCTGCCTGGGCTAGGTTATTGCAAACCTTCGTAAATAGCACTTTTTGAAAATCACGACACCTTAGAAACATAAATTGTCACCCTGGCAGCATTTTATGTATGGTGTCATCAGGTGACAAGTTGTGATGTACTGATACACCAGTGGCTAATGACACCTTAATGAGCGTGGTTCAGTAGAACTGCAATGTAAGTTCACCTATAAATGACTTATCCTACACCAGGGGAACAAAATCTTGAGTAGATGTGCAAGCATCATTACGTACTGTCATGCAATCTGCCAAACCATTGGCACCTCATAGTATCTAACAACAGCATCCTCATTTAGTACAAATTTTACAACATGTGTGAAACTTTTATTCCCCAGAATTGTTAACCTCCAAGGATTTGTCAAATGAATAAGTACACATTTTCTACCATTTGCTTATATGCAATGTTGGAAGCTCTTTTGGAATTTTCAATATTTTCACATTTTCAGGGAATTTTGTTTGTTTGTTTGTTTGTTGTTTAACACCGCACTTATCATTATTCCAGCTATATGACGGCGGTCTGTAAATAATCGATTCTAGACCAGACAATCTTGTGATTGACATCATGAGCATTGATCCACGCAATTGGTATACGATGACATGCATCAACCAAATCAGCTAGCCCTACCACCCGATCCTGTTAGTCGCCTCTTACGACAAGCATAGTCACCTGTTGCTGCAAGCATGGGTTGCTGAAGACCTATTCTAACCCAGACCTTCATGCTCGTTTCAGGGATTTGCCAGATGTGAAAGCCTGCATCCTACATGCAGAAAACTTGAAAACTGCCACACAACTGAGTGCATCCACTGGGCCACACATACATCACTTGGGGTAGAGTACCGTTTCCGTATCGATCGGGGTCATATGTGCGTGTGTGTTGGCAAAACAAGAAGATTTTCCATTGCAACTTCATCAAACACAGAGGCCACTTCTCTTGGATCACCATTTTGTAGCTTGGGATCACCTATATAGGAACCTGGGATCCCAACAATCAAAGACTTTGAATCCCCAGAACCCCCAAAAGAAATAACCCAGGTAAGTCCCTGCATTTTCATGTTTTTCAAACAAATAGGAATTATCATTATTATGTCTTCATTTTGAAAACACAGCAATTTGCAAATATGTAAAGTTGTGAAAATACAACCCTGTAAATTTCAACAATTCAGGCTATGAAATACTCATTGTTATCTAACACAGCTTATGAAATATTATGTGGAATGTGAAACACTATGTGGAATGACAGAAAGCCACACTTTTACATGAGATCAATCACTGGTGAACTGACAAACCACATCACTTTGACCACAAGGCTGCAACAAGCTCAACATGCACAAGAGCGATAAAGCATCACATCAAAACACACATCCTCACCTAGCGCCTTGACTAGTTCCCTGACTGACACACCCATCAGCTCCGGAGGCAGGTCCCTCCCATCTCTCCCCTTTCCAATCATGCCTAGATCGGCAGCTTGGCGTTCCAGGTAGGCTGTCTGCGGAGCTCGTCGGTCCGGCACGGAATACGCCTTGACCGGCTGCGGCATTCTCCTCGTGGTCATCGGTGTGGATGTGAAGGGTCCCCCGCTTGAAGACTGAGCGTCGTCTCCTGCAGTGTCTACCACAAGTGTCACAGGTTCAAAGGGGCTGGCGGTGGCGCCGGCGGAGGATTGACCGAACATTGGTACACTTGCCGCAGCTTCTGTTGTGGGGAAAATCAAATCATTAACTAAATACTGACATGATGCATATAATACCTAACACTTTAATTGATGTGCATTTGTGGAAAAGAAAATAAGCAGGATTTGGTGCAGAATAAAAATATCAATAAAAAAAATATTCAAACCAAATTACCAGTAATGTATTCCCAAAATAGATCACACAAATATGTCATTATGGTACAAAATTATTATTTATCAAAAACATAAACCTGCACAAAAATTAGTCTCTATTATGTTATTACCAAATTAATTTTGAAATCAAAAGTATTACCCTAGGTAAACACATTACTCACTATTCAACCACTTACACTTAAATATCAAAAACTTCAGCCCAAGTATCAAGTTTCAAGTACAACTAAACCAATTTAGTCAACAAATTAAAAAACAGGACAAGAATTATGTATATGAAAAAAGATATTTGGGTTGAAAGTGCTAATACGTCACTGTACAAGAAATACCAGTTTGAAATGGAACTATCTGTAAAGACAAAGAGCATGAGAAAATAAAGAGCAGCAACCACAGGTCACAGACACAGGGCAAACACGAAGGGTTACCTTGATGCCCAAATGCAAAGGAGGTTGTGGTGCTCCTAGGAGCGAAGCCTGGCAAAGAGAGAGGGGTGTATACTGCAGATATGTCTAGGACAGACACAACACAGTGCTACAGGCAGTGTTCCCGTTTACCGATTACCACTTTGTTACCATTAAAATAAGGCTTGAAGCGTTAATTCATATGACCTTATAAATCTTTGTTGTTGACCAATACATCAATGATATTCCCATAAGTATATTTTTTTTAACAAAGTCAGCTTGTCTGTTACCATCAGGGTTTCCCCTTGTCTATTTTCAGTGCAAGGGAATATTTCGAGGTTAAATATATTTTTGAAGTGACTTTGTTTCAAAATATTAAAAGAAAAGAGAAAATTGTGACTGAACTTTGCGTGAATGATGTGTAGATCTAAGTTACCTCAGAGATGAATTCATGATGTTGAAAGAATTAAAAGCAGGTAATTTTCATACTTTTTTTGTTTTTGTTGGGACTGACAAAAATTAGTGGGGACTGTCAGTTTCAAAAGGCAGCGGGAACACTGCTACAGGACCTTTCACCAAACTCATCATACACAATTTGGGCTTGTAGATTTGTACAAGCCCTCTGTATCATTTAACACAAATGGCTATCTTATAACTATGGCTTATTCATTTTGTTTCTTGGATCTGGTATTTACGATATCAAGTGTTTTTATCTTAGATCTGGTATTTACGATATCAAGTGTTTTTAGAAGGGTACCAAAAAATTACATTTCTTTTGATAATGTTAAGGTCTCCCAATAAAACAAACAGTATCAAATCGATATGTTAGAAATTACTTGACATTCTTAAATCATATTTTTTAAATTATTTGACACAATTCAGCTTTTTAAGTAGAAAAGTGTTGAGTTCATTTCGTGATTGCTATTCCTCAAAGCAAACTATTTATCAAACTCAGTTAATAACCTAATGAAATGGTTGTTTGTTGTTAAAACCACAGTCAGCAATATTCCAGCTATGTCAAAGTATACAAAGTCTGAACAAGGCGAACCAGTGATTGAAAGAATGAACACCATCCCAAACCATCAGGATACGCTGCACGCGATAAAGTCTGAACACCTTTTCCAACAACAATGCAGAGTGTTGCAGGTTTATTCTAACCTAGGTCCACACAGGGTTTAATTAATGAATATAGTTTCACACAAGGTAACAGACTCAGAAAGCAGGAATATAACAGCAGACCTTGATATATTTAAGATAACAATAGCAGTCAAAAATATATGTAACACCTCTCTCTTGCCAGATATTTTCGAATTAAAATTAGTTACTTTTCAGCTCTTATGATAATGCTCAAGAATCCTCATACAGAACATACAGCAACAGTTTTGTTAAGTGAAACACAATCAGCACATTGTTAGTATAATGAATCAGTAATGATGTGATGTGATGCACACTCAATATGTTTCAAGTATTCCTGCAAATGATATATTGTAACTTTCATTACGGGGAACATGCGATTAAGCTTATATAATGCTTATATTATTATCATGAGTATTTGCTTTTCTGTGTGATGAATGACACCAGATGCATACTACTGCTAGAATGGTGAAGCATACACTCTAGGTCTATAATCACAAACTATTACTCTACCTGCTTGAAAATGATGAAGAAAGCTCTCTGAAAATATCATAATTGTCAAATCTCACTGGGTCTATTGAACAAAATATCTATTTTCTACTTAAATATTCATTAGAGAAAAATATTTTCATGTTGACATTTTTCATGAATTATAACGTGACAAAGATTTTATATATTTCATTACAAATTCCAGTCCAACATTTTAATAAAACTCTGTTAGTCCAGCCCCGTTTGACTAAAAACCTGCCTTATTGAAGCTTCTTGTTGAGAATATATATTATATTTATAATGTACACAAAAATTACTACTTTATTTACTTATCAGGAGATTTGTTAATAAGGATGACTCACTCTGGAAAGGTATGTCCACATTAACAGGGTTTCACTGTATAGGTTAACTGTGAAAACAAGTACGTGCCTTACAAACATGAAGTCAGTTACTTACCAAGGGTGAAGTCACTCTTGAGGCTGAAGCTGGGGAGACTGGTTGAGTGACAGTGTGCGCCGGAGAAGTCGAAGCCCCGTGAGGATGTGACGGGCAGGGTGTTGAAGGAGAAGGGGTCCTTCCCGACCGGCCCCACCTCGGACTCGTGGCGGAGAAACACAATGCTGTCCTTCCCTGCGGCCAGTGACCAGGCCTCTGTCTCACTACTGTGACAGTACTGGTCAACGCTCTCCACGTCCAGCTTGACCCAGGTGCCGTCGACATTAGTTGCCTGGATGGAAACATGGAGGTCTGCAGCGTTAGAAATTGGCACTAGTCCTATTGTCCTTGCCAAACTGCCCAATAGTTAAGATATCATAAGGACTAGTAGAAATTTGCCTTTTTTAGGGTTTTGCTATATGTTGTGATTATAAGGACTAGAGGATTAAAACTGTTAGTTTCTATCTCTGGGTTTGTATGGTCCTGCCTCGATTCGGGATCATATTTGAAGAGTGTAACAATATATTGAAGTTTTGATGTATTGAAATATCAAATGTCACAATTATTAGGAAGTTTGATAATGTCTAAACACTGTAAACATAATTGATTTGCACAGTTTTGTTGAATTGTATTTACTTGACTAACTTCAACAGAAGTCTCTACATGTAATAACTAGTTGTTCGTCAAGTACAATATGACTAAGCATAACCAGTAACAGGGAGATAGTAGAATGTTTAAGGTGAAGGCCAGTAGGTCATGGCCAGGGAAGGTGAATGATTAGAACGATCTTGAAACCAAAGTAGGTTGATAAGCAGTGACTTGGGCTGTTCGGCAGGACTCTTTGAATCACTTCTCAAGATTTAAGTTTGTCCGGACTGGTCAGTAGCTCAATTTCCACATTGTATCATGTCTACAATCACAATCCTCCCAATGACACAGGAGCTATATGATCAACATAGGGCTAGATATAACAATGACGTTACACTCACATCCTCAATGGCTGTCAGCCTCTTCCCTAGCGTCAACATGCCGATGGGCGTTGCCTTCAGGTTGGGGCGACTGCGGATGTTGTGACCGAAGGAACCGCACTTGACCACTTGGTACACGCCTGGCCCTAAACACAGGAAGAGAATACAACATCCAACATCTCAACCAGTGATTGACATAGGAAGTTCCAATCCAAACCAATCCATGAGGAGAGAACAAGATATATCAGCAATAAAGACAAATACTACTTGCAAGTTCAGAAAGAAATATGTTTTTTTTTAAATTTACAAAAAGCATGAATTGTCAAGACCAACTTGCACTAAGAAATCACAGCAAGACCAAACTTGTGTAAAACTACATGACATCCAACAACTTAGACATACAAAAGCCAAGACTACTTAACAGTTATGGACATGTTCATTTATTCTTCTCAAACTTTATATCTGTTCCACCTAGTGCTACCGACTATCTTGTACAAGTGCTAAACAATATCAGATAAGCCTGAATTTGCCACCTGATAAGCCACCTATATGTACTATATGTTTTCAATTAATTTGATCGATTAGAACCACAAGCAATAATCAGAAAATGAAATAAACAGCTTTCATGTCAAATTTTTATCACAATCGGCACATCTTGTCATGCGCCTAAAACAATGAACTTCTTGAACAATAACTGACTAAATGCACTTCATACAGTCTCTGGCCACTGAAAACATCTTACAAAGACTAAGTAAACACAAAACCATGCCACTGTAAAAATATTTAACACCTTGCACAGGTGCAAATTTTAATTTATCCACAAAAACTGACAAAGTAAACAACATTATGAATAATGAAATGACCTACCAGGTAAATGAATATACTACTCAACATTTCCTAAGGACCAAAATAGTCTTTCGTCAAAGATGTGGTCCTCAGTAAAAAGACTGCCACCTTGGTCTAGTGGTAGAGTGTCCACCCAAAATTGGAATGTCCGGGGTTCGATCCCCATCCGTGTCATAAAAAAAGACATTAAAAGATGGTACTACTACTACCACTACAGGAGAGCGGAAGGTCCGGGGTTCGATCCCGGGCCGCGTCATACCAAAAGACGTTAAAAGATGGTACTTGTTGTTGCCCTGTCTCGCGCTCGGCATTAAGGGGCTAAAACAAGGACTGGTTGGCACAGAATCAGTATACTGTGTCTGAGTAGGGTATTCATGTTAAACTGTGGCATGGTATCTCAGTGAGCTAGCACCATAAAATCGGCATCAGTCTAGCATGCACATCGCTATATAAGTGCAATAATTTGACGAGATTATTGCACTTATATAAGTGGACGAGACGTTAACCCCATTTGACCTGACCACACCTAAGCAAATGTTGAGTGGTAAAACAATAACATACAATAACTAGTGTTCTCCTGACCTCTGCGTGGCCTGGGCAAGATGTCCCGCACATACTCCGGGAGCTTCCTCTGAATGGCTTCCTTGACCATCTCGTCCAGGATGGACTTGGGTTCCTCCACGGGGACGAGGAGCGCTTTGCCCAGATGCTGGTTGTACTGCAGACACCATGCCTCCGTGTAGCCACTGATGCACCACTCCTTGATGGAGTCCGGGCTCAGCCTCACCCACACCCCGTCGTCATTGTGGATCTGTAGGGTTACTTAAACTGTAATACTGCTTCAAGAATCTTACTGCCTCATCTTGTTTTGACATTTGTAGAATACAATATTCACATAATCAGTCAAATGGTTTGATCAATTTCATTTTTCATACTTAATTGTATGCATGAATATACACAAATGCCTGTAATGGAATACAATAATATTTTCATTTATATTAACATTTTCTCAAATTTGACAAGAGTCATCAGAAGATGACAAATCCCCCACAATAGCAAAAGGCACCACTTCAGCCCCTTGTTAAAACATGTACCAAGTTTGGATGAAAAATACTTCATGGTGTTTAAGTTATGCTCCAGAAACGAATTACGGACGGAAAGACAGACAGGTCAGATGATGACTGTATGACTATATCCTCCCATCCCGCCCCGCATTTTATGCCAGGTTTTGTTTGTTTGTTGTTTTTTCACACCACACTCAGCAATATTCCAGCTATATGACAGCAGTCTGTAAATAATCCAGTGTGGACCAGACAATCCAGTGACTGACATCATAAGCATCGATCCACGCAATTGGGATACAATGACATGCATCAACCAAGTTAGCATCCATGACCACCCACTCCCGTTGGTCATCCTATGACAAGCATAGTCGCCTTTTACGGCAAGCATGGGTTGCGAAGACCGATTCTACCCCAGATCTTCACGGGTCTATATGCCAGAAGGAATGAATAAAATGCCTTATGTTGAAGTAAGCAAAACTCCATGACACCCAATCAGTGGTGGTCCCACATTGGAACCACCCAATTCTCATGTCAGTCTGTTTAACATGACAACATGGGGACCTACTCTGTCCAGGAATCCCTGTAAGTAGTGAAATTTTGTTTTAGAAAAAAATCAGTTCACAGTGCCAAATTAATATTAAAATTCTTTTTTGTTTCTCCAGAGGTATTTGCAAATAAATAATAATAACAATAAGTGCATTTATACTGCGCCAGATTCCATTCACCAAGTGGATGCTCATAGCGCTACACTATTTTTACCCCGGTCAATGGATCAGTAAGCACTCAATTTTCATTTATACAATTGAAACATGGCTGACGTGGACTATCAGGCCAGATGAGCTAAATGTGAATTGATGTTTGCTTCATCATTCAGGATGATGAGATCACTCACCTCATCAATGAAGGAGATGACCCCGCCAGGCTTGACCACACCTATCTGCTCACTCTGGAGTGTGGGGTGGACGCGCACCCTCAGGCCCGCACTGCACTTCCCCACAAACTTCCGCATCTGGCCAACACAAACACAAGCAATCCAAGCTTTACTCACCCAAACAGAGCATTATCTGTGTCGACCTACTCTGCACAATTTGTAGCAGATGTTTTCCATTTATTCTGTGGCTGGGATGGGTAACTCAGATACTCGGGTCGAGTAGGTCCTGATTAGGACCCTGGTTCCCAAAGGACTACTCGGACCTGTGTTAGTCACGTGATATATTGTTTAATGACAATAACAATAAAAGTTGTTTTTGTTTGCATTTCTTTCTGACTATGCATGCACTGTTTCTGACTTTAATACATTTGAGTAAAGACATAATTTGTCGATTTTAGAGTATGCATGATGTGATTGTCCTATACGTGTATGAAAATAGCGTTTGCCAAGGCTGCGATAAAACAATTCCCAATCGGACATTATGTACCCATCTCTTGAGACCTTCCGTGGGTACCCGGGTAGGGTTGTGTAATAGGGGGTCAAGTACCCTGGACTTGTCCCAACCCTAATATATACTTTTAAGGGTGTCTGCTGATCAATATTCAGAGTACTTAACATCTATGACTTAACCTTACTGAAAGAAGGGGAGTTGTGTGCAATGCACTGCTGCCAAACTCACACTTTACCACAGCGACACAGAGGGAAAACACTGTATTATCAGTTCTGCATAAAAGCATAATCAATAGCATTTAACTTTTTAAAATATTTTAGCAATTGGATAAATATGTTTGCATTTACATATTTCCCTCGATTTCTAACACTGATGACATCTTACAGTGTTTTGTAGAAGGAATGTACTGATACTATTCAATGAGTCTCCTACCCTGCTGGGCTGGTGGGCCTTCTTGGCATGTTGTGAGGGCGGGGGGACTCCCTGGGGGGGTTCCTTCACCTCCACCTTGTACACGTCACCTGGCAACACACCACACAAAAATGATTATTCAACATCAACACTTTGCTAGGGATACCAATTAAGGCTAAAAAAAATAACAATCTTGGTTCTTACCTTAACGTGCACACTGCTCTACTGTGCATCTAGTGTTAAGGTCGTCCAAAACAGGATATCCTGCAACTACGGTAAACATCTTTCCTTTACATGTACGCGGGGCGGTCGGGTAGCCTAGTGGTTAAAGCCTTCGCTCGTCACGCCGAAGACCCAGGTTCGATTCCTGACATGGGTACAATGTGTGAAACCCATTTCTGGTGTCCCCTGCTGTGATATTGCTGGAAAATTGCTAAAAGCGGCGTAAAACCAAACTCACTCACTCTACATGTACGCACCTGCTTCAAAGCCATCAATGGTGGCGTGTATGTTGTAGAAGCCCACACAGCCCGGGGTCCAGTTGGCGCTGAACGTGCCGTCATTGTTGGCCCGGACCAGCATGTTCTCGCTCGGCCTGGGTACGGCCGGGGCAGCAAACCTCAGCTCCTCAAACGAGTAGTTCTCATAGGCCTGGGGGAAATGTTGAGACTTACATAAGCTTTGAAGAAACATTTTATTTATATTTCATTTTTCATAATTCCTGTATCCCTGTTACATATATTTCTCTGTAGCCAGAGGAACTACTAAGCTGAAAATGAGAAAACAAAAACCATGTAGCACTTCAAATCAGGATACAGGATTCTGTTTACAAGACAACACAAAGACAGCATTCACCTACCATTCACACATATTAGATCAGGGCTAGTTCCTTTGTAGAAACATTTGGTTTCACACTTTGTACTGATCTCTACTACAGGGAAGTTAAAGGTTGTCATTGAGTGCTGCCTAAAGACTTCAAGACATACAGAATCATGTGACTATGTCACAACAAAATTGCATTCTTGAATACGAATATGAGATGTTTCGATGACAAATTTGACATTTTTTTACACTTAATTAAAGGTTTGTAAATATATGTGTTACACAAGGGAGTCAGCTTCACATCCACTACTGCATCAATTTGTGCTACAGCATTCTCCATTTCACCACGATATGTCTCATCCTAACATACGCAGTGTATAAGCAGTATATTCATGTATGCACCTTCACTCTTCCACACAACTATTCATAAATACCTGGCACTCCTAGGAGGATAGGGGTCCAGTGTTTTGAGAGCTAATATTTCATCAGATAAAATCCCGGATTGGTTGTACTCTCGAAAAGGTATACCAGTCTATTGAAACATTTACGCCATGGAAAGGACACAGCCATTACTGTTAGGAAGGTCAATTAATAACTAAATAATCAAAATAGATTAAATAGGTCAAATTGGAAATTTTCCAATGAATTGCACATTTACATACTTATCCTATCTCACACTATGCATTTCTTCTTTCTTCTTTTGATTCTACATGGAAACGTGCTTGAACAAACTTCTAAAAACAATTCACCTGAACACACCAAGCATCACCACCCAAACAAATGGGTTATGCACATAATCCTTGTGCATAGTGACCTACACGACCTGATGATGTGTCTATCTCTGCTATATCATTCTCTTTCGTCAGAGCTGACACGCCGTGACATAACTGGAATACTGTTCAAAGCGCCATTAAACCCAACTCAGTAACCAACTATAGCTTCAAATGCTATCTAGTGACAGAAGTACAGTCCCCCTTACCTTCATGATGGTTATAGAGTGGAATATATCCTTCCTGTCTTTGAAGGTGGACTCATAAGGTGTGTCCAGTGACGGTGGGGGTAGACCTCCAAATGTGAGATCCCCTTCATCGGGGCGACTCAAACGCCTCATCTTCTTCATGTCATCTCCTGTAGTGTCCTTCTGGTCGACTGGCACAGCCTTCACCTCAATCTACAAGTTTACACACCAGCATTCACAACAGCAGCAAACATCATCCTCACAATCTGTTCAAGAAACATTATATTCCACTGGTCAGAACACATCATCTTGGGGCAAGGGTGCTAACTGACTAAAAGTCCAGTTTCCACCCTTGCTGAACTAGGCTGGAATTCCGGAGTTGCATTTTAGCTGGACTAAGTCTTTGCATAGTCCAATCAAAATCATGTAACAAACTAGACATCCGGTTTGTGAACAACACTTCGGTCGACTGCAGGATTTGCAAAGCATGTGTACTATCAACTGGACATCAACAGATATTTTCCAAATCTTTTCATGTTTTTAATCAAGGTGCTCAAGTGATCTGATGCACTTCGCTTGGTAACACCCGGTTTATTACAATAGAGATTTTGAATATCGATCAGAATGCCGCCATTTTGTTTGAAGTAAATGCAAGTGATATGAGGGATTGAATCTGATTGGTCAACAGAAGGGACATAACTCGTAATAGCCACTGCTGGTGCTACGCTAGAGCCTGGAAATTCCAGCCTAGTTCGGCAAGGGTGAAAACTGGACTTTTACAGTCAGTTAACTCCCTTGACTGAGGAAGATGGTCAGAACAAGGCTTCAAGTTTAAATTCATCAAACAGACATACAAATGGTCTAATGAATGTTTCACTGCGTGTCTTTTGCCTGATTATGAGAAGGCCTATATGAACAAAATGAGCGCTCGAGTGAGCCTGGTTTTACACTGCTTATAAAAATATTCAAAATATTCACACATCAGAGGGGGACACAAAGCATGGGCTTCTGGCACTGTATCAATGTCACATTGTGAACGAACATTTCAACCACAAGACCACCAACCACACCTTAAATCAGTGGTTCCAATTCATGGCTTTTAAACTAGAATTGGGAAAGTAAGCAATTTTGTTGGTTTGCACTCAGCAATTTTCCAACAATATGATGACGATCTGTAAATAATGTAATCTGGACCAGATAATCCTGTGATTGACATCATGAGCATCGATCTACGCAATTGGGATACAATGACATGCATCAACAAATCAGCGAGCCTGACCACCCGATACCATTAGTTGCCACTTACGACAAGCATAGTCACCTTTTACGGCAAGCATGGGTTGCTGAAGACCAATTCTACCCAGGATCTTCACAGGTGGAAGTAAGCAATTACAAAATATTAAACTTTATATGTTTTTAACATATATATTTAATCGACCTACTAAAATTCGAGCAGTTTCAGACTGGCTTTGAGGTCCCACTCTAACTGAACACAGCAACTGAGGTCCCACTCTAACTGTACACAGACATGTAGGAACTTTTCCTCACCCTAAGGTCTTGCACATTGACAAGCTGTCCATACTGATCCTTAGTGAGGACCGTGACGACGACGGGCCAGCTGCACTTGAGCTCCTCCTTGTTACACACGATCTCACACTGCTTCGGGTCCAGGTACGAGTCAGGCTGCAGCCATCTGGAGGATGGGAACAGCAGCATCATGTATTGTAAACTTCAAGGTCATTTCTTAAAAAAAATAGATTTTGGACTTCTTTTGTAATTTTGGTCTTGTTTCACCCTGGTATAGGACTATTAGTTTTTTGTTCTACAGATTTTTTAATAAACTAATAATAATAAGTCCATTCATAATGAGCCAGATTCCATTCGCCAAGAGAATGCTCATGGCGCTACATTATTATTACAGACGTTTTTAGATCAGTATGTACTCAAATTTTATTCTCAGCCCCCTGGGGAGTATACAAACCAACCTGCCATATGAGGCCCTAGTTTTAACAGATGATGTTTACGATTGATGATGCAAATTTCTCTTCACAATAGATGTTTATAGATGACGTAAATATTGCAAGATGCCAAAGTTAGGACATACCTGGCAAGTCTGCCTCCACTGGTGCCAGGAGTGCAGGACACAAAGTCCTTGAGGAAGGCTCTCTCGTTGGACTGCCAGCAGAACGGCAGGTTGCCTTCCAGGGCCTGCATGATGGTGGGCGGGTGAGACAGAGCAAAGCCCTTCCCTAGCAGGGAACTGTGGGAGTTGAACACCTAGAAGGGAAAACAGAAGGTGAGTGGGTGGCTTAATGGAGGGTCCTGATCGTGTGTGTCACTAGTCAGTTGTCAGTGTTATTAGATCTAGGAGGGTCCTGATAGTGTGTGTTACTAGTCAGTAGTCAGGGTTATTAGATCTAGGAGGGTCCTGATAGGGGGTGTCACAAATCAGTAGTCAGTGCTATTAGATCTAGGAGGGTCCTGATCAGGGGTGTCACAAGTCAGTTGTCAGTGTTATTAGATCTAGGAGGGTCCTGATAGTGTGTGTTACTAGTCAGTAGTCAGGGTTATTAGATCTAGGAGGGTCCTGATAGGGGGTGTCACAAGTCAGTAGTCAGTGCTATTAGATCTAGGAGGGTCCTGATCGGGGGTGTCACAAGTCAGTAGTCAGTGCTTTTAGATCTGGGAGGGTACTGATAAGGGTGGCACAAGTCAGTAGTCAGTGCTATTAGATCTAGAAGGGTCCTCATAGGGGGTGTCACAAGTCAGTAGTCAGTGCTATTAGATCTAGGAGGGTACTGATAGGGGGTGGCACAAGTCAGTAGTCAGTGCTTTTAGATCTAGGAGGGTCCTCATAGGGGGTGGCACAAGTCAGTAGTCAGTGTTATTAGATCTGGGAGGGGTCCTGATAGGGGGTGGCACAAGTCAGTAGTCAGTGCTATTAAATCTAGGAGGGTCCTGATAGGGGGTGACACAAGTCAGTAGTCAGTGTTATTAGATCTGGGAAGGGTCCTGATAGGGGATGGCACAAGTCAGTAGTCAGTGCTATTAGATCTAGGAGGGTCCTGATAGGGGGTGGCACAAGTCAGTAGTCAGTAAAATTTGGAGCCTTCCGTCGGTCATCTGTTTCTTTTCCATTTGGTCAGTAAAAAAAACATCATGAACAGGCTTTCAGCATCTAGTTTGTTAGTAAAATCGCTGCAAACCTAAATCTACAATGTGAAATCATCTCTATGGAAGTGCAGATCGTCTGCTAGAGAATCGTGGGGAGAGCTGGTTCTGCTTTGTTTCATTACTGTAATTTGTGTTTTGCAAACACTAAACACTGATCACATGGTTTGGTTGTTTCATTAGATCTAGTTATATAAGACTTTTACAAGATTTTAGCTCAATTACCAAAAACAGAAATGTTATAATTTATGGTCAGCAGATTTTTATTAACCTTTTACGTTAACCTTTTACTGCAAACATTTGGCTCATCTTGGGTTTTCTTCAGATTTTTTTAGCTGTTTTATGATAAACAGTACACCCACTGTACACCTACTGTAAGCATAGATCTTCTATATATGAAGGAAACATACACACATCACATATAATTTGAAAAGACATGCTGTTGAGAACATGATTGTGTGAGATAGGTGACACATGACGGTACAGATGTTGCAAGTACAGCATGTACAACGCATCTCACCAGCTGAGCTCCTTCTTCGATCATATCCATCTCCTCATCCAATTCCTCCATCGTCACTGCAACAGTAGATGTGTAGACATGGTAGCCAGCTTGTATTCGGCTTAGAGCTCTTAGACATTTTTTCAAGACATCCACTTAGTATAGCTAATAATAATAATTTTTTTATTAACCGTCAGCATTTTTTTTAGGCAAATATTTTCTGGAACAAAATTATTTTCCTAATGGTCGGTTCCTGATGACATCAGGTGCAGGGCTGCCTTGCACAAAGTGATCTTAATGCTAATAATCTCCCAAACTTTAACATAGGCTTACGATAATCTTAGCCCTAAGATGGCTTTGTGCAAGAGGGCCTAGGACGACTTTCATGATCCGCTATTCACACTGTCCCTGGCACATGTCAGCAGAACAGTGGGGTTCCGGAATACAGAGATCCATTTTGGAGTTCATGTCAGCATGAGGTAAGAGCTCCAAGGCAGAGACAATATATTACAATGTAGTGTCCTTAAATAAGTGGGTGGAACTCACCTGGAGGCAGGGCGACGTCCCTCCTCATGAGAGCTGTGGCACACATCCCTCCCAGGTAACTCAGCTCCCTCTCCAGTTGCTGCACACTCTGCCAAACAGTCAGGATCAGTAATAATTAATCATCACCATTATGACGTAATCATCATCATCATCATCATGCTTGTTCCATTGGATTCAGTCATCATCTTTAGGAAATAGTTCTAGCTAATCCACAAACATTCTGCAGACAGACATCGTATCCCTCCATTTATTCCTGGTATACTAAAGCAGTTTCATAAAAACACATCAGGTATTCTCACCTCCTCTGGCTTAGAAGCCAGCTCATACCCAATGACTGTACACTTAAAGCCATAGAATGATGCCTTCTCATCCTTCACATAGTCAGAGGCTGTCTCCAGGGAAAACACCACCTCATTGCCTGGACAAAAATAATGCATCATGTCAACAAAGAAATAGACAGGTTTCCATTACAGTGACCCCTAGTTTAGCCCTGACATCACAACAATCTCATTAACAATGATCTGAGGTCATCCCAATACGGGTCACTTCAGAAGGACCTTTCATCCCAACAATCAGGAAAGTGACAGCCGGAATGTGTTTTCTAATCATGCAGCCTCGTATTCCGAAAGGCAGTTACGGCCTGTATGACTGATTCCGTCATATTCATCATCTATCTCTCACTTCAATGGGATAAACAATTGAACAGAGGAGACTTTGCATAGCACGTGTGAAGTACTACCATACAATTTCGACTAACATTAGACTTTCCAGAAACAATTTTTTTTTCGAGAACTCTGTCAACATATATTTCAAGCACAGTCTGAAAAGAAAGTTGTCATTTTGAAACTTGTGCCGTGAAGTTTGAGAAAGCTGCTTTCGGATAAGTTAATGTCGACTTCTTATTCTGTCGAATGTTGACTTCTTGTTAGTCAATTTATTGGTCAGACAAAGTTTGTGAAAGGTCGTTCTCATGTAATCTGGCTACTGCTGAACAAAGATCTGATTTTAATAAGATTGGACATCACTACTTTGGTACCTCATAAATGATGTCATGTATATGTTATATCAAATTCCTCGTACCCATATCAGGAATCAAACCAGGGACTTTGTGTACTGGATGAACACATTACTCACTTGCTTACCCCACTGCATAAAAATTGGCAAAGAACACTGAAATCAGCGCATTGGACAATGCTTTAATATATGTCCAGGGCCCACTTGCACAAAGCGATCTTAGCGCTACTACAATTGTAAGCCTATGTTAAAGAATGGGAGTTAAGATCATCTTAGCGCTAAGATCGCTTTGTGCAAGTGGGCCCAGGTCTGCATCTTACCTGGGAGTATGACTGCCTGTTTGGGCCAGTTGTTGTGACCATAGAACCTCTTTAGAACTGGCCAGTGAGTTAGTTTGATGTCCTGGTCATCACAGGTCGTGACCCCTGTCACCTTGGCTAGAGTTGTCTCCCCCTGACCTCTGCCCTGCACATACAACTGCAGCGAGTCCTCAACTTGAGCTGTGGCACTTTGGGGGTCAAACTCCAACACAATCCACCTGACACAGGGCGGGAACTCCACCTGATGTACACAAACGTCAGTATAGTATCCAGTGCAGTTCAACTTGTCAGTTGAAGAAAATATCACAGGACCAAATCACACTGGTAAGTATTTCAAGTGTTTGTTTGTTTGTTTAATCCTGCACTCAACAATATCCCAGCTATATATATGACAGCAGTCTGTAAATAATAGAGTCTGGACCAGAAAATCCAGTGATAGACATCATAAGCATCAATCTACAAAATTGGGATACGATGACATGCATCAATCAAGTGGGCGAGTCTGACCACCTGATCCCGTGTGTGTGTGAGTGAGTGAGTGAGTGAGTGTGAGTGAGTGAGTGAGTGAGTGAGTGAGTGAGTGAGTGAGTGAGTGAGTGAGTGAGTGAGTGAGTGAGTGAGTGAGTGAGTGAGTGAGTGAGTGAGTGAGTGAGTGTTAGACATTTACCACTTTCATGAAACCCACAAGCATGAGTATGGTACTGACAAACCTAGAAACAAAATCGAGCTGAACCAGGATTCGAACCCACAATTATAGGTTTATGGTGTGCCCAAGGGATGCAACTCTGCAAAGCAAATTGCAGCACCTTAGACACCTGGTCACCCATGCCCACGTTAATAATTGAGTCTGGGTTAGACAAACCAGTGGTTGACAGCATGAGCAATGACCCAGATTGAGGGTACAGTCACACAAACATTCATTTATATAACCCATTCCCATGTTAAGTTGGTTCTTACACAGACATGTTTCTGTATATCTCGATTTTTGTAATAGTTCATACCATGCATGTAGAGACCGTACCTTGTAGTTGGCGACAGTGGCCGGCTTGTACGGGTGCTCGCTCTCCACGACAGCGTAGTGCTGGGAGGTGGTGCTCTGGCTGTTGTCCACCACGCTGGAGTCAAACACGGCCGAGTTGCTGAGTGGTAGCGGGACCAGGTTCTTGGTGAGCGTCACGACTGCTGGCAGAATCTCCTGGATCAGGTACAGCACCTGCACTGCCCCCTACAACACAAGGGAGATGACTGTCATGTAGATTCAAATGTGAGAGCGACAGGTCAATATCCATAAACATTTTGAGCAAAGGGAGTGAGAAGTGTTATTATCAACCTTCCTGTGCCAGCTTGGGTCATATACTCCCAGGGAGCAGAGAAAGAAAATCGAGTGCACACTGATCTGTTGACCGGGATAATATTTGTGTTCATGATTTGATTAAACTTCAACAGATGGACTAGAGGGCATTACAAATAACCATTTATTATTATCATTATCATTATTTTGCACCACATTCATCATTATCATGGCAACCTGTAAACAATCCAGATAGCTCCAAGAAGACCAGAAAGACAATGATCCATGTTGTCAGGGTACAATTATCAGGCTGGACATTTTAACACACTTACTAAGCCTGCTCTTATGGCTGCATGGAGCACTGTCTGAAATAACTGCCTGCCCGTCTGCCCGTCTGCCCGTCTCTGGTAAATTTTCTGTCAGACTGCATTAAATTTTCCTCCACCTGCCCGACTATCAGTTGGTTTTAAGACTACCTACATATACACTTCTATAATAACTCCTCATAGATTTTCAAGTAGTTGTTTGCATTATTTCAACTGAATCATGACGCGATTTGTCTCTTATTTTTCATGATTTCACAATATTTATAATGTCCTAATGCGGGGAGGTAACTTTGAAGATGGGAAAACAAAATTTATGGGTAATGAAGTGCTGGGGACTGATTCTGAAGAATCCCTTCAGGGTTTGAGCAAAGGGAACCCTCCACTGACCTTACCTGCCACACTCTGGCAACATAGTTCCATGATATCATCCTACCATATTCTTGATAGTATTGTGATTGGGTTTGTTTCTTTGTTTCTAGTTTTATGCCTTAGTAAGCAATATTTGAGCTAGTTCATGGCTAGTACGTGGCCTTTGAACAATCAAGTCTGGGCCAGACAAACCAGTGGAGCAATGTTCCACTTCATTAGGTTACCACGACACAAATCATCCAAGTCACTGATCCTGACCATCGGATCGAATCTAGCTGCCTTTCAGTATTATTCCAAAAGCAAGAGATTATTTGTGACCTATTCAAACCTAGGTCCTCACAGGTTGAGGGTCAGTCAAGTAAGGAGAAGTCATCCCTTATGTGTTAAATGTAGAGATAGGGTGAAGGTTCTTGCAAGTAGATGTGGTCCTTACCCGGGGGTCCTGTGCAGCGACAGGTCCAACATAGGCCAGAGACAGGGGAAGCAGGGATGAGAAGAGATGGGACTTCCCAATAACATCACACACCTCCTCCGCTGAAACACAAACATCATAGGGGTCAAATCTCAGAAATGACACGAAAATCTCATCGCTGTGATACCACTCTGTGACTTTAGCCACTAAACCGAAACTCGAGTCAAGTAAAATTCTGTTCTGTCCAGTAAGCTCAGCTAATAATAGTCCATATAATACAGCAAACTATGCTTATAACAAACTGATGGGTATAACAAACTATTTGTTTGTTGTCCCGGACATTTTCTGTTTATATGCTGTATGTATGCTTATAAAGAACTACGGCCATAACAAACAAAAATCAATAGTCCCTTTGAGTTCGTTATAACCATGGTTTACTGTAACACTAAATTCTACTAAAAATTATGCTAAGAGCCATGTTCGGGATAGTAGTCTCAGTTTGAGGGACAGACTTTGATACAAATCATTTGTTGCTGCAATGTAGTGTACACAACTAACTGGTGTTCAGTACAGACAAGCATGTGACATGATATTAGATAGAACACTGACAGAACCGAAAGTCAACATGAAGAATATTCTACAAATGAAACAGATATATTATTATGCCAGTTGAGAGACAGCTACTAATTGCACCATCAATGTTGATGAAAACAGAGGTCATTGGATGTGCATCTGACAAGTTCATTTTCAACTTGTGATTTTCATAGCTCGGCAACCACTGATAGTATGTGGTTGCCCTTATTGACACATTCAGACACTAACACCCCACTGATGTCACCAATGCAACTTCCAGTCACCCCCAGGATATTGGACACATGTTCTGTGAGGCTGCATTAGAAATTGGCACTAGTCCTGTAGTCTTTGCTAAACTGCCCATTAAGGTATCATAAGGACTAGAAGAAATTAGCCATTTCTAAGGGTATTGATCATGTTAGCATTATAAGGGCTAGTGGACAAAAACAGTTAGTTTCTATTGTTGTCAGAGACTTACCATGCATTGAGTGTGATCGGTGAAGGAGGTCTGTAGTCATCCTACAGATGGCGCCAGTGATGTCAATGGCATTCTTCCTGGCCTGCAGCTCCGCCAGGTTCTTGGTGGTCTGGTGATAGTGTTCTCCATCCTGGGGCGCACTGGAATATAAACATCTAGCTGTCACTCACAGTACAGGCAACAGGACATACACATCTAGCTGCCACTCACGGTACAGTCAACAGGACATACACATCTAGCTGTCACTCACAGGACAGTCAACAGGACATACACATCTAGCTGTCACTCACAGTACAGTCAACAGGACATACACATCTAGCTGTCACTCACAGCACAGTCGACAGGACATACACATCTAGCTGTCACTCAAAGGACAGTCAACAGGACATACACATCTAGCTGCCACTTACAGTTCAGTCAACAGGACATACACATCTAGCTGTCACTCACAGTACAGTCAACAGGACATACGCATCTAGCTGTCACTCACGGTACAGTCAACAGGACATACACATCTAGCTATCACTCACGGTACAGTCAACAGGACATACACATCTAGCTGTCACTCACAGCACAGTCGACAGGACATACACATCTAGCTGTCACTCAAAGGACAGTCAACAGGACATACACATCTAGCTGTCACTTACAGTACAGTCAACAGGACACACACATCTAGCTGTAACTCAAAGGACAGTCAACAGGACATACACATCTAGCTGTCACTCACAGCACAGTCGACAGGACATACACATCTAGCTGTCACTCAAAGGACAGTCAACAGGACATACACATCTAGCTGTCACTTACAGTACAGTCAACAGGACACACACATCTAGCTGTAACTCAAAGGACAGTCAACAGGACATACACATCTAGCTGTCACAGCACAGTCGACAGGACATACACATCTAGCTGTCACTCAAAGGACAGTCAACAGGACATACACATCTAGCTGTCACTCACAGTACAGTCAACAGGACACACACATCTAGCTGTCACTCACAGTACAGTCAACAGGACATACACATCTAGCTGTCACTTACAGTACAGTCAACAGGACATACACATCTAGCTGTCACTCACAGGACAGTCAACAGGACATACACATCTAGCTGTCACTCACAGGACAGTCAACAGGACATACACATCTAGCTGTCACTCACAGTACAGTCAACAGGACATACACTGGTGGAAGGAAATACAAGGACATGCAGGAAGGGAAACACTTGTTGTATTTAACAACTTGTATCATTGTAAAACAACTTAAAGCCTGGAAATCTCCGGGACATTTCAGTACGTGTGAATGATGATCTTAATAACAATCATGTCTCAAATATAAAAACAAAATAAAACAAAATAAATGTGACATAGTAAAGGGAATATTGTGTCCATCAGCTGTTGCTTTGAATGTGTATAAGAAACACAGCAGCCATTGTATCATGGCATCCAGAGTGACATCGTGTGTGCGGGGTTTTACCTTGGCTTACAAAAGTTCCACAAAGTGATCTCTGTGCTCAGAAGACCGTGACTCCCATACTTTGACATAGAGTTATGATCATCTTAGCGCTAAGATTGCTTTGTGGAATGGAAAACTGGGCCTCGTTTCAAAAAGTGATCTCCTTTCTCAGACATTACTAAATCTCACACGCTATCACTGACATCCAACAGTCCCAGCCCAATTATCATGTTTTGGAAAGTGGCCCTGGACCAGAGAAACCAGTGGTAGAGAAGGCACGAGAGCACAGATCCATATTGTCATGCCGCCTTCCAAATGACATTAATTCAAAATTTTACTCCAGTGAACCTGGTTACCTCAAGTCCTTCCAATTGATCAATGTACAAAAGACTTATTTAATCGTGTATAATACGCACACGTGTGTTATATGTACCCTCAATTATGGGCAATTAAATTCTTGAAAAATATATCTGTCGTATATAAACATTTCAGGCTGTCAGCATAAACCACGAAATTTATCTTTCAACTGTTTTTTTCACCAAAATAATATTCTAATAAGAGCCCCCTATTTCTAATTTTGAGAGCGCCCTGGTGCTTATTACGTCAAATACGGTAATATGGCATATGCAGTAATCCTAAATGACCTACTATTCATGTTAATAAACTTCTGGTCAACATGATCTCACTTTAACATCTCACACCATCAGTTCAGCAGCTGGCAATGATGTAACTGCTGGTCTCACGCAAAATCCAGTTTTAGTCAACAAAATTGAGAAATAACACTCTGAAAAATTCTGTTTACTCCATTTCGATGCCTCTCTCCATACAGATCTCACAAACCCTCCAGAGGTCACTTCATTTAGATTTCAGTGCTATCCTACATGTTTAAGGAATTACAATGAAGCTGTGTTTCACCTGTAATAGAGGATCTGCGGGATCTGTCCTCTCATGTGATTGGTGCCATTGCTGCTCAGTGAACATGCAGTGAAGGTGAAGGTCGTTCCATCTGAACATTTCACCTTGCTCATTCCACCATCACCATTCAGGGTCCTGGGGCCATGGTTGCGGAGTTTGACTGCGTACTTCACTCCTTCCTGAAGTTAAAAACAAATGAAATTGGATTGCGAATGAAAGGATAATAAAAACACAACAAAATATCCGTGAATGAGAGTTGTTTAATGCTGCAGACACTTAACAATGAGAAAAGTTTGGTATGTCAGTTTTCATAATAAAACATACCTGATCAAAATAAAAAAACATCAATATAGAATAGACTGCTTCTTATTCTGGACCTGAGCGTTGTCTAAACAGGATGTACTCTCTCCAAAACCTTTTTGGGGGCTCTCAACTCTTAGTGGTCACTGAAGTGGTAACCATCACTCTATAACCTCAGGGATAGCCATAGGCTACCAGCAGACACTTATCTAGGATCCTTTGTTTGTTTGTTGTTTAACGCCGCACTCAGCAATATTCCAGCTACATGACGGTGGTCTGTAAATAATCGAGTCTGGACCAGATAATCCAGTGATTGACATCATGAGCATCGATCCGCGCAATTGGGATCGATGACATGTATCAACCAAGTCAGCGAGCCTGACCACCCGATTCCGTTAGTTGCCTTTTACGATAAGCATAGTCGCCTTTTACGGCAAGCATGGGTTGCCGAAGACCTATTCTTTTATTTTGTTCAAAATTGGGATTTTTGTTAAAGATCTTATTTTCCTAAAAAGATTCTTACAGATTTTATTTTTCTAAATTCAGAGGTATATTAACATTGCATTCAATGCAAACATTTAAGCAGGTTATAGATACATCCCTGACAGGGACCAGTTCTGCCCAGGTTAAACAAGTACTGACACAGAAATAAGTACAGTTTCTTCGTTCTGTCAATCACCATACATTATTCAACATGTCAAAAGAAAGAACAAGTCAGAGTCTACTATGGACGCTACAGTCCATCACTGGATGAAGAAGCAGTTGTCTTTGAGCATACCTTGATGGGAACTGGCCTATCAAACTTGATCTCTGCAATGTCGTTCACACAGTCCTCAGGGGAGTATGCTCCACGGACAATCTCCAGACTGTTCCACCGCTGTGTGTGTGACACGTCTTCTTGACCTTCACCCTGCTGCAAAGATGACATCACGCCAACAGTCATCTATGTTTCTCATTTTTAAATGACATCATACTACCAGGGTTCTAGTTTGCCCATGAACTCAGAGAGTAGAGGATAACACGAACACACCAAAAGAATAATCTTTCTTGCAGCATCCCTGGATGTCACCACGAAAACATTCTGTCAAACCAGGATTGACATCATTTCAACCATATCATCAGATTACAATAGGATTGTAAATGTTAACTTGGCATGCTTGTATCAACGTAAAACATAACTGTCAACATTATGAGTGCTATAAGACTACACTGACCAAAGATACATGTTGAAATCAAATAACCCGGAAGAGTGAGTGAGTGAGTATGGTTTTATGCCGCTTTTAGCAATAGTCAAGCAACATCACGGCGGGGGACACCAGAAATGGGCTTCACACATTGTACCCATGTCGGGAATCGAACCTGGGTCTTCGGAGTGACGAGCGAACGCTTTAACCACTAGGCTACCCGACCACCCCCGTAACCCGGAAGAGGAACAAGGCACAGTGAGACCAACTGCCCATGACAGGAAGACCAATTACGCAGCACGGAAGGAGTCCTTGGCCAAAGACATGTGCTTTGGTGTCTGACATTGTCAGTCGATTGTTGGGTTGTGAGGACGTAAAGGCATACACAGGTGAATTTACAGTACAACCAGGCCACACATAATGGCCACCCAATGCTTTTTTGAGTTAGCTTTTAACAAAAAGCAACGGTACTGTGGACCTATCCTACCCCAGAGACCCCACAATCCTTTGCCAAGTAGTATATTCATAATAACTACGCCAAATCAATGAACAGTGATAGTGAACATTATCATGTGACCAGCGCTTTTCAGATAGAACCGACTGTTTTCAACATGAGGGCTATGACCACGACCCTTTACCCTAATGCTTAAATTCAAACACTGCATTAGTATTTCTCTTCCTACCTCATCCAGAAGTTCCACCTCATACTCGTAATGTCCTCCGCCCCCGTACACACACACTCCGGCCACCACGATGCCTGGCCGGTCAACTGTGAAGGCCACAGCATCTGGACTTCCATTCCCAGCATTCCAGTAGGCACTCTGACTGGTACGTGTGAATCGGTTCGGCGTCACAAGCATTGGGCGCGATGTGGTACTCAGGTCAATCTGTTGAGGGTAGAGGGAAGTGTATGAAATACACTTTTTTTCAAAAATATTTTTGGACATTGATTTGTAAAATTTTGATTAATGTTATGATTATCATCGAGAAATTAAAGTAATTCTGCTCCATTTTTTAAAAACTTTGAAGAGCATGAAAAATAAGTATCAAATGCCATTAAGCTGAGTTACCAAAGATGTTGAAAACGGTTGCAAATGTCAGTAAAACACATACAAGAGGACTTTTTTGAGTGATGTCATTCAAAGGAATTTCACAATTACTGTTGGGTTTAATCAGTTTTACCACCATATCATAGCTGTCTGTTTAGAGTGAGTGAGTGAGTATGGTTTTATGCCACGTTTAGCAATATTCCAGCACTATCTCAGCAGGGAACACCAGAAATGGGCTTGACTGTCTCTTTAGAATTCAAGCCAGGAACAGACAAATTAACTGACGATGACGATGATGAGTAAACACCTTGCCTCAAAACATAACCTTTTCTTCAAACCAAACGTACAAAAAACTGTTCATCGATGAACTAAATCATATATATATATATATATTACAAAAGAAACTGCATACAATAAAATCATATGCATTTTCTTTTGGTGCCTAGTGATATATATTTATACTAGGCAAAAAAATAAGAAACTGTGCATATGATAAAACCATAACTAAATTTCTTTGGGTGCCAAATATACAAAGCCTGCTCATCAGATGAACCAAATGATACATACAAAACTGGTCCACCAAAGCCACATCTATGACAACATCAAATCAAATTACACCAACTTCCAATCCAGTGGAGGACGCGGCAAGTTCACTGATGATGGTTACGAGCAGTGCACATGTATTAGCAACAAGTGAAGATGGGAAGACAGACTTCTCCTTGCTTAATGCCTGCCTGACAGGGAGCGCCACTATGAGCAGGAGACGGTCCAGCACCTCCTTGAAGGAGATGTGACTGCCGCCAGTGATGCTGTCAATCTGAAACAAGAGATCATAGGAATCACCATCTTCATCTTCATCAGAAATAAAAACTTAAAGTGTGTTAAACAGGTTTAATGTCCCTATTAGCAATATTCCAGGAAGATCATGCTGAGGGACACCAGAAATGGGCATCACACAATGTACCTATGTGGGGTATCGAACCCAGGCAAGCGACAAGTGAACACTTTAACCACTAGGCTACCCCATCCTGTAACAATTTAATAACAGGCCATTTATATTGCAGATATTTCCACACCACACAGGGGCATGCTCAAAGTGCTATTTATACCCCAGTCAATGAATCAGTGTACTCAACAATCATTCTCAGCTCCCTTGGGAGTATACAACCCAAGCTGCCTGTGAGGTGCTAGAAGGTTAACAACCACATTGCCATCTCATCCAACCGGGTACCCATTAACTGCTTGGTGAACAGAGGTACATTTTGAAGAAAGTCACTTGCCCAAGGAGACACCACATGTGTTTCAGTGTGGGGCAGGACTAAAGCCCTAATAACTCTCAGGAGCCAAGCTGCCGTAACAGTCACCCATCCAAAGACTCTCCATGACGTAAACTGCTTCATCTGATTTGTGACCTCTGCACTGTGCACAGGACCAAATACCTCCACCAAATAAATACAGTTACAGATATTATCTCAGTATTCTCAGAGTCAAAATTCAGACTTGGGTCTACAGAAAAAAACTCTCTTACCTCCATTCTGTAACTCATATGACTGGCCAGGAGCGGGTATTTGTGCATCTCCCCGAGTCTGGCAGCGCTGTTGGTGTTGTCGTCCATGCAGAGTGATTGCCGGCGTAGTATCTCTTCCGCCTCGGGCTCACAGTTGATGGGCATGATATTTGTGAGCTTGATGGCGGGGTGGCACATGGCCTCCATCACTGCCGCCAAAAGTCGCCCCACCCCACAAACATTGGAGGTCCCCTGGAGACAGAAAAGTCTGTCAGAGAGACTACGTTCATCAGTGTCTAACAAGGCTGACACTTGTGGTATGGAACAAGAGTTTAAGTAACATCCTTTACCCTTGGCATAGTGATTCTAACGAAATTCAAGAAAATATTTGTACATAATTTTCATACCATAACATTTTTAGTATGTGAATTGTTGAATTAAGTTAAGTCATTCTAAAGAGGTTGTATCAACATTAAAAGTTAGTAAGTAAATGGAAAACATGATTTCAAGCTCTGATATGAACTATATAAGGAACACACATCAACACTTTATCAAAGGACAAGCTATGACAAGTCGCTTTTTGGCCCCCTGGAAATGTGAAAAGAGAAAATTTTCAAATATTGTTATGGCAGTTATTATAAGGGTTCATGTGACTCACAACTATGCTTGTTTATCTCATTTGCAAGTTTTGGATATATAACACGAGAGGTACATGCAAAAATGGATAGGATGTATGTTTCTCATCTAACAACGAGTAAGAGCAAGTCTATGACCGGAGATGAAGTTTGCCCAATACATTTGTTCTGTCTCTACCAACATCTATGAAATCAGCCTGGGTCAAAGACTTGTTCATGTCCAAACATAAGAAACAAGCTTCCTGATAACTGAAAGTCAGCATTTTAGATTTACTTCTATCTTTGGTTTGGTTTGAAGTCCAAAACAGGCAAATGTGTAACTGAACAAAGTCTTTTTCTCATTCATCTGAACCCATATAAAACCTTCCATAACATTCTCTACAAGTGTCCCTCATCATGCAGATCTAGAGGCCAAAAGATTGTCACCATACCCCATCCTTTCTTTATGTCCTTTCTTTATACTTTTATGTTCATTCAGCAACCAATACACTATATACAGTGTTTGAAATTATTTTTAAAATCCAACAAGACAGCCGGGAAGATGACCCATAAATGTTGCCTGCCCATCTTCAAAGTTACCTGCCCACATTAAAAAATTTAAAATATTGAAAAGTCGCATCTTGATTCAGTTGAAATAATGCAAACAGTTACTTGAGAATCTGGATGGAGTCATAATAAAACTGAATATGTAAGTAGTCTTAAACTTTTCAGCCAGGCAGTCTGGGAGACGGAGGAAAGTTTCATGCAGCCCGAGAGAGAAGTTACCAGCTTCGGGCAGGCGGGCAAGCAGTTATTTCGGACACTGACTCTACAACCAGGAATAAAGAATATAGCTTTAGAGTTTAATCCATCATGCATAGGGCTGTAACGATTCTCTGAAGTAGTCCCTGATTTCCCTGACATGTTGTGCTATGTTTGCTTGTTTGTTGTTTAATACTACATTCTATTCCAGCTATGTGACAGTGGTCTGTAAATAATCAAGTCAGGGCTCAACAATCCAGTGACTGACATCATGAACATTGATCCACGCAATTGGGATATGATGACATGCATGAACCAAGTCACAGAGTCTGACCATTCAGTCGCCTATTACGACAAGCATAGGTTGCTGGGGATCTAGCGTCTAACCCGGAATCCCCACAGGTGAATCTTAAAGTGACAAGTGTCAAGTTGTTACTTATTGTTTGTTTGTTTGTTTGTTTAATGCTGCACTCAGCAAATTTCCAGCTATATGACGGGAGTCTGTAAATAATTAAGTCTGGACCAGACAATCCGGTGATTGACATCATGAGCATCGATTCACACAACTGGAATACGATCACATGCATCAACCAAGTCAGCACGCCTGACCACCCGATCCCATAAGTCGCCTCTTACAACAAGCATAGTCGCCTTTTACGGCAAGAATGGGTTGCTGAAGACCAATTCTACCCCGGATCTTCACGAGTCTGTCACTTATTGTACTGTATCAACTCATGTTTATGTATTGCTTAACAAAGTGTATCAGTACAGCCCTATTCATGCATCTACTGATAACTAGGTCTAGTATATGGCAACTGGACAGTTTGGGGCAAAAAGGAACTTCACTCCATTTGTCATGACATATCTATCAGTTTTTACTCTCTTGTATACAGACAATTATCACACCTAACAGGACATTTACAATGCTGAATCTTGAGTAAAGACTATCATCATATTATGACATACTGCTAAAAGAACTTATGAAAAATTGGAGTGAACACCTCATTTTGGGTGGCGTTCATCGCGCAACTGAAGATTCCATTTCCATTGAACAGGGGACGAGAGTGGAGTGTGATTCAGGACAGGGGTCTACGGTGGCGTGTCATTCGGAGCACATGGAGATCATGCTGTACGTGTATTCATCAATACACCACGCCGACTTTATACATGCACTGAAGGCCACAAGCAACTTTCCACCCCTACTATTGTTATAGACTGCACAGACTATGCAGATCCTCGGGTCAATTCCTGGGTGATTTTTCTTACGTTTTTTTAGCAGTAGTCAGCAGTATTACAGCAGTATTACAGCAGTATTACAGCAGTATTACAGTGACATGTCATGTATTCAAGCCTGGATCAGACAAACTGGAGGTCAATACTCAATAGTGTGAATGGCTGACGGTTACTGTACTCCGATGAGATACCTGTCTGCATGAAGACCTGAGGACACCACCAAAGGAGATAAACCCTGAACGAACCTTGATCACACAATCCAAATGAAGGATGCGTAGGTTCTTGAGCCAATCAGATGTCACATTTCTCAAATGATTTGGTATATTTTTTTACTACCCAAATTCAGAAATATTGATGACAGCAAAAGAAAAACTCCACAAAACACAAATGGTTTACATGGCCTCTTAGAAACGACAGCATGTAAAATTATCCACAATAACACAATAGTGCAGCTTTATTTTTTTGCATTTGGAACTTCCTGATCAGTCATTTTTGAATTGCATAACTCAGATATTCATGTTTGAATGCTTAGCTCACTCGTTCTGAGAAATTTGAAGCCTCTGCTGTGTTTTTCTGTAGAAATAGTCCACCTGATGCAACCATGTTAGAGGCATCTACAGATCTTCATGCATGGAGATATCTTAACGGAGTAAAGATATGATTCTAAAGAGATTGCCATTCAAGTGCAGTTCATATTCAGCCACCATTGTGCCCATCCAATCACTAGTTCGGTCCCTTCTTACTAAAGAAGTGGCAGAGGGCACAACAGCGGAACCCCAAGAAGGCAGCTTGAGCTTAAGGCTTGTGTTCAGCAGGGAACACTGACAGACAGCCAATAATGAGGGAGTATATGGATTAGTATATTAGTCAGGAAAAGCAGATGATGTTAGTAGTTTTAAATGTAGGTATATGTTTCAAGGCACATGTTAATAATACCTGTATTGATATATATGTAATGTTTACAAACATATATGTATATATATTACATATGCTAGCTATGTATAGCTGGTGAAACCTTATATCTAAAGGACATACAGTCTATTTGTAGCATAATAATCACTTAAGACACTTAAATAACAATTTCATGAAGTTTTTAGACAAAACTTATTATTAGTTATTACTGTTTATTATCATCATCATCATCATCATTTTAGATAACTTTATAACAAATTCTAAAAGTACCGTTATTTGAAATTCATAATAAAAAGATTTGCAATTCCGTTGTGTCAAAGAAAGCTCTCATACCTCACTCATTTCTCACCTGAGTGATTCCTCTGAACATCATTATACAAAGCTATATGAGAAAATGCTTCTTCGAATTTGCATTGATATTTTTTTAGATTTACATAACCTTCTCTAAAAATATAAAAAACTACATACAGCAAGAGACCTTATACTTAAACTCAATAATTAATACAAAAAGTAAAAACATGTCCTACATGTGACGTGTTGTTGTACTACGCCACAGTCAGCAATATTTCAGCTATATCACTGCAGCCTTTAAATAATCGTGTCGGAGTCAGACAGACATGTGGTTGATATTATGAGCAATATCCCACAATTAAATAAGTCACAGAGTCTGACCATCTGCAGTTTAGTCATATTTTTCAACATCTATATATAGTCTGGAAGGTAATTTAAGGTACCGACGTTTACTACAATATCTGAAAAACTATCGGACCTACTCCAGTCAAAGTTGGTATGAGATTATTAAACAGTCATACATAACTGGATATTACATTTAAAGACAATCGGTGCATGGATAAAAAATCTGTCTATTCAGCTATCTCTATATTTCATCAACAACCAGACCTGTTCGTCACCGGTGGAACGAGCATTCATTGAAACAGCCATCTGCATAATGCTACCCCTGCGTCACAGGGCCATATGACACAGTTGAACCAATCAACTCAACTCGAAAGTCACGGGAATCACGCACACACGAATACGGTGTTAGCATTGGGCGTCTCAACGTCCGTGATTAGCTAAACAGACAGAAATGTAATATCCAATGATGTATGACTGTTTAATAATCTCATACCAACTTTGACTAGAGTAGGTCCAATAGTTTTTCAGATATTGTAGTAAACGTCGGTACCTTAAATTACCTTCCAGACTATAGTCCTGGGGACAGAGACTGGAGTCCGGAAACCACCAGGGTCCGTTCCACAAAGCTATCATAACACTAACGGTATCACAACTCCCATTCTTTAACACACACAAACCACTGCCGTTGTGCTACGATCACCTTGTGGAACGGGGTCCAGTTCAATATCTTAGCCGCCTCTGACAACAAGCATAGGCTACTGGGGACAAATCCCCAGTTTATAGACATGAAACCAATAGTGATAGAAATAAAGCATGATATATGACATACATCTTCACGAGGCAAGGGAGTTAACTGACTCTAAAAATCCACTTTCCACCCTTCATGAACTAGGCTGGAATTATGGAGTTATTATTTGGCTGGACTAACGAGTCAATTAACTCCCTTGCCTCGGGAAGAAGGATACAGTAGAGTCAACAAAACACACAAAACCAAACACAAAACATTATGAACCAGAAAAGGTGAATACCTTATAGGGAGCAAGGACATTATCTAAAGCAGTTAAGAATTTACATCAACAACCCCCATTTAGGGCTTGTTATACGCAAGAGCACACTGTTTCAAGATTGCCATTGATCAACAGTATCTTATGGATACCTTATCCATAGTATTTACACAACCAAACAGATGACTAACAGTCAAGAGTATTCCAATAGCAGTCAACTAAAATATTGCAAAAACTTTCATGAAAAAAATTAAAAAATCACTAAAAGGTTGGATTTCATGTTCGGAATTTTTATAAAATTCAATTGATAAGCATACAATTTAAATACAAACACTTGTATGATTAGTGTTCAAAATTAAGGAGGACCCTAGCGTCATGGAGCTTTGTTGCTGGAGTATATGAATCTGGGGATCAACTACTTTAAGCCTGTATGGTACTCCCAACTGAGACCAATGAACTCTCAGTCTACTGCAATGATTCTCGTTTGACATGTGCTCTACAAGCAGCTTCAACGTCAGGTGACGGATGGCACATTTCATGCACGGATTAAGGCATCTTCCCGAGGCAAGAGAGTTAACTGACTATAAAAGCCCAGTTTCCACCCTTGCCGAACTAGGCTGGAATTCCTGAGCTCGATCATAGCACCACCAGTGGCTGTTACGAGTTATGTCCCTTCTATGCCTCTCCTACGCACCAATCAGATTCCACCTCTTGTATCACTTGCATTTGCTTCAAACAAAACAGCGGCGCCCAGTCAAGACCATCTGATCGATAATCAAGATCTATATATGTGATAAAATGAGTCTTACATCGCGAAAGTTTATCAAATCACGTTAGCACCTTGATTAAAATCATGAAAAGATTTAGAAAATATCTGTTGACGAGTTAGCGGTGCACATGTTTTCCGAATCCTGCTATCAACCAAAATCTGCACGACAATTTCGATTTCGATTTTGGAGCGCGGTTTTGATTGGACTATGCATAGACTCGTTAGTCCAGACAAAATGTAACTCCATAATACCAGCCTAGTTCGGCAAGGGTGGAAACTGGACTTTTATAGTCAGTTAACTAACTTGCCTCGGGAAGATGGGATTGAGACTGCTCATTTCACTTGTGTGTGCTATACACAGCCTCTTTACATTAGCTGACTAGACACGTGAGGTGAGGTGAGGTGAGGTGAGGTGAGGTGAGGTGAGGTGAGGTGGGGTGGGGTGAGGTAGAATGCTCTCTCTCTCTCTCCCTCTCCCTCTCTCTCTCTCATAATATAACACAATATCGGTCAACTACACAGACCTCAACATCAGACAAGGTTTCAAAATCTGTTTTAATTAGATGCTGCAACACCCCACCCCACCCTCACCACCACCCCAACCTATCAACACACAACCACACCCACCTCAATCAAATTAACTGCATTCAAAATTCAAAATTCCAAAAGGTTTTAATTCTATGGATTTAAAAGTCTGTGGGTTTCTTTTTTAATGAATTTGGTTATTGATCTGTACACTCTAACCTTTAAAAGATGTGAAAGAATATCATTTTTCTTGCATGTAGAAAGGTTTTTTTAATACAGATAAGTTAACACAAAATATTAGAAATAAATACTTATTCTTATTTTGAATGGCAATTGAAAACAAATTTGTTAAGAGAACATATTTTCAAATAATTGTTGCTTTCATATAAGCAACACGACTGTGAGCATGCCACCTTTTCATAATTAACATAAATGTGTGCTAATGTGTGTTAAATGCAAAAACTGTCATTTTGAATTCTTAAATCATTTAACCTAACCATGAATAATTTGATGAATTATATGGTTAAGTGAGACTATCTTCTAAGGTGAATATATCACACGCACCACTTTGATCGTATGTCGTGTACAACCATGTAGGTAAAGGAACAAAACACATATCAGTCCAACTTTGAACAAGCAAGGAAATGCCATGTGTATATAAGACACAGTGAACTAATATAACCCGTCTCTACGGCAAACACGTCCCTCTTTCCTTTCTTTGTACTCACTGTCATACTCAGCCCCGACATGTTTCGTTTGTAGCTTTTTCGGCTTGCCAAATTTAACTGTGATGAAAAATTTTCAAAATCTTCAAAATATACACAACAACAAAAGTTACGATGATCATGTACTCATCATATTATGATTATGATGTTTATATTAAAAAGAACTCTTAAAATAGTGTTTATTTGGGCACGATAGGCATAAAATAGTTTTGATAAAGATTCAAAATTTCAAATTCTGCCAAACAATTTCTGTTTTGCTTACACAATTTGTTGTGAAATTTTAGGTTATTTTCATTAACCATTCAATATTCAGGCTGTTTGTAAGGGAAAAAGAAGGGATAAGGCAAGGTGATTTCTTCTTTACCACACTATTCATTAAAAATTCCATAAAAAAACACTGGTCTGTCTTGCCCAGTGGTTCAGTAAAGATTGAAAATATTGTAAATCCACGGAGTCAAAATCATCATAATCATCATAATCATCATTTTCAGTTATCATAAACTGGGATGATCACAGTAACTTTTGTAGCTGAGTATACAAATCTACAATCAATAATAATTCATTGTATATTTCAGTTTCAATCAAACAATGTAATTTGGTACAAATTTATAGTAATGTCAATATGCAAGTGCTAAATAGTTTATCAAATCTATGTTATGAATTTGAATTCACATTCACTGTATCTGTTTTGTTTCATTCCACAAGGCAGAGGGTTAGTTTCAAAGTCAGCTGTTTTAGTAGGTCTTCAATCTCATAAAATCAGATCAGTTACGCTAATGTGACATCCCCTTCTTTCAAGCACTGACAAACCTTCCATTATAATCACTGTAAATTCTCGGCAGAAGCAAGCGATTCAGAGCAACAATTTTGATTTTTGCATCTTGAAAACAAATGTAAACAGACAGTTCTGAATGGAAAATAATAAAGGCCATTCTATATTGTGAATAGAAAAACATCCTGTCATTTCTGAGTGCATCTCAGCCAAAAAGGTTATACTGCCAAGAAAACATGATGTTTTGTGTGGGTCATCTCTTGTTCAGACTAAAAATTTTGAATCAGTTGACAGAGGCAGTTAAGATATTTGGTGACAATGTAGGGTGGGCTGGTCATTTTAGAAAGATGAGAACTAATTCAACGATTGGTACAAATACTGATAAGAACTTCATTTTGATTGGTCAAAGTTATCTGACATGACCTCAGTCTTTCTCAGATCTTGACAGAGAGGTATCAAATCGGGGTAAAAGATCTGACTTCCACGAGATATCACAGGTATTCTACATGTGACAGCACTTAGGTTAGATCTACATATGTCAAACTCATCTATATCTAAGGATTTTCAGTCAGGGACTACACATAAGTAGGTAAATTTGATTAATGAGACTAATGGTCATTTCTCACACAGGTAATGTTGCCAGTCAAGGACGAAAACTTGCAGCAGATTTCCGTCATAGGTAATTTGGTAAGAACTCTGCTAATTGCTTACTTTAGACATGCAATATATTTTAAACATATTCTGAGAAAATGTCTAAAGGTTTCTTGGAGAACAAACCAGCTGTAACAATCTTTGCCTATTATTTAAACTTGAATTTACTTCTTAAACAGCATGCATTATCATTAATTCTTGCTCTAATTACCTACCGAAACATTTACCCCCAATCCATTCAGATTTTGCTCCACTGTGGATACTCTACCTGTGCAGCAATCATGTGACCTTAGACCGCATAAGTACATATAAATTTTCCTAATCATCAAATTTGACATGTGTATACATCAATATTTGTTATCATGACCTGAAAACCAGACTCGTCAGTTATGGCTTGTGTTGTCCTTGTGGACAATTACTGATTTTTATGTCTGTCAACCTTCACCTTCCATTGACAAAATGTGGCACCATCCCATCAAGTATTCTTCAAGTGATACCAAAACCATACATGTCAGCAGAAGTGATGTGGATGTAGGATGGATGCTGGGGCGCTGCAACGGCTCAACTGATCTATACTACTCAAAAGAAGTTCAAGAAGACCCAATTTTTTCATGTGGCTATAGTTAATGGGATGGACCAAGTCAGCGAGCCTGACCACCCGATCTGGTTAGTCGCCTCTTATGACAAGCATAGTCGCCTTTAGGGCAAGCATGGGCTGCTGAAGACCATTCTAACCCGGATCTTCACGGGTTCTACCGATAGTCAGACAAGACCAGGAGCTCTTTAATATTGAAATCCTGGATAATAGGATGTCTGCTGACATATTTTAAGTCAGTCTGTGCCTCCAAGAATCAGACACTTAAAGTCAAATAGTTAAATGTATGGCAAATATATGGCAATATATATCATACAAAAAGTGTATTAGGTCCAAATTTACAACATGTCACATATTCCTTACAGGTAAAGTGAATCAGAGTAGCGCCACATTTTTATTAATTTGATAAAGAAAATCTGCACACTACCATAGAGAAATTATGACATGTTAACATTTTCCATATGTCCACTCGTCCTTATAATGATAACTTAACAAAACCCTTAAAATTGACAAAGGTAGGCTAGTCCTTATGATACCTTAACTATTGGGCACCTTGGCAAGGACTTCAGGACAAGTGCCAATTTCAGGCACTGAAGGTATAAAAATACCATCTTAGAAAAGATAAATACTATACACAGACAAGCGGACATTCTCAAGATCACCAGCAAACAAAGACTTGGATGACTTGTCCTGGTTATCACTCTTACTGCAACTCCATCATATATTTACTATATGAAGATATGCCATTACTTCTATTGTCATGAAGAGAGACTAAACTCCACGGGATGTTTCCATGTTCAGTTTAGTTACAGTGAGTGAGTTGGGTTAATGCTGCTTTGAACAGTATTCCAGTGATATCACAGTGTCTCAGCTTAATGTGGGAAGAAAGCCCTAAGTGATTCACAGGTATGGTGACAAACCTAGAAACATAATTAACCGGGATTTGAAGCCACGATTATAGGTTTCTGGCAAAGGAAAGCCAAAGGACATACTCTGCACGGGGAATTGCGGCACCTTAGACGACTGGCACCTTTGTGCACCCAATTTAGTAATTGAGATGCTGTGATCAGCGCCTCATGAATGAGACATTGTCTCTGTGATAGGGAAGTCATTTATTGTTAGATTGATACAGCATACCAAACAAAGGTACAAACATTGCCAGTCAGTGTCAGCTCAAGACTAGGACACAACAGGCAGTGTCTACACCTTGTGTGTTTGAGTGAATGAGTGAGTATGGGTTTTGCCGCTGTTAGCAATATTCCAGCAATATCACAGCTGAGGCCAAAAATGGGCTTCACACATTGTAGTCATTGGGGACTTAACCCTGAGCCTTGGAGTATCAAGTAAGCACTTTAACCACTTAACTATCCCCCTCCCACAATTTCCAGTTTGATATATTCAAAACGGATAGGACAGGTCGTCCTGACATGACCCTTAATGGAATGTCCTCAGATCTTTGTTTAGCATTAGCATGAACTAATCTGATATTAATGAGATTGTGCCTTTGAACTTCAAAAACTAATCAGCAAATGATAACACCAAGACTAAATTTAGAATTCCATGACATAGTATGGGTGATAGCCGTTCCGTTGAATAACAGCATTTGCTATCTCTGCTGTACTGTACATTCTTACTATGTGGGTGAGCAGTGTTTTGCTTGTAATCATAAGATTATAGTTACAAAGAACAAAGACACCACTACAAATGGTTGGTGGCTGTCATAACTGCTTGATAAACTTGTGTCCAAGTATGCACTTTGTATGTCCTTTATCAATGCGAGCAAGGAACACTCAATTTTTTCCCATTAAGTTCATGATTTATTGTACCTAATTATTTTCACATGTCAATAATCAATCACCATGCATAAAGACCAACTAAACTGGCAAGCACACACAGCATTCATGCTGGAACATGCATCCATAAATGCATCATCCATGCATCAAAGCGCTTTCTGTAAATCTGGAAAGTTTTGCGAACAGGAAGGTACTGCGAAAACACTGAGTAGTCCCGACATACGCCAGCCAGTCGATACTGTTAGATAAACACGCTACTCCAACCTCCCTTGTTAACTGCAATAACACATCTATAGTTTTAATAAACACTGAGTTACCATGTTATTATGCCGCTTCCTACTTATAAAAAAACAACATATTTTTTATCTTCGGTTATTTCAACAGGGTGTCGCAAACCTTTCCAGACGCAGTTGTTAGCAATTCGCAATAATTTCATGGCGCAAAACTTCCAAATTTACAGTATTTGTTAATTGCTATATTAATTTGTGATTATTTGTATCATTATGTTTTAATCAATTGAGTAAAGTGTGTTTGAAACTGATGAATATGCCTTTGACTATAAGGTTTACATTGTTCATACTTCCAAAATGCAACAACAAGAACAAGCTTCAAAAGAATTTTAAAATGCATAACAATAATTTGAGATTCAATTATCAATAAAACCAAGAAAATAAACTTTCAACAGAGCAATTCAGAAACTTAGAATACCTCTCTAGGGATATCTAATTGATCCACAATTATCGATTTATAATTCACATGTAAAATCAAATATACCTGCAATTAAATTTGTTTCCTTGAGATTGAACAATGACCTAGTATACTAAGGGGAGAGAACTCTCAGTTTACTAAAAGAAGGGACTGAGCATGACCAAGTTAATTGGTAGAAATGAATGATTTTCAAATGGCTTAAAGTTTTAACAGTCAGCAATCTTTCCTGAATTTTTTTATACATAATTATATATTTTCAACAATTACATTTCATAATTACAAAATATCCTCTCAGGATGAGTCAAATTTTCAAATAAGTCTAAAACACTGCTGCAATGTGATTATAAACAGAGAAAAAACATATTCCAACACTATTCCAACACCCCATGAAATGACAACACAAAGGGAGGTAACTGGTGTTTCTGAGTCTGGGTCTAGATTTTCGAAACAATCTTAGCTAAGATTAATCTGAACAACTTACGTTCAAAGATAAGATATCCTAAATTTACGATAAGATACATTTTCAAAAACCTGTCGCAAAGGTATGTTGTTTCACTCTTCTTCAGCATAGACTAGGATAGATTCAGGAAACTACGGTTTATAACGAACACGCTTATAATGAACTGATGGACATAACAAACTGAGTTTTTTGTCTCGGGGATTTGCTGAGTACATGCTGAATACATTGTATATGCTTATAATAAACGGTTATAACGAACTTCAATAAGGGGTCCCTTTGAGTTTGTTATAACCGTAGTTTACTGTATTATATTTTAGGCAATTGACACCATAGTTATGTGGTGAAAATTCGGAGGAGAAATCTTTGATGAGTTTTGTATGAATTTGGCGGGTCGATTTGAATCACAGTTCAACAAAATGAAATGTCAGTGTTTCAACATAAAGCAGATTATTTGTTTGAAAAAGTATGCCGCCATCTTGTAGGAAGATAAAATAAACTTACAACAGGTATGGGGCTATCTTAGATTTACGACATTCTTACGATATCTTAGGGCTACAATAGTTTCAGAAATAGTCTATGATTTCCTTTTGATAACTTTATGGTAATCTTAGGGCTAAGATCAATTCGAAAATCAAGTCCCTGCAAGAGAAGTATGAACAATGGTAAGGTAGTCTGCTCCATGCTGAGGGTATGGGAGGTGAGTTACCATTAGGTCTCATACAAACCTGTTGTTCATGCTTTTGCTTTTTTTCTAGTATCTGGTACAGCAAACAAACAAGGTGTCAGTGTTTCACAGCAATCACAAAATAAACAGAATATTGGGAACTACAAACTAGTATTAGCAAGATGATGAGTAAAATAGAAGTTTTCTTTAATATGGACAAAAAAAATGATATGTCCAAAAACATCTTCGCCTACAAAAAATGGTGAAAACAGCACCATCTGTACACAAATACTACTACAATATCTGCATCAAACAAAAGAAAATCTAGATAAGGAATATCTAAATAAGCAGCAACACTTATCAAGGGTACATTTTAACACAATGAATTCTAGGGAAGAAAAAAGGCTTCTAATAGGATGGGAGATGGATGAGATGGGACTGTGAACAAAAAAATACTCGTGGCTAAAAAGTCTGTGTGGGTTGTATACACCCAAGGGAGCTGAGAATGTAATCTATTAGTATGCTTGGTTATTGGAATCTGGTGCAATATGAAGGGAATTATTATTATCAGCGACGGAAAGTAACATATTTAGTCCACTAGTCCTCATAATGATATCATATCATAAAACCCTTAAAAATGGCAAATTTTAATTAGACCTTATGACAACTTAACTATTGGGCAGTTTGGCAAGGACTATAGAACGAGTGCCAATTTCTAACACTGATTATTATCGTATTTGATGCAGATAGTACAACACGTTCAAAATCGTCAAACAATGACACTTGTCAATGTTTTTATGCACAAATTGGTAAAATAATGTGGACATTGCAATCATTTTTTATCCATACACAGAATGTCTATGGTAGGCCTGAGCGTGTGAGTGTCAGGGACCACACAGGATGAAGGTGTATACTCCGGCCTCTATACCACTAATGCTTCCAAAGAGTCTAAAACTTATTTGTACAGGTTAGTGTTACGTATAGGGCAGGGTAATGCACTGCCACATCTCTCTATATGTAAACTTAAAATGGAAATATGACATTGATGCTTCAATAATCATTCAAACATTTGTAAATTTTATCAAACATATACATATATATGACAAAAATTGAAAAGGCTTATTTCTATAACTGTACATAACGAATATTACATTTCAATACAGAGCTATCGATTAAACGTAATAGAATGGTAGAAACTTTTTGGAACAGCCAACATGTGGTTGATAGTGTGAGTGCAAAATGCTAAAAAAAAAGATAAAATTGGAAGTCAGCCATACTGGTGAGCCACGAGAGAACGGGACAAACTCTGCAGCCATTGTAGGCGACCAATCCCCATTTTAGGGACATGACAGGAATGGGAACCAGGGGTCCATTGCATAAAGCCATCTTAGCACTATGTGTATCATAAGCCTATGTTAAGGTATGGGAGTTACAATCGTCTTAGTGCTAAGACGGCTTTGTGGAACGGGGCCCAGGAGACTTATTCTGTAGCAGTATCACCACAGTGTGGGAGTAGGTGAGGTGAAATGGGTTTAACATCGCATCCAAGATTATTGCACTTACATAGCGATGTGCATGTATGTGTGTGTGTGGCTGCTTGTACTAGTCCAGACTTATACAGATGTTAGTGCTAGCCCACTGAGATACCATGCTGCAGTTTAAAATGAATACCTCACTCAGATACAGTATACTGACTCCGAGCCAACCAGTCTTTGTTTCAGCCACTTATTGCCAAGCACCAGGCAGGGTAACAACAAGTACCATCTTTTGGCACAGGATCAAACCCCCAACCTTCCATTCTCCGGGACAACTCTCCACCACTAGACCACGGAGGAGGTCCAGTGAGGGAGTAAGTAATTGGGTTTACTGCCAACAGTATTTCAGTGACCAGCAATGTTCCAGCTATATCATGGCAGCATGTATATCATAAAGTCTGGACCAGACAAACCAGTGACTCATAAAATGAGCAACGATACACCTATATTGCACGATGACACATAGCCAGCCCATTCAAAGAGCCTGATAACACAACTGAATTTATTCAGCTCTCATGGCCAGTATTACAGTTGACCTATTCTACCCTAGCCCACCACAAGGGAGACACACAACTCTGTCATCCCTTCAAGGTCACAGTGATACCGATGTGGAGACTATACCAGGATATCACACAGAACAGATTCAAATATCAAGTGTGCAGGAAACATGGAAATCTCAGTCTATCTACAGGAAAGGAGATCAAGTTTCCAGCAACACTGAACATAAAGATTTTCCAGATCATAAAAACCTACCCTGTCATACAATGTGCAGTTCTGTCATCAAAATTAGAAATTAGAAATGACAAAATATTTGATGAATTTCAAAACGAGATTGACACATTTTTCAACCAAAATCTGATTATATATCAAAGTGTTAATATGTTTAAATCAACACAAATCATCCCAATATTAGTGGGGCTGTAAAGGTGTTTTCATGACATGAGGAAATTTTTTTTGAAAAAAATAGGCTTAAAAAACTAAAAGAACTGGTTCTCGGTGAAATGACTTTTGAAAATATTGTGTGGGCAGGCAGTGGTTTTTTGGGTTGTTTTTTTGCTTGTTCAAACTAGTATGTAACCAAATAAACAGCTGTGAACCATCAACCTGGGAAACAACCTACATAAACAAACATACTAACTCCTATTGCCGCCATGACCATAACACAAGACGTGCAGTGAAGCAGTGCACATGTTATGAGAAGTGACTGTGTGCAATATTGGATCGCATTGTTTTTAAGTGATGCGGGTGTTGTCTGAGAACCAAGACATTTTTTTTTAAAATTTTAGCCTTATGTATCTTTTTTATAAAATATAAATAATTGTTGTCAAGAATTATCAAGGTATCTGACAAAAAGGAAGCTAAGGGGATCCCAAAATATTTGCTTTATCTTTTATCTGCACAAGGCCAACTGTGTTGCATTTTGTTAATAAATCAAATTTTGAATTTCATAAATTATTCTTAAACTCTGAGGATACCTGATTAGTGTACCAATAAAGCCCCAAGAATCAGTGCAGTTCACTTTAATTCAATCCTAAGCAACAACAATGGCTGAAGTCTAGTTTTGTAAAGGTCAACTTACTGGCTCTGCTTGACACAGGAGGTCACAAAGACACCACCACTTTAGCGTTCCAGTTGGGTAGAACGCGTGGAAGCATGTTCGGAACGTCTGGTGACACTCGTACAGGATCTCCTCCTTCAGGTTTTGGAATGCTGACACGCTCGGCGGTTCACGGAGGTAGACGGAAAACTTGACCATGTGAACCTCCTCGGCTAGGATGCGTCTCAGTAGGTCTCGTGTGTCACCAATACGTTCTGCCATTGAAGAGGTCTCCAGGGGGTATTTCTTTTTGGTCACTGGTAATACAATTATGAAGCAAGACAATGACAAACATATGTTTGTAGTGAAAGATGTGAATATCAAACCAGTCATAATATTTCATGTCAACTTAAAGTTGAAAGCCAAAGACAGTTCAGGCACTAATTGTGCATAGCAAGTTTTCAATTAGTAAGTGAGGAAAAGTTGTCATGTTTGTAGCATGGACAGACACCATTGGTCATATCCAACTAGTCAGCAATAAAACAACAAGATTGTTACTAGTATCAGACGAACAGTCTATCCCTGTTGCACCCAGCAATATTCTTGCTATGTCATGACTAGGGATGTGCATTGGCAAATAAACTATGGCAATACAAGTTTGTTTGTTTTTTGTTTGATTTGTTGTTTAACGCCACACTCAGCAATATTCCAGCTATATGATGGCAGTCTGTAAAAAATTGAGTCTGGACCAGACAATCCAGTGATTAATATCATGAGCTTCGATCCGCGCAATTGGGATCGATGACATGCATCAACCAAGTCAGCGAGCCTGACCACCCGATCCCGTTAGTCGCCTTTTACGACAAGCATAGTCGCCTTTTACGGCAAGCATGGGTTGCTGAAGACCTATTCTACCCCGGATCTTCACAGGTCGGCAATACAAGTATTAGTATTGAGATACATATAGCAATATATTGGGAGCTAAAGTGTTTGACACTGACTGTACACGCAGATTCTATTTCATCCCTGCTGAAGTAAACATTAGGATGTCAAAGTCAATATGGTCAGTCACCACCATTTTGTAGTTATGGATACGGGGGAGAAAAAAAAAATCGCTTCCACTGTTTTGTCAACTAATTTCGAAGAGAAAGATCATTTGTGAATGAATTCTGTGCAGATTTGAGGTTGATTCAAACAATAACTAAACTTGACAAATTTTCATCACCCAAGATAGCGGGTGGTCAGGCTCGCAGACTATCATATCCTAATTCCGTGGATTGATGCTCATGATGTCAATCATCGGATTGTCGGGTCCAGACTTGATTATTTACAGACTGCCGTCATAGCTGTAATATTGCTGGGTGTGGCATTAAACAATAAACAAACAAATGACTAACCTCCATCAGGGTAGACCTCGTTGACGTAGATGCGTATGAGGCGGAGACATGCACGGCAGATGTAGACAAGACGCTGCAGGTCCGACGCAGCAGCTTCATAGTTGGGTCCCTTGAGTCCATCAATCTCACTGATGGCTGTGTGGAAGGTGGTCCAGCCCCATTCCAGCAGCCGCAGCAGCGACTCGAAACACAACTGGAAGGAGGTGAAATGGGGTTTAACGACGTGTCCTAGCTTACTGCCCTTATGTAGCGATGTGCATGCATGTGTGTGTCTGGCTACTTGTCCGATTTTCTGATGCCGATTTTATAGTGCTAGCCCACTGAGATACCACACTCAAACACAGACTCCAAGCCCACCAGTCCTTCTCTGAGTCCAGGCAACATAACAAGTACTATCTTTTGGTATGACACAATCAGGGATCAAACCCCAACCTTCCATTCTACGGGATGACTCTCCACCACAAGACCACAGAGGCGTTCCAGTGAGGGAGTAAGTAATTGGATTTACTGCCAACAGTATTTCAGTGACCAGCAATGTTCAAGCTATATCATGTGTTTTGGTAATACGCGCCCGTGGGATCAAACCACCAACCTTCCTCTCTCATAGTGCAAACCTAATCTAATGACAAGCACAGGACACTAGCAACTGTATCCAAGATTCCCCACAGACAGTTGTGTGTGTGTGTGGGGGGGGGGGGGGAATAAGAGGAGGAAGAGATAGGAGGATGGGGGAAGGTGGTTGACTAGATCTCCTGCAACTGATCAAGCGGACACCCACAAAGTTGTAAGTGTTGCCAGTATTGCAGCAAATCCACGGAGGCCACCAACTGATCCCAGCCTGGGTCACAGGCAAGTGAGTTGGGTTTCGGGCAGCTTACAGTACTATTCCAGCCATATCACAACCATGTTTCACCAGCACGACCATTATATCCTGAGTGAGTATACCCTGTTTTTAGCAATCCGGTTAATACCCTGGCACACATTCTCTCTGCACTACCCCCTCTCTACACTACCTCCTCTTGCACATCTACACATACCGGTGTGACGGAGTGGGCAAAGTCCTGGCTGAGGACATGCGCTGGCTCCACGAGCTCCGTCCTCCTGATGACACTCGGACTGTCCCGGGATGGCAGTCTGCAATGTGACAACAAGCATCAATGATGTTCCTAACCTTATTATCATAATCATATTAATACATGTACACTTGATTGATTGTTTATGATAAACATTGCAGGCAGCAAAATCCCAGTTACTTTACAAGTGAGTGAGTATGGTTTTACGCCGCTTTTAGCAATATTCCAGCAATATCACAGTGGGGGACACCAGAAATGGGCTTCACACATTGTACCCATGTCGGGAATCGAACCTGGGTCTTTGACGTGAGGAGCGAACGCTTTAACCACTAGGCTACCCGACGCCCCCAGCTACTTCACAAAACTGTCTGTATCAACTCACCTGTACAACAACTGTGGAATCTGGCCAGCATTGACATCAGTGCCATTGTTGGACTTCTTGGAGCTCTTGAACTTGAAAACAACTCTGTGAAAAATAGCATGGATCATATTAAGCATCCCGGACCATGGTCCACAACACTAGTATAGTTTCAGTAAGTCAGGCATTGTCACAAAATGATACACAAGTCAGATAAGTAAAATGGCATGAATATAATTTGAAAAACAGATACGCTCAAACCCGATCTCGATTGTACCAATATTTCGAACCTATTCTCCCGTCCCGACCACCTCACTATATAAAAACATGTACATATAAATTTGCCCGCTTGTCCCGAATTCCAGATATAAATACAAAGCGCTATCTCGAACCTAGGACTCCCAATTTTGATTTTACTATACAATTTTGTACCTTCATCTCGAAGTTGCAACTTGTTCACACATTTCTAACATATGTTCCCCTCATGGTTTATTCTCCCTGCAATGTTTTATTGTACGATAAACAACTCCCACTTGTCGTTTATTTCTTAGGCAACATTGCCAACTTTACCATAACGATATGTACTGTTTTAAGTGTATCGCCCAGTCCTATATATCTTTAAACTATATTTGACAATAAACAAGTCCTCTTAGCTTCAACACTAGCTTCAGTGTCACATTCATTATCTTCAGTGTGAGCAGCACATGGTTGACATAACGCCCAAACTATTTCATTACCCAGAAAAAACTTGATAATCATGATAATGATTTGTTTGTCAACATCCATCATGCTGTTAGTGACATATGTTTTAGGCCATACATATACAGATCCTATTTGCTAAGTCACTACAGTCTGTTATCATGATTATATCCCATGGCTTTTTGTCAGAACTGGTTTCCTATTGGATCAAAATGTATCAAAATTTACATTAAAATTCAGAACACTGGTCTATATCTAAAATCCCATTTTTTACAGGTTGTTGTGGCTACTCACTGGTCATCTGTGGTGACGGAGGGCTGCCCGCTGGAGCCACAGTCGCTGCTGGGGCCGGAGATACGGGCCCAGGCTACATACCAGTTGTTGGCCTGGAGGTGGACGGGCTCATCAAACAGCATGGCAAACTTCTCCCTGGGGAACACATGAGATGGGTGAAACACAGGTGCATTGGCATGTCATAGGGCAAGTCCTGCTTATCTAGATGTAGGAGTCAACTTGATGAGGAGCACATGAGATGGGTGAAACACAGGTGCATTGGCATGTCATAGGGCAAGTCCTGCTTATCTAGATGTAGGGGTCAACTTGATGAGGAGCACATGAGATGGGTGAAACACAGGTGCATTGGCATGTCATAGGGCAAATCCTGCTTATCTAGATGTAGGGGTCAACTTGATGAGGAGCACATGAGATGGGTGAAACAGGTGCATTGGCATGTCATAGGGCAAGTCCTGCTTATCTAGATGTATGAGTCAACTTGAGTGTGTGAGTGAGGGAGTATGGATTTACACCACTTCTAGGAATATTCCCGCAACATCATGGCGGGGGACAGCAGAAATTGGGTTTCACATAGTGTACCTATGAGGGGAATAGAACCCTGGACTAATGCTGATTTTATAGTGCTATCCGACTGAGATACCAGTTTAACCCCAGTATACAGGCTCCAAGCTGACTGGTCCTTGTTTGAGCCCCTTAATGCTGTCTGCCAGCCAGGTAACAACAAGTTTGTTTAAAGCTGCACTGCAATATTCCAGCTATATGACAGCGGTCTGTAAATAATTGAGTCTGAACCAGACAATTCAGTGACTGACATCATGAGCACCAATCTACACAATTGGGATATGATGACATACATCAATCATGACAGCAAGCCTGACCACCTGATCCCATTTGTGGCCAGTACTATCTTTAAACGTCTTTTGGTATGACACGGCTGGGGATCGAAATCCCAGAACTTCTGCTCTCTAGGCAAACGCTCTACCACCGGACCACAGAGGCAGTGTTTAACTGTGAAGCTATAGCTAGGTGTTCGTGAGTGAGTAAGTGAGTTGGGTTTTACATCGCTTTAAGCAATATTCCAGCAATATTCCAGCAATATCACAGCAGGGCACAGCTTAGGGGGACATGAATAATTTCAGGATGACTAACCAGAAAGAGAACCTAACCTAATGCTTGGAAAAGCAGACTGACCCTACCACCTTGAGTTATCTACACAGTTCCCTAAATTTGTCCTACCTTGCCGCACATTCAAATGGCACCTCCTCTGTCTCGGCAACCATCTCTCCATCTGTTTCATTTTCACCTCCATCCACCCCCAGTTCAAAGATCTGGAACACATTGTGCCAACATACAGATGCAGATACAGTACATCCAGGTCCTGTAGTCAGACATGTGATAACAAACTTGAAGTCATAAGTCTCGAGTGTAGGTATCTAACTGAGGCAGGGATAATTCTAGGGTGGTGCCTTGTTCTTTCTGCCCTTAAATTTGCAAAAAAGGCACACATTTTCAATGGGGAATTTTAACATTATGCTGCATGGGCATACCTCTGGAATATTTGAAATTTTCACATAAAAGACCCATGTCAGAAAATTCCTAGAGGGAACCCTGCTGATTCATATTTCATATTTCAAGTGTCCAGTGTGAAAACTATGTAATAAGACGCTGACACATACAATGAGATTAATAAAAGATCATATGCATCATACAGATTTCACGAAACGAGGGTATTGCATGAATTCCTACTTGAGTTTCGTAATATCAGAATGTTACACATGCAAGTATGTATTTTTTAGAGTAAAAATATCATTTATACTTATCCTGACTCATACTTATTACTTATTTGTATGAGTCAGGATAAGATAAAATTTAATAATTTCTTCATTATCCATTATTTCTTACACTTTTTGCTCCATAAGAACAAATGTACTGATGAGGACCAACGTCTTAGAAACCCACAATTGTCTAATGATGTCAATAATCAGCTATGACGTCACAATAATTCGCAGGACATCAACAAGTAGTAACTGGACATAAGCGTTCTTGGGCCACAAGAAAGCCTATTTGCACTTGGGGTTGGGATAAATCACCAATACATCAAAACATTCATCTTCCTGAGGCAAGGGAGTTAACTGAGTGTAAAAGTCCAGTTTCGACCCTTGCTGAACAAGGCTGGAATTTCTGAGGTCAATCATAGTGCCACCAGTGGCTATTACGAGTTATGTCCCTTCTATGTCCCTCCTATTGACCAATCAGATTCCATCTCTCATAGACTTGCATTTGCTTCAAATAAAATGGTATCAAGACGGCACCCAGTCAAGACGATTAAATCGATTTGAAAAAAATATGTGTCAACGCCGAGTTGATGTTACACCTGCTCTGCAAATCCTACAATCAAACTAATTTGGCACAGCATTTGTCATATTATTCATGAACCAGATGTCGATATCATTACGGGATTTTGATTGGACTATGCATGGACTCGTTAGTCCAGCCAAAATGTAACTCCAATTCCAGCCCAGTGCACCAAGAGTGGAAACTGACCTTTTAAAGTCAGTTAACTCTGTTGCCTCAGGAAACATTGTCACATAACATGTTTCAAAGCGACTATCATATTGTGGGTCAACACAGTGATACCAAATGTTAATTGGATTGTGATGTGTACAGTAAATGTTAGAGCATCATAAAATATATGTGTTAGGCTGTGTGTCGTCACATTTATTAAATTAAAAAAACCAAAACATGGACTATTAACCAAAATATAGTTCATATTTCATTTTTCATATTCAGATTATATCAATTTTGTTATCATGATATGAAATTACAGATATACCAAAAAATAACAGCAGTTATCTCCCTTACCTTTATCCTGCCGAAGTACTCTCCTCTCCCTCCGAAGAGTCCAAATCCTCCCAGCAGAATGTCTGTATCACACATGAAGCGGACGGCCTCGACTGAGTGGCCAGAGTAGCCCCACCCTCCACCATGGCCTGTTGGTTCACACAACTCTCCATTAGGTCATAGAGACTATAGACTGTGATGCACACAACTCTCCATTAGGTCATAGAGACTATAGTCTGTGATACACACAACTCTCCATTAGGTCATAGAGACTATAGACTGTGATACACTCAACTCTCCATTAGGTCATAGAGACTATAGACTGTGATACACTCAACTCTCCATTAGATCATAGAGACTATAGTCTGTGATACACACAACTCTCCATTAGGTCATAGAGACTATAGACGGTGATACACTCAACTCTCCATTAGATAATAGAGACTATAGACTGTGATACACTCAACTCTCCATTAGGTCATAGAGACTATAGACTGTGATACACACAACTCTCCATTAGATAATAGAGACTATAGACTGTGATACACTCAACTCTCCATTAGGTCATAGAGACTATAGACTGTGATACACTCAACTTTCCATTAGGTCATAGAGACTATAGACTGTGATACACTCAACTCTCCATTAGATCATAGAGACTATAGACTGTGATACACTCAACTCTCCATTAGGTCATAGAGACTATAGACTGTGATACACACAACTCTCCATTAGATAATAGAGACTATAGACTGTGATACACTAAACTCTCCATTAGGTCATAGAGACTATAGACTGTGATACACTCAACTCTCCATTAGATCATAGAGACGGCGGTCTGTAAATAGTCAAGTCTTGACCAGACAATTCAGTGATTGACATCATGAGCATCGATCCACGCAATTGGGATATGATGACATGCATCAACCAAGTCAGCAAGCCTGACCACCCCATCCCATTAGTCGCCTCTTACAACAAGCTTAGTCACCTTTACGGCAAGCATTGGTGTTTTTTTTACTCTTTAAAAACAGTGCTTTATGGAAATTTGTATTTGAGTAAGGAAGATCAAAGCCAAATATTAGATTCTATTCAAAACTTCACATTAAAAACTGGCAGATTCTCAATTAAGAAAATGAAATGATTAATAAAAACTGCAAATATATTTATCATATATACACATCAGGCAGAACAGGTATGGAACAAACCAAGAATCACAATCAGGATGAAACTGGAACCCATGATCAGAAGATGCTGGCACATCTAAGGGATGCAACTCTTATGTAAGGGCTTAGATGAATTCATTGCTCCAACCAAAAGCACTTACTTTCAAACCTATTGATGATGGAGTAGTCCTCCCTGGTGTATATCTTTGACGTGGACTGCTTCTCTCGAGCCTCCTCTATCACAGTCATGTTCAGGAGATGGGCAGTGGTCAGAGTGTCCAGAGAGCCTGTACACAGAGGGAGGGAGTGACTATAGGTTTAGGGGAGCCAAATCAGGACTTGTACCATCTTGCCAAGGCAAGAGAGTTAACTGACTATTAAAATCCAGTTTCCACCCTATATCAGGGTGCCGCCATTTTGTTTGAAGCAAATGCAAGTGATATGAGTAGTGAAATCTGATTGGTCAATAGGAGGGACATAGACGGGACATGATTTGTAATAGCCACTGGTGGCACTACGATCAAGGCCAGAAATTCCAGCCTAGTTTGGCAAGGGTGGAAACTGGACTTTTATAGTCAGTCAACACCCTTGCCTGGGGAAGATGGACTTGTACAGAATTTCAGTTAAAAAATTCAAGGCCTTTACAAGGCACCCTCCCAAAAATGCAAGGTTAATTATCTCTATACCAACTGGCTTAAATCCATTTTCTGGCAGAAGTTCAATTCAAGGCCTTTGAACTCTGCTTTTCACCACAAGGCCAAAGAACAGGCTTCACATGTAAATATGTGGAATCAGACTTTAGTAAAGCAAACACTATCAACTTAGCTAATCACAACCCCTGAACAGATCAGGTTTATTTTGTCATCTGTTACTGCTAAGAATGTGTAAGTAAGTAAAAAGAAACTCCTAATACAGACCAACGTACATCCTCAAGACTTACGACTCACCTAGCATATGTAGAGCTGCATGCGAGCGTGTGGCATGACACCCCATCCTGGTCGGGACAGCCAACTCCGGGCTGAACAGGTCGCAGTAACCCGGGTCAACACTTTGAAGGTCGTGTGACTCTGTCACCAGCACATTGTAACAGTTCACTTCCTGGGTCTTTGGACAGTATCTGAATGGAAGGATCCAGGATTGTAGCAATCGCAAACAACACAAACAACTCTTTCAAAATACATTCCTATCTGTAAAATGTAACCAGTGTTTGATCATCTAACCATTATTGATGGGGGTTATAAGGGTACATAACAGGTCTAATAAATTAAGTCTTTGAAAGGCCTTTAGAAGTGATACACATTTAAGGAAGAGAATTTTTGGATATCAACTTCTTTATATGAGGAACACAGCGCCAGTTATCTGTTGGCTCCCCTTCTTAAGTTTCCACCTTTGTTATCTTAATACTTTTGTTGTTCTTACAGGTACATATATATGCTCTCTGCCTCATAGCATATATTCACCAGATGAAGGAGTAAGTATACTCCAAACGTTGTGGTCCTAACACAACAAAGACGATGACATCCGTAAATTTTCTTCCTCAAGTCTAATAAATGTTTTACTTCATAGGTGAGGAGAAATGGGGTTTAACGTTGCGTGCAAGATTATTGCACTTATAGAGCGTGTGCGTGTGCTTGTGCGTGTGCTTGTGCATGTGCGTGTGCGTGTGTCTGCTTGTACGAGTCCGGACTGATGGCGATTTATAGTGCTAGCACACTGAGATACCATGCCGCAGCTTAACATGAATACCCCACTCAGACAAAGTATATTGACTCCGAGCTGACCAGTCCTTGTTTTAGCCCCTTAATGCCAAGCACTAGACAGGGTAACAACAAGTACAATGTTTTAAAGTCTTTCGGTATGACGCGGCCATGGATCGAACCCCGGACCTTCTGCTCTCCGGGCGGACGCTCTACCACTAGACAACGGAGGCGGTCTTTTACTTCATAACTGTTTTCTTTTATCTTTCATTATCTAACTGTATGTCATTCATTATGGAGTGAGTGAGTGGGTGGGTGGGTGGGTGGGTGGGTGGGTGGGTGGGTGGGTGAGTGAGTGAGTGAGTGAGTGAGTGAGTGAGTGAGTGAGTGAGTGAGTGAGTGAGTGAGCAAGCGAGTGGGTGCGTGGGTGGAAGAGTGAGTGAGTGAGTGAGTGAGTGAGTGAGTGGGTGCGTGCGTGGGAGAGTGAGTGAGTGAGTGAGTGAGTGAGTGAGTGAGTGAGTGAGCGAGTGAGTGAGAGAGTATGGGTATGGGTATGGTGATGATGAACCAAGAGTCAGTGAGTAGGTTGTATCTTACGCCGCCTTTGGCGGGGGGGGACACCAGAAATGGGCTTCACACATTGTACCCATGTCAGGAATCGAACTCAACCTTCAGCATGACAAGCGAACACTTTAACCACTAGGCTACCCCGCCGCCCTCTGATGAACCAAGAATCATAATGAAGTGAATCAGGAATTCCAACCCACAATCACTGGATTCTGGCTCCTATGAAATTGCAGTGCCTTACATGACTGGGTCACACCAGGTGATTTCAAGGACCAAATTCCTTAACACAATGTTCCCTGGAATCGCTTTGAAAATATATCAATCTGAAAGTTTTCCTCACCCCCAGAGCAGATCATAGACGGGGTCAAGACACACAGCCTGGTCACTCAAGTCCACCTGCTCCGAGCCACTGAAGCTGATAATAAAACAGTGGAGATGAAGCACAATGGTTACAATTGGGAACAGTTCTCTTCATTTGTTTGCTTGTTGTTTAACGCTGCACTCAGCAATATTCCAGCTATATGATGGCAGTCTGTAAATAATCGAGTCTGGACCAGACAATCCAGTGATTGACATCATGATCATCGATCAACACATTTGGGATACAATGACATGCATCAACCAAGTCTGCGAGCCTGACCAACCGATCCCATTAGTCGCCTCTTATGACAAGCATAGTCGCCTTTTACGGCAAGCATGGGTTGCTGAAGACGCATTCTACCTCGGATCTTCACAGGTTGGTTCCCTTCAAATGAACTAGATGTGCTTAATGATTTGTAGCTAAGGTGTATTTTTGGTAACTTGATTTCAAAATCTGCCCAACCAAAATTTTAAGAAATGAATCTTTCTTCAATTCGTTTTTTCAGCAATGAATATAAAGTAGGTCTGTAAGGAAGAAACCCTTTGACATGTCTTTAAATACAACAATTATTTCTTTAATTTAATTTAATTCATTCTTCACTCACTCTGCAATAGCATTTAAGCAAAAAAAATATATATTTTGATTTCAAGATGAGACTTTGTGAAAAACAAGTAATTACCAAAATAGCCTGCAGACTTTCATTGCAGCCGCTTCAGTGGTGACATGTAGAACATCTGCTAGGATACAGTTAACAAGTGTATGATGAGGAAGCCACAGTTATCATGAACCTACCTCTTACAACTTCCATCCACTTTACTAATCATCAGACATTTCATTATGGCTGTACTGTCCTCGCCCTTCGGGATCAAACCTGCACACAAATGTACTTTGTTGAACAAGCCATAAGTTAATAACAAACATGGCGACCCATCATTAGCTTCCAACGAGGCCAGCTTATCTGACAGAATCACTGTATCCTAAACAATAAGACTGTCAGACTTAATACATCTACCATCAGGATCCATTTTCAGATGGTATCATAAATACTTATACCCCCATGTCAGAATGATGAGATCTGATTGGTTCACGACATCTTGATAAAATATGATGTATCCTGCCTTGGAGGGAAATAAATTTCTCAGCAGGAGAAAAATCCTTTATACCCCGCCATGAGCATTACAGGCTGCACGTGGATTTCTGAGAGGCCGAATAAATCCCATTTACCGCACTTCGAAGCAAAAAGCTGCACGCTTTTTCCAAGTCAATGAAAGTCACGTGACATAGCACAAGTTAACCTCTGCTCAATCAAACAGCTGTTTTCTATCAATTTTGAATTTGTTTAATTCTTTTACAATATCATATTGGAACACGTCGGTCAGATAAATTAGTTGTTGCATTTGTTTTTATTTCTGTAAAACCTAACACAGGACGCATTAAACTCCATGCACCCCTCACGATCCTGCTACACCTAATCTGGTATTACTGCAGCTATTCATGTGGATAACAAGGATGTAGTTCAAATGTCATCACATCTACTTTCCAATGAGCAAGATTGGGGAGATAATGCCAAGTCAGTAGAAGTGAGTGAGTGAGTGAGTGAGTTGGGTTTAATTCCAGTAATACCACAGCGTGTCAGCTTAATGTGAAAGAAAAGCCTGAACTGATGCAGGTCTCAGATGTTTACCACTTTGGTGAAACCCACGAGCACAGGTATGGTGCTGACAGACCTAGAAATATAATTAGGGTAAACAGGGATTCGAACCCATTCAGAAGCAGTATTACAGCCATATTACTTTGACCTGTACAGTGAGTCGAGCATCAGTACACCCCGTGACTATGAGCATCAGTACACTCCGAAAGTGTCAGCAAACGTTGTATGTATGAGTATCAATACACACTTAAGTTTTGTCTGTTGTTGAATGCTGCACTCAACAATATTCTAGCTATATGATGGCAGTCTGTTAATCATCACGTCTGAACCAGACAATCCAGTGATAGATAATGTAAGCAATACTCCATGCCTTGGGGTACGAAGATGATCATTTAACCAAGTCACCCAGTCCGACCATGAACTGACCTCTTTGGACGAGCATTGGAACCTATCCTCCTAGGTTGGTAATCCATTAAAAACTCACCTATACATGTCTGACTAGCGAACAGGTTTGAGCGGGCGAGGGTGTGAGCATTTATCAGTGACTCGTCCACTCTCATGAAAGTCTGGTCCCCACTGGCTCCGATCCACGTGGCACGACGACCAAATCGGGAACCTGCAATTTGCAATTTCACTCATTACTGACCAATGAGACACTGAAATGTTCCTGGCAATTTCAATCAAATGATTTTGTATTTCTTAATGTGGAAGTGTTGTGATGTAAGTAATGCAGGATTAGATGCTGCCAGTAGTCTGCTAGTCCCAAGGCTGGTAAAGTTGGAAGGATTACATATTGTTTCATATTCTTACTGTATTGTATCAATCACTTGTCCGAACTGAGAAGTACATCAGATGCATTTAAATCATGGAAGTAACTGCTGGCATCACGATCAAATATTTTCTTTTTAATTTGTAAAAACACATTAGTGAGGAAGCTGTCAAATAAGCATATTAGTATATATCCTGATGACAAGGAATTATAATGTTCTAAGTGGAATTTGATAGCATGCATGTTTGAGATGCCTCATCCAAGTGAGTGAGTGAGTTTGGTTTTACGCCGCTTTTAGCAATATTCCAGTAATATCACGGCGGGGGACACCAGAAATGGGCTTCACACATCGTACCCATGTCGGGATTCGAACCCGGGTCTTCGGCGTGACGAGCGAACGCTTTAACCACTAGGCTACCCGACCGCCCGCCTCATCCAAGATGTTGATGAAGCAGAGGGTACTTACCCACACCAGGGACTGGTCCAGGCATCGAGTACCATGGTCCCTTCTTACTCTTCACTCCGCCCTCATCCGGGCCCATCCGACCAAGAGCCCCTTTCTAAAACACAGACATCATCTCAATGAAGACAGGATTAATTTATGAATGTAAATTTCTTAATTATTTTAATGTGATGTTTCAACACAGATGCTATACCTTTATGAATCAAGTTATCCTGACTTGTATTGAGAGAATAATGAAGCTGAAATCTATGTCTACCGGTCTTCATGGATACTACAGCTTCCTAGCTTTTTCTCAAAGTAAAAAATGAAGGCTGAACAAAACCTTTTCATAGTCACATCTTATAGTCTATATTCTTTGTAGGTCTTGGCATGGTGCTAGTATCGACACAAGAATGTTTGATCTACGTATTGGAGTGCCATTTATCAGAAAAAGCACAAGGCAACGCAAATGCATTTTGATTTTCATGGAAAGTATTCGGGACTTTGTACCATAGTCACTTGTTAGCTGCATTTGGTGACCCATATATCCATATTTGTGGCACTTTTGGCCATTAACATTAAATTTGGACACAGACTAATGTCAAAAACGAGATACCTCCAAAAAATGCATTGATATTTCAATGGGAAACTTTCATGAAGTACTTTCAAGAAGTGATGTTTCTGTTGCGGTTCAGTATATATGTGGGCTATCAACCATATTAATTTTCTGTGAAAAATTTAACTACCCTGGACTAAAATAATAATGTTGGTATAATGCAGAAACAAAATGGACGGATCTTTATAATGCAGACAATGCATGAAAAACAAGTCTTTCTTCTTTCAGCTGCAGTCTTCTTATTAATTCTTACCTGATAGTTGCCGAATGTGTAGACTTGACCACTGGTCAGCAAGATGACCGTGTGATAGCTGCCAGCTGCCACTTGAACAGCAGATAGAGGAAGGGGCACCTTGCTGGGGCTGCCTCTACATGAGAAGTATAGCAAAACATCAATGTCTGGGTGAGGGTGGGGTGGGGGGTGTCATGGAGGGTCCCTTCATCTCAGGCACCACAATTTGCTGGACAGAGTTGTGTCCTTTGGGCTTGGGCACGTCAGAAACCTGATAGTGGGTTTGAATGTCAGTTCCTCACGATTATATTTCTAGGTCTGTCAGCACCATACCCTTGCTTGTCCGTTTCACCAAAGTGGCAAACATTTAAGACATGCATCACTTCAGGCTTTCCTCCCACATTAAGCTGACACGCCTTAGCTAAGACAGCTTTGTGAATAAGCCGCCAGATAGTGATGGTCAGTTATTGGTCACTATGTCATCCACACACTGAGCGAGTGAGTGAGATGGGTTAAATGCTGCTTTGAACAGTATTCGAGTCATGGATCTATGCCGTCACAGGTGATCCGTTTTTGAGCATTGGTTCACACAACATACCAGTATGTTCGTTTGTGCTTCAAACCAATCTCATATCTCTTGATTATGAGTAATACCGTATTCGACATAATAAGCGCCCAGGGCGCTCTCAAAATTAGAAATAGGGGGGCTCTTATTAGAATATTATTTTGGTGAAAAAAACAGAGTTGAAAGATGAATTTTGTGGTTTATGGTGACAGCCTGAAATGTTTGTGTACGACAGATATAGTTTTCCAGAATTTAATTGCCATAATTAAGGGTGCATATAACACACGAGTGTGTATTATACGCGAATAAATAAGTCTTGTGTACATTGATCAATCGGAAGGGGTGCTAATTGGGATTGTTCACTAGCCAATATATCAGCAAATATCGCCGTGGGCGCTTATTTGAGCAGGGCGCTTATTACGTCAAATACGGTACTTCATATATCAACCAACTCATATGTAATTCGCATTTCTTTCGTCAGTGAGTTTACATGCATAGTATTTAGTATCTGAATCATAAATCCTGATTACCTGACTCCAGTGTCTCCTAGTCCAAGCTGACCCTGGTGGTTGCTGCCGAATGTGTACACATCTCCGTTCTGCAGCAGCACCACTGGAGATGCAAAATAATTCAAATGAAAATGATGGCATAACAATGTCATCATTTAAATAAATCAATCAAAAAACCCTGCCAAGTTCTTAATCAAATCTCTTGAAATTTCCTCAATCCTTAAAGAACTGTTTTCTCCTGTAAATTATCAAAGACGATGGCCAGCATGTTGAGTGAATGTAGAACTGCTACTGACCAGTGTGATGCTGTCCACAGGTGATCTGCGTCACCTGCACATCCCCGGCACCTATCTGCACCTCCAGGGGCGGCAGGCTCACCAGCTTGATGTTCTCGGCTTCCGGGTCACTTCCACCTTCTGATAGAATACTTATATTACTTATTATATACTTATATTTGGGGTGACACAATACAGCAAGGTCAAGATACGATACATATCACAATACATATGTCACGATATCATAAGTTTCGCGATATGCATAATTCGTCAAATCACATGGAAACTTCTTGACAATAAATATTTCTGAGCAGGTTGAAATGGAAAAGCTATCTGCAGACACATGTTCATAGCGGCTTTTTTTAGTAGTGAACTTGAAACGCTAATTACAACACATTTTGCTATATCTGACGGACAAAAATGCCAGGGGTCATAAAACTAGTAAGTGATTTTTTTCAGCAAGTGTATTGTCTTTTATCGACACAGAAAAAAACGTAACGTGTATTGTATCGTCACATGAAAACTGACGATGTACCAGTGCACCAAGGTATCATCAACTTATATAGAGTTTTCTTGTATGTATCAGATGAGTAGGGCTGGGTCAAGTCCAAATTTACGACCCGACATTTAAGGTATGTTCCACCAGGAGACAAGAACATGAACAGCCGTGACACTGACCCCGTTGTCTCTTCTCCTTGACTAGTTTCTGCTGGGCTTTTCGTAACTCCATCTTCTGCTCCAGACGTTTGCCCAGCTGCTCCACATGCCGCACACCCTGCCTACTCGCTGAAACACGGACTGGTCCATCTTATATTAACATAATTATGCCAGTAAACATCTTCAATGAAAGACAAATTCCTACCCACTACACTAAACCGATGCTAAGTTCCATGAAAAACACTTTACTTTAATAAAAAGTATCTAACAAATACTGAAAAAAGCGGACATGATAGAATGATATTTCATTATTATTTAATATTCAATATCGTATCTGACAAATACTGAATAAAGCGGACATGATAGAATGATATTTCATTATTATTTAATATTCAATATCGTATCTGACAAATACTGAATAAAGCGGACATGATAGAATGATATTTCATTATTATTTAATATTCAATATCGTATCTGACAAATACTGAATAAAGCAGACACGATAGAATGATATTTCATCATTATTTAATATTCAATATCAGGCTAAAATAACCAAAAACATTTAAATAATTCAGTGTGACAAACTGCCAATAAAGATTTTGCAAGCACACACAGAAAAGAAATGATGTTTGTCTCCTTGCATAAGGCTTGGGCAGCAAGATACTATTACTTGCACAACTGTTAATGGATAGTTGACAGTGAAGAGGACTTCTGTTGAAAATCTGAAGATTTTTATGGTGTGATGACCATACAGGACTTATGTCAGTGATGTAATAGGGGCTCTTCACAGGAATTATATTTTGTTCGGACTGCTGACTTTTATCTCAAAATTGTTGTAAGAAAATATTCAAACATGATGAGTATGATGAAGCAAAAGAATACAAATTATATAAAACTGAAATGAAAACTGAATCTAGTTTTAAGGCTTCAATTACAATAAGAATATGACAATCATATCAATCAATACACACAAATCCAATATAGAGTACACAATAACTACTCTGGGACCTAAGTTTAAAGCAGTTAAAGCACCATATCTTTGATAAATTTCAATTTGATATGTTATATTTAGTATATGAGGATAGTTAAATCCACATCTGTACTGAAAGATAATATGACACATCTCTTTATCAAACTTATCACGTACAGGGATAATTCTAGGGTGGGGCCTTGTGCTTTTAACCCCTAAAGTTGAAAAAAGGCCCACATTTTCAAATACAATGGGGCATTTTAACATTGTGCTGTATGGGCGTACCTCTGGAATATTTGAAACAAATATTACAAATAAAGCCGAACGGCTGACTTCCTGTCCCTTTAAGCCTGTTTGGTCTAGGAAGCTCAGCTAATAATTGTCCATATAGTAACACTAAAATATTCAGAAAATAAAGCTAAGAGGAAAGTTTGCACAAGTTGACTCAAAAAGATGTTTAGTTTGTTGTTGTTTTTGTTTTGTTTGTTGTTTAATGCCGCACTCAGCAATATTCCAGCTATATGACAGCGGTCTGTAAATAATTGAGTCTGGACCTGACAATCCAGTGATTGACATCATGAGCACCGATCCACGCAATTGGGATACGATGACATGTATCAACCAAGTCAGCGATCCTGACCACCATTTGGTCGCCTCTTACTACCAGGATAGTTGCTGGGGACGTCTTCTACCTCAGAATCCCACAGGTGGAAATCATGAAGTCTGAGTCAGACAGGCCAGTGGTTGATAGCGAGAGCACACAATCAGTCGGGTCAGAGGTCACCAAAGAATAGTATACTACCTTAATAATGGATGCACTTATAACAAACTGACGGATATAACAAACTGTTTTTTAGGTCCTGGAGATTTGCTGTATATTTTAGTCAAAGTGCTTATAACCAACTACGTTTATAACAAAATATAATTAGTGATCCCTTTGAGTTCGTTATAACCATACTTACTGTACTTGCAATCAGCTTGTTCAAGCATAATGGCCTGGGGGGTCTATTTTGCATCAAAACTCCAAAAGGGACAGTGGATAACAGTATTGATATTGCAACAACTTGTCTTACATTACGAAAGTAAAAAACAACAAACTAGTAAAAAATTAACTGCATTCCTAATACTAGTAGGACTAGTAGACTAAGTAGAAATTAAGAAGCTAAAAGAATGAATAAATACCTTTAGCAAACACCTCAAGCAATCCTCGTTCATCTAACTCTTCAAGCTCTAGCTTCTCCCCCGCACACACACGACACGCCCCACACTCGGCACACCCCGAGTCTCCAGCGCCACACCCACAGGGCCTGAAACAGAAACAGTGTTGAAAACAGGACATACTCTTAGGCTTAAAAAATAATAGTCTTGGTTCTCAGACACCGCATGCATCATCATAAAGTTCGCAACACGTTTCGGTGTGTTTTTTTTTTTTTCATTTGAAAAAAAACCACACAAAAAAATCCTTAAATATTCAAAGTCCAACAGTAGCCAAATACAGTATTCAAGTATTTTACTCATCAAGGAATACATTGATGAAGTGAGGCCCTTTCCCAGGTTGATTGTACACAATTGTTTATTTGGTTACATACAAGTTTGAACAACCCCCTTCATCCCTCCCCCCCCAAAAAACACCGCCCGCCTTCAAAAATCATTGCATGAGAAGTGATTCTTTTTCTTTTTTTTTAAGCCTTATCACGTTTATATTATCACAATCTTGGTAACCTTATCTGGAAGACATGGCACTTCAAATTACAATAAACAGCTGCCAGGGACGGCCACTTTCCTTTACTGGAATGACTGAATAAAGATTTATGGAATAATCCGCCATCTCTAAGTTACATACCGGTAACAGCTGCTAAAAAGTCCTGGAATTCCAAACCTGGATCACTTGAACTGAACGGCACATTTATCTTATTGCTCCTCTCAGTGTTGAATTTCCAGAATGAGTGAGAGTGAATTAATTGTTTTCAATGCTTAAGTCAGCACTATACTAGCTAGGTCACAGCGACCTGTGAATGACTGAGCGTGGATGAGACAAAACAGTGACTGAAAACATGAGTGAGTGAGTGAGTGAGTATGTTTTACGCCGCTTTTTATCAATATTCCAGCGATATCACGGCGGGGGACACCAGAAATGGGCTTCACACATTGTACCCATGTCAGGAATCAAACACGGGTCTTCGGCGTGATGAGCGAACGCTTTAACCACTAGGCTACCCGACCGCCCCGACTGAAAACATGAACAATGATCAACTCCATCAGAGCACGATGACACAGAATCAGCCAAGTCTTATAGTCTCACAACCCAATCCAACTTAGCTGTCTGGCACAATAGTGCTGTGGACATATTCCAACAGTGTTAGATTCCGTAATCTGTAACTCACATGCCAGGGTTGCGGTCCACCCTGTTGCTGTTGATGCAGCTGACGCCGTAGCCAGTACACTCCCCGCACACGGTGCACACCATGCACTGGTCCTGCTTCCACCGGTGTTTGCCTGCACAGACAGAACACAATCTCATCCACAGAATTCTTTGGGGTTTTTCGCACTCATCAATACTCCAGCTATATGAGAGAAGTCTTTAAAATAAGTCTGGACCAGACATTCCAGTGATTGATATCATGAGCATCAACCCATGCAATTGGGATACAACGACATTCATCAACCTAGACAGCAAGACTGACCATCCGATCCTGTTAGTCACATAGTCACCTCTTACGGCAAGCATGGCTTGCTGAAGACCTATTCAACCCCGAATCTTCACAGGTGTCACATAACTGAGCCAGTAAAGGAATCTTTGTGCTATGACGATCATAATCCTTGTCCATTAAGCATAGGTGTTGACAGGGCAAGGTGCTTGATTGCACCTGCAGAATATAATCTGACCTGAATGACAGGCGATTGCCCTGGCAGTACAATACCATATATAGAATACATAAACGTCAAACACCCCCAAAACAGTAACCTTGTACAAACTTTTGATTATTATATGCGGATCACATTGTTACTGTACAACGGACCTGTGAAGATTCCGGGGTAGAATAGGTCTTCAGCAACACATGCTTGCCGTAAAAGGCGTCTATGCTTGTTGATAAAGGCGACTAACAGGATCAGGAGGTCAGGCTCGCTGACTTGGTTGATGCATGTCATCGATCCCAAATGCGTGGATCGATGCTCATGATATCAATCACTGGATTGTCTGGTCCAGACTCGATTATTTACAGTCCGCCGTCATATAGCTGGAATATTGCTGAGTGTGGCGTTAAACAACAAACCAAACCAAACCAAATACTGTACAACAATCCTTCAACTGATCAGCATTCCATCACATACTCCTATACACTGACCTGGTCCACACAGAGCATCATCATTCTCCACTTCCTCCTCCTCTTCTGCCATCATCACATTGCTGCTTGCTGCAACACAACAAACACCTCACTGAATGGGAGAAGTACATACGAAAAGAGTAACATCCACTTGTTACTTTCATAATTGTAGAACATTCAGAGTAAAAGATCCGATTTGAACGAGATTGAATATTTTGTTTACCACATTCTGCATTCATATCCAAAACTGGTCATTACTATACAAATAATTACTGTACAAATAACTACTCTTAACGAGGTCAATATGCAAAAACAAGGACCTGTGGACCTGACCCCTGAGGTGGTCTGACCCCCTAAGTGGTCGGGTCAGAGGGTACTTGTTTTTGCATATTGGTCTCGTCAAGAGAAATCATTCGTTTCGTTTCACCAAAATTCACTTGTTTTGTTTCACCAAAATTCTACTGATCATTTTTCGAGTCAATATTCGAGGTGTGTAGGTCACATGATTTCAGGGTCTACATTGAAATGTATTGTCTCATCACATGGTACAGAATAACCAATGGAATTGCAAGATTCTTAATTCAGGTATAACAAACATTATTGATTTAGGTGGATATCAACCAATCAACTGGAAATATATCCTACTTGTTAGTGAGGTGAGTCTTTCAGCATTCTTACAGTCACAATGGACATGAAATGTCTTCACACACTCAACATTTTCTGCCCATTTTACTATCAAGTCTGAAGAGAGTCCATATGTAAATTATTTAACAAAAACTAATTTTTCTCTCAGTTAACTATTTACATCTTTCCGAGGAAAGGGAGTTAACTGACTATCAAAGTCGAGTTTCCACCCTTGCTGATGGAATCTCATGGCTCGATCTTAGCGCCTCCAGTGGCTGTTATGAGTTATGTCCCTTCAATGTCCCTGCTATTGACCAATCAGATTCCACCTCTCAAGATTATCATGATAAATACTGTAATAACAGGTCTTTCCTCCTGAATTGCATCAAAACATTTGAGCACCTTGATTAATAACATGGTAAAGATTTGGAAAAAATCTGTCGATGCCCAGTTGACGGTACACATGCATTGCAAGTCCTGCAGTTGACCGAAATCAGCACATTCAAATCCAAGTTGTTAACGAACCGTATGTCTAGCTCGTTACACGATTTTGATTGGACTCTGCATTGACTTATTAGTCCAGCCAAAATGTAACTCTGAAATTCCAGCCTAGTACGACAAGGGGTGGAAACTGGACTTTTATAGTAAGCTAGCTCCCTTGCCTCGGGAAGATGAACTATTAATTGATTCCATCTCACAAGGCCCCCGACAAAACTCACTTTCTCTGGATGCCCCTGGGTTGAAGTCCCGGCCACACTGGCCCTTGTTGTTGATCCCATAGGTGAAGATCTGACCCTTGTTTGTGAGGGCCACAGCATGGGCCTTGCCCAGGCCAATCTGGGTCACTACCACGTCCTTCAGGTCAGTCACATGACCTGGAAATAAGGTCAAGGTTAGTCAAGACTTTTCACACCACTGCTCAGAGTGGTCCTTCTTTTTGGCTACACATGATTACAGTACATATACAGCACCTATTGTGACCTCATAAACAAAAGAGTATGGGGTGTTTGTAAGGCCCATGGCCAGTTAAAATTACAAAACCTTGCTGAAACATAAAGTAGATGGCCTCTCCGACTAGACAAAATTTCACCCTTTTCCATCTATGATTTTTTTTTTTTAATTGTACGCAGGTCAATGGGAAAATATGTAGGGAGGATGAGGTCCTGTGAATGGTTTACTCAAAGAAACATATATGTCAGTGTTTTAGGGATAAGGAGTCATAAAAATTGCAGAGGTAGCTACCCAACCTAAGGTTAAGTTGTAGGCCAGATAGTTTTGAGAAAGGCCGGTAACTTTAAAAAGGAGCAAATCCTGCTGCTTCATACAAATTTGTTGTTAAATCTACCCCTGTACTTGGCAAAATATTAGGGGTGTCGGGATTCATTGATGCATCAATCATGAATAAACTCCGGTAGTTAAAGATAAACTAGATGCCTACCCATGTATCAATTTATATTCAATTCAGTTTCAACTTTCAAAAAGTACAACCTGTTTATGAAGTTTTGCAATAACCAAGCACAGGCTACCTTTACCTACCTATCACAAGAAATAATGTTAAACTTGACTGAAAAATAATACAAGAATAAACCTATATGATCCATGCAAGTTAACCCCAACATGGATGATAGCAATCTCTGGTCAGCCAGCCACATGGAATATGGGCATGAGTTCAGTTAAATGCTGTCTTGAACAGTATTTCAGCTGCACTCTACAATCAATCTCAGCTCCCTGGGGATCATACAACCCAAACTGCCTGTTAGGGGCTAGAAGGTTAACAGCCACATTGCCATCTCATCCTACCAGGTACCCATTAACTGCTTGGTGAACAGAGGCCGAACAAAGTCACTTGCCCAAGGGTTGTTTGTTGTTTAACGCCGCACTCAGCAATATTCCAGCTATATGACGGCAGTCTGTAAAAAATCGAGTCTGGACCAGACAACCAGTGATTAATATCATGAGCATCGATCCACGCAATTGGGATCGATGACATGCATCAACCAAGTCAGCGAGCCTGACCAACCGATCCCGTTAGTCGCCTTTTACGACAAGCAGAGTCACCTTTAACGGCAAGCATGGGTTGCTGAAGACCTATTCTACCCCGGAATCTTCACGGGTCACAACATGTTTTGTACTTAAGGTCGGTGTATGGAATCATGAAGTAGGAAACTCTGACAGAGGCTTGAGACAAAACATTGCTTTTGACTATTTGTGCTTGTAGTTAGATGGTTGTGGCAAGTGCTAGCTAGCTACAGATTTTGTAGATGTTGTCATACATGTATAAAGACACAGTGCAAAAAACAATTTCCATCTACCTGCCCAAACTCGTATTTTGGCATTATTTTCAGTAGACTGTGGGCTAAGTCATAATGTCCGAAATAACGGCCTGCCCACCTGCCAGTGGCTGGTAACTTTTCTATCGGGCTGCATGAATTTTCCTCCACCTGTCTGACTGTCTGGCAGATAATATTTTTACTACTTATGAATTCTGTTTTATCATAACTCCTTGTAGATTCTCAAGTAATTGTTTGCATTATTTCCACTTAATCAAGACACTATTTGTCTCTTATATTTTGCAATTTTTCCACATTAATAATGTCTAAATGTGGACAGGTAACTTTGAAGATTGGTAGGCAACTCTTATGGATCACCTGCCCGACTGTCTTGTTTGGTTTTAAAATTACAGTTAACTACGGTTATAACGAACTCAAAGGGCCTACTAATTTTAGTTCGTTATAACCGTAGTTCATTATAAGCATATATACAGCAAAACTACAGCAATAGTCGGGACCAAAAAGTAAGTTCGTTATATCCGTCAGTTCGTTATAAGCGTGTTCGTTTTAACCGTAGTCTACTGTATTGCAAACACTGCTTAGTACATATATTAACATCAGTTGATCTTGCCATACACAAGTCTTGGGCGTCGGACCAGTATCTCGTCCCAGACAGTAGAACCAGCCAGATTAGCATGACTGCAGCAGACTTACCACTCGCATGGTCACAGTGTGCGGTGTCCTTGCCGTACATGTACACCTCACCCTCCTTGGTGACCACCGCGCTGCTGCCGCTGTTGCAGGCCGCGTACACCACCGACCGCGACTCCAGGCGGATCATCTTCTTTGGTTTTACTGGTTTTGGTTGTCTTCGGTTTTTGGCTGCAGTGTAACATGATATGAACACATCACAGCTTGTAGAGAGAGGGCTTTGATGAGGGTTTATCATGTTCAGAATCTGTATTCCAACATTATTATCAGAGAATTGTACTTCTATTGTTTCAATAAAAGTGCCTCATACCACACACACCCAGTCAATCTGTCAAATAACCAAATTATCATTTCAGTGCTTGGTCAGATGACTAATATTCATCACAAAAAGGTTATATTGGGTCTTCCCCTTGAATTTGGAATTGAAATATTTAAAAGATTGGAAACTGCCACTTGCCAACTTTGGTTTTACTCTAATTTCCTTTTAAAAAATCAAAACAGAGAGTCATATCACGAACCCAAATATCACCAACCAATAGTGAGTGAGGAATGTTTTACACCGCTTTTAGCAATATTCCAGCAATATAACAGCAGTGGACACCAGAAACGAGCTTCACACATTGTACACATGTCGGGAATCGAACACAGGCCTTCAGCATGACCAGCGAACGCTTTAACCACTAGGCTACCCCACCACCACACTAACCACTCTCTTCACTACAATGATATAGTAGCAATGATAAAACACCATCAAGTTTCAGTTTACAAATTTACAACACAGATGAAACTTAACTTACACAAACTGGAATCTCCATCCTCCCCTCTCCTGGGTGTGCCGACAAAGAACACGCCCCCATCCTCCGACACCATGAGAGCATGTTGTCCATCGTGCCCTACGGCCAGGTGGACTATCTTGGGGCTCTTGGTGATAGGGAGCTCCGCCCACTTCCCCTGGGAGGGGCCGCCTTGCTTGATCCCGAGGGCTGCTGACTTGCCACTGTACAACAGCTTCCCCCCCACAGTCCGGATTAGGGTGAACTCCTTACCTGTGCTGACCGAGGCAATGTCTTCGTCAAATCCTGTATCTGTAACAGAGATTGTAAACATATGTGACCAACCATGACGTAAGGGATCTTATGAGTGAAAAATCAGTTTGACTTTTCATTATACTCTAAAACTACTGTATCATAAGAACAAAAAAAATACAATTCATAAGTTTCAATTCATATTTATTGCAGAGATACGTGACATCACACATAAAGTAAGTTGACGTCAAACGTCTTTATGAAGCCATAGCATAATTGTTTCCTAACACCCATAAGGTCTCTTTTCTCCTGGTGGGTTACATATGTAAGCCTGTTCCTAATTTGAATCGTAATGGGATTTATAAGTCAAAGGGAATGAGTACTTTTAATAAAGATATACACTTTTATACATTACTATACATCATTATACATAGGTAATTATACATTTTTCCAACACTTGAATCAGTGCTACAGACAACTTAGCTACCCCAATAATGAATGAATGAGTATTGTTTTACGCCGCATCAGCAATTTCCCAGCTCGCTTCCCCAAATAAAATCGTCCATCAGGATATTTAAATGGAGAAGCAAAGTTGCATCCATCTTGGTTGCTGTTATTTTCTTGCCACACAGGCTTGTGTACACTACATTCCTGTACACACACTGTACATACACTGTACACGTCCAAACATTCAGCCATCATGTGGTTTGTGGTATGAGTGCCTATTACAAGTCAGCTAATGAAAAAGGGTAGCGAGTGAGGGAGTATGGTTTTACGCCACTTTTAGCAATATTCCAGCAATATCATAGCCATGGGATACCAGAAATAGGCTTCACACATTGTACTCATGAGGAGAATCGAACCCAGGTCTTCAGCATGACAAGCAAATGCTTTGACCACTATTCTACTCCACTGCCAAAAAAAAGGTAGTGTTCAACTCATGGTCAAATCGGTCATAATCCAGGCTTGAACCTTGCAGAAGCAAAGTGTAGGGTAAGAAGTTGCAAGGAAGGAACATGGATATAGGAAAGATTTCCTGTTGTTATTAATGCTAAAAAGATACCGTATTCGACACAATAAGCGCCCAGGGCACTCTCAAAATTATAAATAGGGGGCTCTTATTACAATATTATTTTGGTGAAAAACAACAGGGTTAAAAGATCGTAAATTTCGTGGTTTATGCTGACAGCTTGAAATGTTTATATACGACAAATGTATTTTTCCAAAATCTAATTTCCCACAATTAAGGATGCATATATAACACATGTATTATACACGAATAAATAAGTCTTGTGTACATTGATCAATCAGAAGGGGTGCTAATTGGGATTGTTCACTAGCAAATATATTAGCAAATATCGTTGTGGGCGCTTATTAGAGCGGGGCGCTTATTATGTCGAATACGGTATTGTTCTTTTCAGATTGTCATTAAAATACATCAGTTTCAATTTATGTTAAGTTTTCTAAAGAATCCTTTCACCAGTTTCATTCAACATGGGGACACCATCTTTGTTTTTTAACCTGATATAACCTGAGCGCTTATTGGTCAGAGCATTCTCTGACCTACTTCTTGCTAGAGGTAGGACATTTGTGCAGTGACAACAAAACAATTGAGTACGATCAAATGTTTATCATATACAAGACATGGCATAAGATTCGGGGGCTGACTCGGTGATGGAAAGGTAACTTACGCTGCGGGTAAGTAGTATAAAAAGGCAGACTGCGGGTTGCATAAGTAAATTTGAAATGTATATGAAAATGATTTAGAACCCTGCGGGCAGATCTAAAAAGATAAAATGGAAATATGTAGAAAGGGTGATACCCTGTGGGTATAAGTGAAAATGAAAATACTTTGGGGGCCGCAAGCCATATAGTGATAGTTTACAGAATGATTGGCTTGCAAAGCCCCTTCCGAGCCAGCCCCTTGGTGGAGATGGGGATGGATGGAGGGTCGTAATGACAGCTGAGAGAACAATGGAAACAAGCTGAACGACATTGAGGCTCTTGTTGTTAATATAGAAAAACAAAATGACGTCACATCCGTAGAACTGCGCATGCCCGGGGAAAAATATATTGCATTCTGGGATAGAAAATAGTAACTTGATACAGAGAAGAAATGTGATCGTTCACAGACGATTTTGAATGATAAATGACAACTGGAAATAATGTGTAGACATCAATGTTAATAATAGGTGAAAGGATATGTGGATCACTGCACAAACAAAAATATAAAATAAACATTTTATTCGAAATAGCATCATATAAAACGTTAGCTGTATGTATTCTTGGTTTAGTTGGTTGGTTTGTTGTTTAACGCCGCACTTGGCAATATTCCAGCTATATGACGGTGGTCTGTATATAATCGAGACTGGACCAGACAATCCAGTGACTGATATCATGAACATCGATCCACACAATTGGGATCGATGACATGCATCAACAAAGTCAGCGAGCCTGACCACCCGATCCCGTTAGTCGCCTATCGCCTTAGGATAAGCATAGTTGCCTTTTACAGCAAGCATGGGTTGCTGAAGACCTATTCTACCCCGGATCTTCACGGGTGGTCTGTATGTACTCAAAGGTGTTGGAGGAACCGAGTGTATACAACAAGCCCATGAAGTTTTGACGATGGATTCCTATTTGCAGGAGTTAGAAGAATGTCCCAAACAGATGAACATTAGATGCTGGTTTCTCGCAAGACAAATACTGTTACACTACTACAGAGTACTAATTTCAATACCTCAGGAGATTTTCAACATGTAACACTCACGGATAGATCTTCTTTCCATCTCCGGGTCTAGGGAGTTACTGCCAAACACGTCCATGCACTTGCGGGTGAGTTTCAGGGGGATCTCACTCATGACAGACATGGGACTCTTATCTGGACTGAACGTGCGGACCACAAAGCTGTCCTGCTGTAAACACTACAACAATTACGTCACATACAATAGTCATCCCAACCATCTTGGATACTGGTACAGAGAAGTTACACAGACAAGGGGTGGTGAAATGAGGTGAAATGGAGTTTAACGTCGCGTTCAAGATTATTGTGGCTGCTTTTACTAGTCCGGAATAATGCTGATTTTATAGTGATAGCCCACCAAGATACTATGCCACTGTTTTACATGAATAGCCCACTCAGGTACAGTATATGGACTCCGAACCGACCTAGCTTTAATTCCTTAATGCCGAGCACCAGGCAGGGTAACAACAAGTACCATCTTTTAAAGTCTTTTGGAACGACACGGCCAGGGATTGACCCCCGACCCTCTGCTCTCCAGGCGATAATCGAAATAATCGTCAATGGGAAGAAATATGAATACATAATATTCACAATAAATAACATTTCCTGTGAAAATACTTACATCTTTTGCTGGTGCAATTTGACCTATGCTCTCCCCATCACTGAATAACACACTCTGTCCAATAGTGTGACCTGGGAAGAACAGAAGGAGTGAGTGAGTGAGTGAATATGGTTTTACGCCGCTTTTAGCAATATTCCAGCAATATCACGGCGGGGGACACCAGAAATGGGCTTCACACATTGTACCCATGTCGGGAATTGAACCCGGGTTTTCGGCGTGACGAGCAAACGCCTTAACCACTAGGCTACCCGACTGCCCCTGGAGAACAGAAGGGTTAATGTAAACACTGTACATTGGAGTATATACACTTCCTGATAAACTAAACATGGATCAACCAACACCTAACCAAGTGTAGACCACAAGAGTACAAGTGTGTCAGTTGGCAAATATTACACCATCTTCCTGAGGCAAGGGAGTTATCTGACTATGAAAGTCCAGTTTCAACCCTTGCCGAACTAGGCTGGAATTATGGAGTTTTATTTTGGCTGGACTAACCAGTATATGCATAGCCCAATCACAATCATGTAATAAAACATTCATCCGGTTTGTAAACTGCCATGCAGATTTTGGTCGCTTGCAGGATTTTCATAGCATGTGTACTGCCAACTCGGCATCAACAGTTATTTTCCAAGTCTTTTCATGTTTTAATGAAGGTGCTCACATGATTTGAAGCACTTCGCGAAGTAAGACCCGTTTTATTCCAACATAGATTTTGATCATCATTCAGATCGTCTTCACTGGGAGATGCCATTTTGTTTGAAGCAAATGTAAGTGATATGAGGAGTGAAATCTTATTGGTGAGGGACATAACTCATAATAGCCACTGATGGCGCTAGGATTGAGCCCAGAAATTCCAGCCTAGTCAAGCAAGTGTGGAAACTGGACTTTTACAGTTAGATAATGCCATTGCCTCGGGAAGGTGATATTACACAGTAAATATTGTTTTTTTAAAACACAGTCTAATAAATGTTCTTTCAAGCTTCAAGTTCCAAACAATGTCTTCTGTATTTGAGCACATTCATTTGGAAACCAGTAGCATTTTGTCAGCTCACAAAACAAGCAAGAGGTTCTAGGGATCTATTCTGACCCAGAATCCCTCATGTCCAAAAGAAGTCCGTCTGTATCATTTCCTTTACATATTTTGTTCTGTTGTCATAGCAACCTACCATCCAAATCACATGGTGCTTTCACGTCTAGACTGTCTCTGTTGATGACACACAGACCGGGGGAGGAGTTGTTGTCCGATCGACACAGCAGTTTACCCTGCACACAAGGGGCACGGTTTCATTTTAATCACATAAATTAAAATTCACTTTTACAACACAATACATGCCTCCATACTTTGGCATTTATCAGTTAACGAGTGTATTGTATCTCTATTGTATTATAGCATTTAGTCTGGATCAGTCGCCAACATAGCTTTGTCTTGAGTCCGGTAGGAATGACACAATGCTGGAGGGATTTCCCAACCACATCAATTCTATATTAGAATCAGATTTTTGTTCTCACTACCTCTGAACAAAGATCTGAGACCATCCCATTACGATTCACATCAGAACAACACCTTTCATCAGACCAATCAGAGTGTCGCTTACCAGATAAGGAAAGTGACAGTTGGAATGTGTTTTCCAATCATGCAAACATCAAAAAATTTAACATGGGGTATTCCGAAAAACAGTTACGGGCTTTACGACTGAATCCATCCAAACTAGGTCATCTGTTAGCCATTCCCGAATGTTCTTTTGTTCAATTTTCAAATTTCAATCAAAAATCTGTCAAAATATGTTTCAAAGCGTCGTCACCAGTTTGAAACTTATGCCGTAAAACATGAGAAAGCGGCCATCTGATTGGCTAATGTCAACTTCTTGTCAGTCATTCCATTGGTCGGACAAAGTTTGCAAATGGTCGGTCTGACGTGACCTGTAATGGGATGTCCTCAGATCTGTGCTTAGAGAGAACTGAGATCTTATTTTAATGAGATTGACCCACATCCTTATACTCAGGTCAACATCTTTTCCAGCTAAAATAGTTTTCGGATTGATTAAATTCATCAGGGGCTTGCTTGTATAAAGTCACAATTCTAAAATTACAATGACAGCAAACTCTAGATAAGAGAGGACATTTTGATTGGCTGTTAAGCGAGTGAAATTATGGGCTGGTTAGTGATACGAGGGATGGACATGGTCACGTGACAAAACAAAGCTATGGTGGCAAAAGGTTCTTTTGGTATTGATAATAAAATAACGAATATGGAATACACTTGATTTTGAGGATGAACTTTGTCCTGCAGTTTTCCTCTTTCTATTAAAAAATCTTCAGTATAAACTCAATTTTATTTACACATACAGTAAACTACAGTTATAGTGAACTCAAAGGAACCACTAATTTTAGTTTGTTATAACCGTAGTTCATAATAAGCATAAATACAGCATTTATATATATACAGAAAATGGAGGGGACAAAAAAGCAGTTTGTTGTAAGCATGTTCGTTTAAAGCGTAGTTGACTGCGCATCTTTTCAACACAGGACATGTTGGAGTACAAATGAATCAACTTACTTTTACAGTTCCAAAACATGAGGGACATTATAAGATATGAACAGTTATCTTCAATTGTCAAAGTACAAACAATGTGATTTCCTACCCCACTGAAGGCAAGCCACACTGTCCTGTTGACTGGGAAGTTCTCTCTGTGCTTGTAGACATTGCCCTGGAAGATACAACAGGATGAAGGTGAAGATTTGTATCAGGTTGGTTGGTTGGTTTGTTGTTTAACGCCGCACTCAGCAATATTCCAGCTATATGACGGCGGTCTGTAAATAATCGAGCCTGGACCAGACAATCCAGTGATTAATATCATGAGCATCGATCCACGCAATTGGGATCGATGACATGCATCAACCAAGACAGCAAGCCTGACCACCCGATCCCGTTAGTCTCCTTTTACGACAAGCATAGTCACCTTTTACGTCAAGCATGTGTTGCTGAAGACCTATTCTACCCCGGAATCTTCACGGGTTGATTTGTATCAAGAGGCATTGTCAGAGTACTAAAGATTAGAAGATAAAGCTGTGAGCACCGAATCAGTCTGTGGTAAATCAGTGTGTTAGTCTGAACTTGTCACTTGACATCATTTCCAGTAGCATTAGTGTGGACAACATTACAAGACAGATACCTTGATTGTATTACTGTTCTGTCAAATTTTCTGTAGCATTAGCGTAGACATTACAAGACACACAAACCTTGATCGTTCCGCCATATCCAGTTCCTATCTTAAACAGCCCCTTCTTGTTGAGTATATACAGGTATCTTCCATCACTAGCCACTGCACTGTTCTCCACTGTACTTTCACCTGGATACACAACAAATAGCATAAACAAGTGTTCTGTGACAAGACCCAGAGCTGTTTCAGGGCCATGCCTTTCAGTTTATTTTTCCTTCAGAAAAACCTGCCAAGATTCTAGACATATTCTAGAGTGGGAAGCAAGCTCACTTTAACCTTTCTGGTTTTTCCCGTTACTGTTACTTCAGGATGGATTTTCGTATGACAATAAAACAGCCAGCCTCATCCAGCATCATAACACATTAATCTGCATAAAATGAAAGGAAACCGGTCTGGTTATACAGGCATTTAAACAGCACTTCATAACTTAATAAGGACTTAATAAACATCAATCATTGTGGTGATAGTACCACAGGGCTTCTCCAAAACCATCATCAAAACATTTAAATATTATTCTCTTCTTTAAGCATTGACGTGATCTGTAAATTCATCCCAATTCATCATAATATCTCAACTCACTATTTTTCAAGTTCGCTATATTGAACTTGTGAGAGTGGGACTTTGTTTTCACCCCATTGTTGAACCAATCTGGCAGCTGTGCCTTTCCCAGTAACACGGCTTGTACGCTCTTCTGTAGAGAAGTCAGAATTCCTGGCACCTGTAGACACACATCGTAAATCATACAGTCTGCAATACAGGGCTAGTTGGAAGACACTTCAACACAAGAAGTCCATGAACATCAACATCAAATCAAACCTCCAAGAAGGCAAAAGATGGACCTTCTTTATCATAAAGTAAACTGATGAAGTAAAGAAATACAATGATAAGGCTTAAAAAATAAAAGAATTGGTTCTCAGGCAACGTTTTTTGAATATATAAAGCGAGTGGGCGGTGTCTTTTTTTTGGGTGGGGTGGGGTGTTCAAACTAGTATGTAACCAATAAACAGTTGCGTAATCAATAAGCAATTGTGTACAATCAACCTGGGAAGGGCCTCCCTACATAAATGTATTCCTTTATGAGTAAAATACTGGAATACAGTATTGGACTACCGTTGGATTTAAGGATTTTTTTTTTTTTTAATTAAAAATGGAAATAAAAACGAAACATGCGGTGAACTTTACGATGATGCGAGCGGTGACTGAGAACCAAGACTAATTTTTTTTAGCCTAAAGTAACTGATCTTTTACTGCAATAAAAATGCTGCAAGTTGAAGGAGGGTGAGGTTAAATGGGATGTAATGTCATGTTCAAGATTATTTCACTTATAATGATGAGAATGCATGTGTGTGTGTGTGGCTGCTGGTACTAGTCTAGAGGTATGTAGGTTTTATAGTGAGATACCATGCCTCAGTTTAACATGGAAACCCCACCCAGATACTGATGCTTTATCCCCTTAATGCCGAGCTCAAGCCACAGGTTACAGCAACCTATTTCAACACCTGGTATGACGTGACCAGGGGATTGAAACCGACCTACTGTTCCTGGGGCAGATGCCCTAGTCATTACAACACCATGGCAGGGCGTTGTAAGTTGAAAGTGAGTTGAACGTTTTACACTTACTGTGTGGAATCAAACCTGGCCCAAGTTCATTATGAGCAGGTTCACATACCATTTAACTACCAGTTACTACTTATATACTAATACTGCCACCAATAAATCATTTTCGCAACCTGAAAACTATATAGCTGTAAGTTTCTGCTCCACCAAGAAACTTATAGAAAATCACACTGATCAGGAATCACTGTCAGAACTCACTGTTAATACAAGGTGAAAATGTGAGGTGAAATGGGGTTTAACGTCACGTCCAAGATTATTGCACTTATATAACGACGTGCATGTACGTGTGTGTGTTTGTGTAGCTGCTTGTACTAGTCCAGGAAAGATGCCGATTTATAGTGCTAGCTCACTGAGATACCATGCCGCAGTTTAACATGAATACCCCACTCAGACACAGTATACTGACTCCGAGCCGACCAGTCCTTGTTTTAGCCCCTTAATGCCGAGCGCCAGACAGGGTAACAACAAGTACCATCTTTTCACGTCTTTTGGTATGACACAGTCGGGGATCGAACCCCGGACCTTCCGCTCTCCGGGCGGACGCTCTACCACTAGACCATGGTGGCGGTCCTGTTAATACAAAGGTTACACACTGAACTAGGTGAAACTATTAAATTAAGTGCTCTTATTTCACAACCATATTTGGCATGTTTTGATTTAGCTATTTTGCTACCACAGAAATGGACTGGAGACAGCATGATACAACGTTACAAGCACTATACCTACCAGTATATCTTGAGATGCCAGTGACGAGGGGCTCATCAGCAGAGCCTTGACAGCCTTCAACAGCTTCCCTGTGTCCCCCAGAGCAATAGTGAGGCTGATGAGGGCAGAACAGGCTAGAGCTGTCAGTGACTGGCCGTCAAACACTATGTCCGAGCCCACGTTGGTCGCTATCTCCATCAGCAAGTTGTACAGGTTCTCTGAAGACAAAAACATGGACTGTAGTTTGGTGTGGTAGCAATACAACCAGATCACAAAAGGCAGTATGTGGTCAAGCCTAAACCATCTTTGATTATCTAGGGTATTAAATCTCCTTGTTATGATGATAAATATCATGAAAAATTTGTAACCAGAGGCTACCAAAGTGAAGTCCAAATCTAATTGCTCTTATCTCTTAGCACCAGATTTCTCTGTCAGCATGTTAGAAGTATTAGAATACACAACATACCATTCAGAGCTTCATTTGATCACTTAAGAGCCACCACATATAAAGATTAATAGTCAGCAAGTGTTTTGTTTGTTTGTTGTTTAATGCTGCACACAGCAATATTCCAGCTATATGACAGCGGTCTGTAAATAATCAAGTCTGGGCCAGACAATCCAGTGATTGACATCATGAGCATCGATCCACGCATTTGGGATACAATGATATGAATCAAATAAGTCAGGGAGCCTGACCACCCGATCCCGTTATTTGCCTCTTACAACAAGAAAAGTCGCCTTTTTACGGCAAGCATGGGTTGCTGAAGACCTATTCTACCCCGATCTTCACGGGTCTGTCAGCAAGTGAGTTAGTGTTAATGCTGCTTTGAACAGTATATCAGTTCATAAATCATGGAACTGCTGGCAATGACTGAGTATATGACAACATACCATTCAGAGTTCGGCTTCATGTTGTTTTGAACAGTACTAAAGTAATATCCCATTGTGGGAGGAATACCCAAAGTGATGCAGGTCTTAGACATGTACCACTTTGGAGCAAGGATTACACAACCTGCATCCTGCATACATTTACAACCCAGGAACACAAGTAGAAGTAACAAAGCCAAACCAAGGGTCATGTCAGAGTAAGTCTGGGATTTGAACCAATCTCATTAAAACCAGATCTTAATTCTCGCTACCCCTAAACAAAGATCTGAGGACATCCAATTACGGGTCACATAAGAACTACCTTTCATCCAACCAATCAGAGTGTCGCTTACCAGATCAGGAAAGTGTCAGTCGGAATGTGTTGTCACTTATTCCACTGGTCGGTCAAAATTCGCAAAAGGCCGGTCTGACGTGAACCAAATGGGATGTCCTGAGATCTTTGTTTAGCAGTTGCGGGAACTAAGGTCTAATTTTAATGAGATTGTGATTTGAACCTAAAATCAATGGATCCTGGTAAGGATAAGGGAATTAACTCTCAGATGACGTGGACTATATGGAAAAAATGTTGTTCAGAAATGGAGGGTCATCACGGATGTTTTCAGGAGTCAATGAACTAGGTTCCTATCAATCTCAAGAACTACCTGCTGGTCACCCATCTAAGTTATGTCCATAATCAGTAGCCATTTTGACCACTCAATACACATTTTGGTAGGTACTTAGTACAACCAGAGGTACATGTAATTTGCACAAAATTCTTATTTTAGATGCATATTTAGCAAGTCAAATGAATATGTAGCACTGAACAAAACCCATAAACAGGGGGTAATTTAACTGCTGGCCTGTAGGCCCATGGCCAGTTAAAATTACAAAAGACTTGCTGAAACATGAAGTAGTCTGTCTGGCTAGTCAAAATGTCCCCCCTTCTCTGTGTGTGCTTGTGAATCATGTAATTTCGATAAGAAAATATTTAGGGGGGATCAAGTCCTGTGAATGGTTGTCTCAAGATCATCTCAGTAGAAGGACACAACTGACAGCCATTTTGTAATGTTCTGTGCAACATCTTTATGCTCATGAAATCACCAAGAAATAAGGCAAATGGAAGTCAAGATTTAATCTCAGAGTGCAGGAAATGACATTTTAGGGTTGAGGAGTTTTTGGAACCCCCTGGGTAAGTCGTGGCCTCCAACATTTAATTTTGGGCCAGTTAGTTTGGAGAAGGGCATGTAACATTTGAAAGCCCAGCAAGCTATACATGAATTTGTTGTTAAATCTACCACCTCAGAAACTGTCAATGATTTTCATATTGTCAAAAATAATAATCCTTATGGTCCACACAAATGGTGATAAAATTCCTTGTCACACATTCACATTACTAGTCTCCCACTAGCAGACTAACCATAGTTATTAGCATGATTAACCCTAAATTCTGTATCTCCAAATAAATCCCTAATTATTGATAACACATTCTTAGTCATTTCACAGACAATTCTTACCAACAACATCTGGTGGTTCACACTTCATGCCCTCTGGCTGTTGGCCCTGTAGCAGGTCGAGCAGGGCCTTCAGGGCCTTCACACACAGGTCGGGGTACTTGTGCCTCGTCTCACGCACCAGCTCAAACACTCCATTCAAGCCCAAGCCAACGATCTGCACATAACAGGAATAGAGAGTATGTAAGCCACATGTCATGGCCTATCAACAAAAAAAAGTTAATCTCAAAGAATGATATTTAGAGCACAGATTAATACTTTCGTCCAATGACTGGTCACTAATTTGATCAGGTGGATTACGTAAGCATCTTCTCCAAGCTCCTTCCCAGTGCGTGACACCTACGTTACACTCTCGGTAACATCAGGTGGGCACAGCCATTACAAGAATCTTGAAATTTGCCCTCTAACCCCAAATGTAGAAACGTTCATACTTGTGTTTATGTGTTTGGGAATGCCATCAAAGTTCATTTTGAAAAAGTTTATGACTGACCATGTTTTCCAGATGAATTTACTTTGTTGTGTGTAACATCTCACTTACATACTAACTATATCAATTACATGATAGTTTTAATGAAATAGAAATTCAAATTGACAAATAAAGAAAGTAATTTAGCAGGGGTAAGTGTATCCAGCCTCACGGAGGTTGCCACTTGTTTGTAAACATAACAGTCATTCAGTTGCAAGTTCAACTCCAAGCATGGTTGTGGTCATCTATCACTGTGGGGAGTTTTGACTGGTTGCAGCAACAGACATTTTCCAAATCTGTTCATGTTTTAAATCAAGGTGATCATGGGATATGATGCACTTCGCAAAGTAAGACCAGTTTCAATACACAAAAGAACTAGATTATTAATCAGATCGTCTTCACTGGGCGCTGCCATTTTGTTTGAAGCAAATGCAAGTGATATGAGAGATGGAATGGGATTGGTCAATAGGAGGGACATAGAAGGGATATAACTTGTAATAGCCCCTGGTGGCACCATGATTGAGCACAGAAATTCCAGCCTAGTTCGGCAAGTGTGTAAACTGGAGATTTACAGTAAGATAACTTCCTTGTCTCAGGAAGATGGTACATAAACTGATGAAGTACTGTAAAGTATACAGAGGCACAAAGCTCTCGTGGTTCATTTCAGCATGACAGGCCTTCAACAACAAACACTTGACTGCACGAACCGTACAATTCATATGAAATCGTGCAATCTGCTTCACAAATTTTAAGGTGGAGATTGTGCTACAAGCAGTGTATAGATCATGGAACTCCAGTATTTGCCTGTGTTCTAACATAGTTTCTTGTTTAACGCCACACTCATAAATATTCCAGCTATATGACAGCAGTCTGTAAATAATCGAGTCTGGACTAAACAAACCAGTGATAGAGATCATGAGCATCAATCTAAGCAGGTGAGTGAGTGAGTTGAATTTAACGCCGCTTTTAACATTATTCCAGTTATCCAAGCAATTGGGATACGATGACATGCAGTGAACTAGTCAGCGAACCTGATCATCCGATCCCTTTAGTTGCATCTTGTGACAAGCAGAGTCGCCCTTTACAGCAAACATGTTTTGCTGAAGATCTACCCTAACCTTCATGAGAAGAAAGGGCTCGGCTTCTCCCGGCAATATGTTCATATTCCAATAAAGTACTTGCCGAACCCTTTGTTCTCAAGACAGTACATTTATACCCCATCAAGTCCCGGCACTCGTCCTCTATCTATTACATAATCAGTCAATTTGTTTGTTAGACTTTATTCCTGTTGTAAGACCCTTGGGCATGTCAGTAACCATAATGAACACTGCAGCCTTAACTGGTTCATTTGATACAAAGAGAACCTCACTATCTATGTCATGTCAGCATCTATTTCTGCTACATTTGTGTATGTGACAAATTCAGAATATTCATTATCATGAAATAGTTCACTTCCAACAAAGGACAAAGTGTGATAAGAGCTCTTTTTGACTCACAAAATAGACAAGTGTCAAGTTTGAAAAATTGTCATGAAATTTATTGCCAGTGTGCAAATGACTGACAATGCACATATTTTCTTACATAAATATTATAATTATTTACTTACAGAAACATTATATACAGAATTATTCTTAAAATGTATTAGAAAGGCATGAGCATGGGTACTAAAACAGGTAATAACAATATTTGCAAAAAGACTTACCTTTGGTATTTTGATTGCACAATCTTTGTTTTTGTCATCATTATCATCATCAGTTTCCGAGTCTGATGTTTGTGTGGTTGTGGCGAGTCGGTACAGCCGTGCTGTGTCTCGCATACACTGCTCCAGGACAGACTGCCGGACGCTGGCGTATACGTTGAAGCCTGAAGCATTGCCCTGAAGCTCCACAGACAGGAACTGGGCATCAGGAATATCAGGGCTTCCCTCACGCTGAAACACATTCAGTATGAAACTGAAGAATGTGACTAAGTCTGTGTTTAACATTAACAATATTCCAGCTATATGATGGTGGGCTGTAAATAGTCTAGTCTGGACCAGACAAATCAATGAGTGAGTGAGTGAGTGAGTGAGTGAGTGAGTGAGTGAGTGAGTGAGTGAGTGAGTGAGTGAGTGAGTGAGTGAGTGAGTGAGTGTGTGAGTGAGTGAGTGAGTGAGTGAGTGAGTGAGTGAGTGAGTGAGTGAGCGAGCGAGCGAGTGGGTGCGTGGAAGAGTGAGTGAGTTGGTGGGTGAGTGAGTGAGTGAGTGAGTGAGTGAGTGAGTGAGTGAGTGAGTGAGTGAGTGAGTGAGTGAGTGAGTGAGTGAGTGAGGTTTTATGCCGCTTTTAGCAATATTCCAGCAATATCACGGCGGGGGACACCAGAAATGGGCTTCACACATTGTACCCATGTCGGGAATCGAAGCCGGGTCTTCGACGTGACGAGCGAACGCTTTAACCACTAGGCTACCCGACCGCCCCTGACTGATATGAACAATGTCCTATAAAGTCAGGTTGCACAATTAACCAAGTCACGGAGCCTTGTCATCCGATCCACGTAGATGCCTTGTGCCACACACATAGGTTGCTGGGGATTTATTCTTCCCCAGGAACCCCTAAGGGGGTTCACAGTGATTAAGGTTGAGGTAACTGTCCAAAATTTCAAACGATATATTTCATTTAAAATATGTGAAATAATTCCATCACTAATATAATTGAAATAGGCAGGTAAATATATTTAACCATAAGACGGGGCCAGTTATATTCAAAAGGTGATTTATGTATCCCCATGTGACATGTTTTTGAGCCTCACCTATTTTTTAGCCCCTAAACAATACATGACCATGCGCTTGATGACGTAATCAAGGTGGACGCCTCAAAGCCCACAGTAAAGCGTTAGTCTCTTGCTACTGAAGTTATGATACGAATAGAGCTACACGAGGTTGATATTCAATCTTACTTTCAAACTTACTTTCTCACTAATGCACATTTGATCAAACTTGATCTGATAATAATTTTGCATCTAACATCATATGCACCAATGATGTATCAGCTGCTGTTTGTAAACAAACTGTGTGTATTGTCATGTGACTGATCATGTTGTGCAGCTATTTTAACTTAGCTGTCATGGAGGTGGCGCCTGATCAAGTCGTCCCTCTCAGTGAGGGATAATCACTATAAAATTAACAAGACATGGTCATTTGGACCATCCAAGTGTCAACAGAAATAAATGTTCTCAAAGGTAAGACTTCATTTCAGTGTATTGGTATTGTTATTAGACATGTGATCAGAAATACTTGATAGGGGCTCGAAAACCCAAACCACGAGGATATATCAGTACATTTTAACAGTTTGTGCCCAGTTGTATATGGAATCATATGTATGTAAAAAAACCTACAGTTGTGAATTGTTCCTGGAACTCAAATCAATTCTGACTATTTTCCATTAGAATTAAAATCAGTTACAAGTACTTATGAATCTTTGCTCTACACGTTCAAGAAAAACATTGTTCATTATTCAACAGCTTTAACATGTCCAAGGTGAACACCTCAGCCTTAAAAAAACAAATCCTTGTTAACCAGATTATAACTGACAATGCCTGATGACAACTTACACACACTAAATATGCTAAAGCTGACATCCATCACAATCTAGTGAACTAAACATACCGTAGATCTCTACTGACAAGGTGTTTGAGACACTGGAGGTGAGGTGAAATGGTGTTTAACGTCGCGTCCAAGATTATTGCACTTATATAGCAACGTGCATACACGTGTGTGTGTGTGTGTGGCTGATTGTTCTAGTCCGAACTGATGCCGATTTAAAGTGCTAGCCCACTGAGATACCATGCCGCAGTTTTACATGAATACCCCACTCAGACACAGTATACTGACTCTGAGCCGACCAGTCCTTGCTTTAGCCCCTTAATCCCGAGCGCCAGACAGGGTAACAACAAGTACCATCTTTTAACGTCTTATGATGCAGTCGGGGATCGAACACCAGACCTTCTGCTCTCCGGGTGGACGCTCTACCACTATACCACCGAGGCGGTCTTGAGACACTGGACAAAAAGTGACCACAAACCTTCTTGTTCCTCTCTTTGGCTTTGCTCTTCCCCTTCTTTTTGTTCTTTTTCTTGTCACCCTTTTTCCTGTTGAGAAAAAAAAAAATGATTTTAAGGATTTCAGGTTCTGTTTGTCTGTTATTCAGCGCCAGTCAGCTATACTCCTGCTTCATAATGGCAGTCTGAAAAGCAGGCTAGACAAACGAGTGGTTGAATCAATGATATCAATGATATGAGCAATGGCCCATGCCAATTCGGTAAGATAATAGGCAAGCAACCAAGTCACCAGGCCTTTAGTCTCAACAACAGGGAACTGGGAACATATCCAGCAATAGAAACTAACAGTTTTAGTCCACTAGTCCTTATAATGATAACATATAGCAAAACCCTAAACTATGGCAAACTTCCAATAGTCCTTATGATACCTAAACTATTTGGCAGTTTGGGAAGTACTATAGGATGAGTGCCAATGTGTAACTCTGTATTCTACCCTGATTTGTTTGTTTTGTTTGCTTGTTGTTTAATGCCGCACTCAGAAATATTCCAGCGATATGACCACGGTCTGTAAAATAATCGAGTCTGGACCAGACATCCTGTGATTGATGTCATGAGCATCGATCCATGCAACTGGGATATGATGACATGCATCAACCAAGTCAGCAGGCTTAACCATACAATTCCATTTGTCGTCTCTTATGACAAGTACAGTCGCCTCTTACGAAGATCTAACCGGATTCTTCATGGGACTTTTCCCTGGTTCCTGAATGGGTGGATTTGAGGAAATGGATCAGACTTCAATCACAAGCTACATTGTGTGAGGAATTGTGAGGAAATTAGGTATGGGGCGAAGATAGCAAATTTGAAAAATCAATTGCAGTTCAACTTGTTCGAGGTGCAAAAAATACTCCACAACATTTTGTTCTAATCCTGCTCAAACATTCTGGTTATGCTGCACTATTTGGTGTAGCTTAACAAAGTCAGACACTAGGAAGATGTCTTCTGGAAATCTCACTAAGATACCACCGTTCTTCACTCAGCAGTAGTCTGTGCCAAAATCATGAGTCTACAAGACCAATGTTTTAACTTGACATCATTGCCAGTAGATTTTAGAGTAAAATTAATGGAGAATCATTGGCAAAGCTTAGTATTTTTGGTTTCTTCATGTTGTTTGTTGTTTAACCGTGCACTCAGCAATATTCCTGCTGTATGATAGAGGCGTGTAGTTAATAGAGTCTGAACCAGACAAACCAGTGACTGATATAATGAGCAACATCCCATGTTGTCAGGGTACAATGACACACAATCAACCAAGCAATACCACCAAATCTACTTAGTCACTGCTTACGACCAGCAAAGGTTGCTGGGGATCTATTCTAACCCGAAATTCCTCAGACCACTGAAGGGGTCGGGTTTGACGGTCCTTGTTTTCATATTAAAGTTTAAGAAGCCTTCAAATGTTTTGTTTCGTCACATGGTACAGATTAACCAATGAAATTGCAAGATTCTTAATAGAGGTATAACAATAGTGAAGACTATATTCTACTGAAAAGTCTGCAAAAGACAGTTCGGGCAAGCAGACAAATCAGTTACTCGGACTGACTGATATAATTGGGCTGTTCTAAACACTCAATCATTGATCATAAAACAAACACTGATCAATTGCAATCAAGCATGAACATTGATGAATAAAGACAGACAATAATACATTTGGAACATTCTTTTTCAGTTTCCCTTTACAATAAATGACATGGCAAAAGGAACAGGCCTGCATGTCTGGTATGAGAGTTTTTTTCAGTTATATAAATGCTATAATCAATATTATCATTCCCAGATAATGATAAGAATTCATTTCTGAGTGAGTGAGTGAATATAGTTTTACACCGCTTTTAGCCATGGTCCAGAAATATCACAGCGGGTAACACCAGAAATGGGCTTCACACATTGTACCCATGTGGGGAATCAAACCTCCCTTTGGCGTGACGAGTGAACACTTTTACCATTAGGCTACCCCACCACCCCAGAATTAATTTGTATAATTTGAACATTTCTTGTGGAAGGGGAGATAGGGAACAGAAAGGAATCGTACCACAGGTAAAAAATAAATTAATATGGTAAGTACCCTTAGAGCTTATATGACTCGGCAATAAAAGCAACTGATTATTACCCACAAGATAGGTTTTATTTGACAGTAAGATGCATATATTCAAAAGATCCCAAATTCATATTGTTGACACCATAATTCAATCAATATTTACATGATATATCTATTCAGTACCAAAGTTTGACATTAACCATTTCACTTTCTGCACAACACCCCATGTTACGTTTATGTGTGAGTTCCTTGTTCTTATCTTTTTTCCTCTTTTTCTCAATATACTACATTCCCCTACAGGCTTATTTTATTAGTAAAACAAAAAGAGGGCACATGTATTCACTCATTAAACTTAATAGTTTGCCAATATTCAGTTTCATTCATAAATGAGTTGTTCACTAATTATGCCAATGTTAAATCAATGTCGTCAATATGATAGATCAAATAGGTACGTTTGATGAGATGGTGAACGCTTCTGTGGAGCCCATGAATTTATCCTCGTGATTGTAAAACGATCACAAAATATTCCTTATCTGAAAAAGCTCCACTTTAGTGATCATTAGATCAAATATACTTGGGACTTTACCAAGGTCTATCAAATCAAAAGGAGAAATATTACAAAATAATCACCAAATTGTCAGAACATTTCAAGATCTAAAATGACCTTCCCGTGAATGAAAACTATATTCATGAGGTGCACACATATATGGAAATCGTAAGTTAAGGGTATTAGGGGTTACAGGATGACTCACTTATTCGGGCTGTCATCGCGAATGCGGAAGAGGTCATGAAATTTGTTGCACAGCTCTTCGCCACGCAAAAACGTGTCCAGTTGACTTCTAGAGCACTGCAAAACCGCTGTCGCCATTGTATTTTTTTCTCCCTCAGTCAATCAATCATATATTACAAGGCATTTTAGCGCTTTCCTGTCCACCGATCTTCCCAGATCTTCAGATATATGCACAAGAAATTAAGAAATTGCTGTTCTGTTTTCGATTTTGACGTAGGCTGACATTTTGAATGATGAATTCTGGGAATGTTCGGTGCCCGAGCAGACGACGTCGGAGTGTTCCGGATATTTCCGGAAATGTTCATCGAAATTGTTTTTGCACTGAATGCAATTATATTTTGGTTATTTTGATATCGTGAATGTTAACAACTGGTCTTAAATGTTTCATCTCAACGTGAGCACATATACATGCTATATTTCAGATTAACTGACGATGAAAGCATGTGCTGCAAGTCACAGATCGATATCGTGATTTAAAATAGAACTTAGTCATAATAGGCATGTTACCACATACGAGCTTTGTACTTCGCTGTACGGAATCACCGTAGACTTTGAATGCATTCATGCGGTATGCATTAAGTACACAGTGTAGTTAGTAACTCAGTGTTCTCTGTAATCCGTGTCTTTTAAAAACAGATAATCCCTTAAAACCCGTTTCAGGTGTATTTTCTTATTACGGAATAGAACTCCCGTCACTTGGCGATAAAGATAAATATTTCTTTGGCAACCCAAACATTATTATTTGCTCTGATTATTGTTATTATGATTATTTGGATTACTATGATTATTATGATGGTTATTATTATTATTATTATTATTATTATTATTATTATTATTATTATTTCAATAATTCATCTGAATTATATGATTATTTATTTACTTATCAATTATATTTATTGCTATTCATAATTACCTATTAACGTAATAAAACACCTAGTATATGATATCACAATCTCGATTTTTGTGAACTAAAACTTTTATGAAAGAAATATACTTATTAATATCAATTAATAGGAGTTGTTCATTTTAGCAGTTCAAACGTTTATATTGACATATATTTTTACAAAATCCTGATATAGAATTATGATGTAAGGTATATTTTTATTTACATCGTGATAATACTTTAAATAGTGAACTTCAAGATGCCATGAAACCTCATTACTGATACGGGGGCTGTGCAGAGTTGCGTCCCTTGGACACGCCAAGAAACCTGATTGTGGGTTCGAATCCCGGTTCGCCCCGATTGTTTCTAGGTTTGTCAGCACCATACCTGTGCTCGTGGGTTTCATCGAAGTGGTAAACGTCTTAGACCTGAATCACTTCGGGCTTTCCTCCCACATTAAGCTGACACGTCGTGATATAACTGGAATACTGTTAAAAGCGGCGTTAAATCCAACTCACTCACTCACTCGTTACTGATACATCACCAGTTGATTCCCTTGAGGCAATAGCTTCCCCCTCGGAAAAGAAAATTGCCATGTCATGCATAGAAATGAGAAGCAATGGTTTTCAGCTTTGTCTAATTACTAGGATTGGGAGAGGAAATAAATACGTATAAATTATACAACAGTTTGGTACAAATATAACTTATGTCTTTGTGAATGAGTGTGGTTGTACGCCGCTTTTAGCAATTTTCCGACCACATCACGGCGGGGTCACGAAGAACAGGTTTCACACATTGTACTCTAGCTTTAGTGGTACAAATATTCTGACACTCGTTTTGAAAAATCAATATCACACACACACACGCACGCACGCACGCACGCACGCACGCACGCACACACACACACACACACACACATCCGTGTAACAATCTCTATCGTCAGTCTCATACAATGTATCCCTTGTGTCGAAAGGTTAACTGTCAGGCATATTTTGATCCCCTGCGTGAACTTCAGAGACCAAGGGAATTTCTAATGTAAAGCAGAAAGCCTGAGAGATCTGTTTACCCGTGTAAGCGGGCATCTTATTGTGAACAATTTTACAGGAATTGGTCTGTATCCAAAATTGTATATTGAATGTGATATTTACCTTGATGTTTTACTGAGAATGGACCCATGAAGATCCGGCTTGAAATAGGTATTCAGCAACCCATGCTTGCCGTAAAAGGCGACTAAGGGGATCGGGTGGTCAGAATCGCTGACTTGGTTGATGCATGTCATCGTATCCCAATGGCGTTGATCGATGATTATGATATCAATCACTCGATTTTCAGGTCCAGATTTTATTATTTACAGACCGCCGTCATACAGCTGGAATTTTGCTGTGTGCGGCGTTAAACAACAAACAAACTGTGAATGTTTTAGTGGATGTGTATAATTTGTTCTCGTCGCTTAAATGGATATTGCCGATGCTATGTTAAACACTGACTAACTCCATTCGCTCGCTCACTCACTACTCAAACTGAAGTAAAAGAATGAGGTTGTACGCTGATATTTTCAGAACTTGAAGATAACACAAAAGAGACTTCAAGTTGTGCCAACGTGCGTGGTTCGTTTTATGATAAGACTCAATGACTGGAATGAGTAATTCCGGGTTAGAATAGGTCTTCAGCAACCCATGCTTACCTTAAAAGGTGACTATACTTGTCGTAAAAGGCGAGTAACGGGATCGGGTGGTCAGGCTCGCTGACTTGGTTGATCCATGTCATCGATCCCAAATGCGTGGGTCGATGCTCATGACATTAATCACTGGATTGTCTGGTCCAGACTCGATTATTTACAGACCGCCGTCATATATATACATGTAGCTGGAATATTGCTGAGTGCGGCGTTAAACAACAAGCCAACCAACCAACGACTGGAATGACCACAGGCGGATCTAGAGGTCCATGCCAATGTGTGCTGCAACTGGTGGGAATATCAGGGACGCTTCGTAACCCGGGTAGAATTAAAACTTTGTGTATCCCTTCAAATTATCCTAACAATGTGTTTTCTAACTTATGTAAGGCACTTAATTAATAATTACAGCCAAATAAACTCACGACTAGCTTTATTAAGATACAATTTCTAAATCTGTGTTATCTTTTACACTTGTTGGTGTGAATTAGGGGGAGACAACTCGTACGACCTTAGTGTCCACAAGTCCTCTCAACACGAACATTTTCCGGCTGTTCATTTACGGTGTGAGGTGAGGTGAAATAGGGTTTAACGTCGCGTCCAAGATTATCGCACTTATCTAGCGACGTGCATGTACGTGTGTGTGTTTGTGTGGCTGCATGTACTAGCCCGGACTGATGCCGATTTATAGTGCTAGCTCACTGAGATACCATGCCGCAGTTTAACATGAATACCCCACTCAGACACAGTATACTGACTCTGAGCCGACCAGTCCTTGTTTTAGCCCCTTAATCCCGAGCGTCAGACAGGGTAACAACAAGGACCATCTTTAAACGTCTTTCCGTATGACGCGGTCGGGGATCGAACCCCGAAACTTCCGCTCTCCAGGCGGACGCTCTACCACTAGACCACGGAGGTGGTCCTGTTCATTTATGGAATCTCCCTGTTGCTTTTACAACATTTACAACTGTTAAACATGTGGAACATCAAAGTAATTAAATGTATTATAAAATATATTTGATAATTATAGTAAACACATGTGCACTATTCCATATATCTCGAGACCCGTGGAGATCCGGGTTAGAATAGGTCTTCAGCAACCCATGCTTGCCGTAAGAGGCAACTAACGGGATCGGGTGGTAAAGCTCGCTGACTTGGTTGATGCAGGTCATCGTATCCCAATTGCGTGGATTTATGCTCATGATGCCAATTACTGGATTGTCTGGTCCAGATTCGATTATTTACAGACCGCAGTCATATAGCTGGAATATTGCTGAGTGCGGCGTTTAACAAATAAACAAAATGTATCTCGAGTTTTATGTTGCGATAATTTCCTGATCCATATTTTTTTTTCATCCTTGGGAATCCAGCAAATAAAGAAACGGATTTTCGTTACAACCGACGTAAGGCGGTCAGGACCTGACTGTTTGTGTGACACTGTACCCGACAGCGTGATTGTTGCTCGTGCTATCCCATGGTTTGGCGGTCAAGGTTTGATTGCGTCCTGCGTATTATATTGGGGTGTGTGTGTGTAATTCAGGTACGAATTAGTCCCAAGTAACCGGTACTTAAATGGATCGGTTGGTAACTTGCTGCTTGCGTGACACCGTACTCCGATTGCATAGGGGGTTGTTCATAATATCAACCACAGGTTCGACTCACATATTTTCAGGTCGCCGTCACACACACACACACACACGCACGCACGCACGCACACACACACACATGATGTCAATGACTGGATTATCTGGTCCAGACTCAATTTATGACAGACCGCCGTCATATGGCTGGAATATTACTGAGTGCGGCGTTAAAATCCAAACAAACAAACAAACGCCCGTATGCACGCACGTAGCTGTAGCTGGACCCTTTCCAGGCTGCGGCGTTAAACAAACAAACGCTTATTAATACTGAGACGTAACGTAATACTGAGACGTAACGTAAAACAATCTTTCGATTGCGATCTATAAATTATCAAGAGTTATCACAGCTTCAGGGGGTGGTAGGGTAGCCTAGTGTTTAAAGCATTCACTCGTCACGCGGAAGACCCGGGTTAGTTTCCCTACGTGGGTACAATGTGTGAACCTCCTTTCTGGTGTCCCCCACCGTGATATTGCTGTAATATTGCTAAAGCGGCTAAATACATACTCTCTCACAACTTCACGACGAAATAGATTCTCTGTGTTGTAGAGTATTGAGCCAGCCGTACACATATGGTCAGTTATACAGAAGACACATTCATGTCATGCATTTTTTGTAAACTTCATCATTTATCAAGCTTTATTACCTATACGGCAAACATATCGGGGGTTCATAAAAATCATATATGCCCTAGGGTCATATCACGTCAAGAGACAACAGTGTATTGTTTCCGTCATCTGGACGGCATTGTTGACGTCATTCGAATCTTAAAGTGACGTGAGGTCGGAATGACGTCACACTAGGAAGGACGTCATAACTGAAGATTGTTGACATCATTCGACAAATTGTGATTCCGCTGCTGTTGCGACTTGCCCTTCCATGTCATACAATGTTTACCACACTCGTGCCTAAATTCCGGTTTTTCCCGAGCGAGAAATAGTATGACATGAATACTCATATAACATCCTCTATTTATGATATGTTTAATTCAATCCATATAATTTATCTACAGATACGGTTACTCCCCTTTTCGTCCT